GTAAATTGCATACTGTCCTCTATTATTGGAAACATTTACTGTAAAATAAAATTGGTATCTAATCCACAATAACTTACTTAGATATCAAATATAGTAGCATCATAAGTTTACTATGTAAAATTGAAGATACAGCAATAGCTGATCACGATTGAATTCGAGTCGTTCTATTAAATCCTACAGCTGATAAAATTAAATTTTAATTTTACAAGATTACGTAAAGATTCGGCCGTACAAACTGACAATCTGAGATTGAACCTGTCTACAGTTTCGGACAAAGAGGTTCAACCATTTCAGGTAATGACGCAATCCAAGTATTACATCACACCGGCGCTCCTTGGCTGAACTCATCTGAGCTCTGTCAGAAACAGGATTTATTTTTACGATCATGAAATTTTTGTCTCACAATCTCGTCTATATTCTGTGTAGTTGCCCTTTAAAATCCACAAGTTTAAGCTATATTGGAGTAAATAGCGCTGTATTCAGCTTACTTTACAAAGTTATGATTTTTTTATTATGTACTTTACAATCTGTTCTAACATAGAATGATTAATCATTGGCTATATAAAATCTTAAATTTTTATCAATGGTTGTAACATCAATATTGGTGTCCTACAAGAGTTTAGGCTTATAATGCATGTGTTTAGATAATATCTATGTTTGATAAACATATGTGAGCACAAAAATAAAGCAAATCAAATTTAACTTTAAAACAGGGCGAAAAATCTACTTTTTAGTATCCAAAATCAATAGGTACAATGTTTCATCAGATCAGCTGATCAAGTATTATTTAAGAAGATAAAAGCAGCGATGACATCACTTGTATCAAGGTTACTGACTATGTCGTCGACCTACTACGCCACAAAACGTCTAAAGGATCTAAAAACACTGCTTTCATTTTGTTTAGTAAAAAGAATGTATTGATTTGTCGAATAAAGTGTTGAGCCTTTAAACTTTTGCTACCACTACTATATTTGGTATAGAAAAATCTGTTACTTTCTGTCTGAACAGAGATAAAGAGTGGGAGTACATTAAAGGGAGGAAGAAAAGTAAAGGTAAGGAAAATGTAAGAAAAGTAATAGTAATATTGAGGGAAGTTAAAGTAAAATAAGTACCGGTACCAGTTAGAAAAGTAACAGCATAGATGAAGTATTATATTACTTCATCTATGGTAACAGTAAGGAAAGTAACAGCAAGCCATAAGGGTTATAAGGGAACGAGTAAGGAAAAGTAACAGTAAGAAAAGTAAGTGTGAGAAAAGGAAGCGTAAGAAAATTAACAGTAAGTAAGAGAAAGAAAAGTAAAAGTAAGGAAAGTAAGACAAGTAGCCATAAGGAAAAGTACGAGTAAGGAAAGTAAGGCAAGTAGCTGTAAGGAAAAGTACGAGTAAGGAAAGTCAGGTAAGTAACAGTAAGGAAAGTAGGGTAACAGTATAAGAAAACTAACAGTAAGGTAAGTAATGAGTAAGGTAAGTAAGCGCCAAGACACTAAGTAAGCTTATAGCCTAGTTAATTTTCTCTGATATCAGACAATCACTTACACAAGATCAAGTTATAGTTATTCATTTTTTAAGTTAATCAATACGACAGGATGTGGTGTAATGCGTTATCGCTTTGACGTTTTATGCGTCATGTTACACACAACGATGTAAAGAACTACACACTGTCAGCGTAATTTCCCACTTTATTTCCATATCCCCTTCTCTTTTTGTTAGTTAGCCTATTTTATTTAGCAAACTCCACTAACCTATTTAGTCAACTTTGAATGTACCGTAGTCGATTCAAATAATTGGTCTGGCAGATGATTCCAGTTTGAACTAGACAGGTTGGCATTTCACTGACGTGACTAGAGCCATTGTAACCTGCTGTTGTGCCAGAACTAGAGGCAAAAATATGAGAAAAGAGGCGAGAACCAATCAGTTGGACACGTAAATGGAATCTTCCCATTTTTAGTTACATCTACGATCTACAACACAGTTTGCAGAACTAACATACAACCTTCGCGTTCATTCGTTGTAGTACACAATTTAATCTGGATGGGAATGTTATAAATAATTTGGTCTGTTTTGAAATAAAATTTGCATATTTTAAGATTTTTTTGGAATTATGTGACAAAAGTATTAAACCCTACAAAACATCCCAATTAGAAGTACCGTGCTCAGTTTATATTTGAAACTTATTATTTATTCTTATTTATACAAAAACTGTCTAAAAAAAGTGTTAGATAGTTAGATGTACAGTATATGGAGAAAATGTTGTTCGACAACATTTTTCAGTTTGAGTTTTTTGTGAAAATATTCGTTTTAGGTCCCTCTGAACCCACAAAAGTGGTTTTCGAAGTGATGACTGTGTGTGTCTGTGTGTGTAAGTGTAACAGCGCTTCAGACTACACCTGTGGTCCGATTTTGATAGCATTTGGTATGGGTAGCAGGGTAACTAAATGCATTTTCTTTAAATTTTGAATTTTGATTACACTTTTACCGATTGATTTTTTATTTTTGATGAAAATTGAATGGGCTCAAACGATTTTGGCTGAAATTGAGTACGTTAAGGTCCCTTTAACGCTTAACAATGGTACAAACCCCTATGCTGTAAAAATTACGGTTCTAAATGTATTGCAATTTTTGTTATTTTGCCCTATAACATCATAATTTCTCCCACCGCTTGCGCATTATAAAGGGTTGGTGACCAAATAATAGGAGTAAGCATGTATAAAATTGCTGAAGCAATTTTGATTTGAATTCAGAATATTATATCATTGAATGCATGTGTATGGTACAAGAATTATAATTAAAAGTGCAATAACAAAATAACATAAATTAAAATCGACTCAAGCAATGTTTTCATTACTTATTTAAGTTTAACTTCTTCAAGATTAACTTCGTATTTTACTACGATCAATAATTAGAGTATAATTGGTTGTGATTTTGCAAGATATTGCAACAATTAACAACATAATGAAGGCCGAGGTAACCCAACAATTGCCTAACAGCTGATTGCTTCACCGATGTTAATCGATGCGTATCGGAACAATTTAACAATCAAGTTATTGTAAGTTATTAATTTGTTTGTTTTTGTAATATGAGTTATTTTATGTATTTTAATTACTATATGCGTTTATTTAGAAGAGTGGGTAATGAATAACAATTGCTGCACTTCGTTACCTTTTACGTAATTCATTTTTCATTCATGCTTATTAATTTATTTTTGATTATGCACTCTGGTATTACGGCGTCATCTATAGGAGTCCTACTTTAAAATAATAAAAAAGTGTAAGAATATTTTTCTCTAACGAAGTAGACATGTCTTTAGTGCACTACTAAGCCTTCCTTCCTATCGTAAAACTATGGGTAACGGTTATATGTATGGGTCGTTTTGCCTTATTCCCAAACACAAACAACAATAAATCATAAAACTCTGGCTACTATAGTTATAATGTTAGTTTATAAGAATAATTTTTGTATTGATTGATTTTCATGTAATCAGAAAAAATACTAATGTGTACATTATTTTGCTTTGTAATTGTTCTAGAGGGTACTTTTTTAAACTGACACACAGGTGATTGACACAGACCAGATAAAATGTGTTGAAAATCTATTTAATGAGTTTATTTATTCTGGAGTGCCATTGATTATATAAAATGTTTTAAATTAATTAAATAAGCATTAGCAACACTGATTTTTTTGTAGCAGTAGTACAGTAAAAGGTTTATATCATAATTTCCGTCTCATTCCCCAATGTAAAGCAAGGGAAATATTCCATTAAACTTATGATTAAATTTTGTTCTTGAAATGGAAGAAATATTATGAAACATATCAATAATGCATAGTAGGTTTTATTTACTTTGGAATGCACTTAAAAGTGGTCTCCATTCTTTAAAATTTGATTACGTGGCAAAGTTTTAGTAATTAACTGCATGCTAGCATAAGAGAAATTAAATATCGCTTGGTTCTCAATGTACGTAATCTGTTCTAAAAGCTACACATAACCAACCCAATAGTTGTGTTCTTGTGTGTGTTCAGAAGATCACACGCAGAAAATCGCGCTTCTTTTTAGCATTATCTAACTGCTGAATCCATTTAAGGGCATGTTTCTGTACAACATGTAGATTTTGTTTATAAGTTTACAATTTATTTTTTCTTATTTTATAAACTATTACCTCCTTCCACCATGATTACGAGCGATTCCAACGATTAATTAGAAATTGTTACTTGTCCTAAGGTACTGAAAACGCGCACGGTATAAAGTATCCATCTTGAAATAAAGAGAGAAAATAATTTATTTATAAAAATAAATACGTCTGTCTAAAAAAATAAGGTTGCCAATGATGCAGAAAAATATACACTTGAAATATTGAAGGATAATAACAGATATAAGACTGATTAATATTGATGTTTGTCATATAAATGATTTCTCATTAGTCAGAGAACCTCTTAATATAATATTGAATACTGTATTAATACTGTATACTCTTATTACTGTATTTACAAAAAAATATATAGTCTACACCAATAAAAGCATAACCGGTCATGAAATACGACAGAAGGACTAAAATCGGATGAAAATTCTACAGGACTTTGTAGTATCCAAAGTCAGTGTTCTAAATTACAAAGTGGGTTACCAAATCGATTTGCATCAACGCAACTAGGGTAATGTTTTTGTATTGCTTCCTTGTTGTTCACTTACAGGAACATTTCAAACTGGTTAATAGGTCATTGTTGATTCTCAGAAGTGTGCAACAATGAGTGAGGTGATTGTTGGAGGTTGATTTTCCGCCCGCGTCGCGTCGGCTTGCCTCGCGCAACTCGCAAATGCTACACACTACTTTACTTTGTAGGTGCGGCTCTTCTCTTCTCATTCAGTCGGTTCGGTACTCGCCAACAGTCGTCTTCTTACCTAAACCTAAACCTTACCTCATTCTGCCCCCACTACCACCTCCACACTCCCCCCCCCCCTGCGACTTGCGCTTCACGTTCACTTCACACTCACATTTCAGTAATTCAGTCGGTTCAGTTCAGTTAAGTAGTTCAGTAGTGTAGTTCACAACGTTTCACGACTCAGTCACTGACGCACAACAGCTGGCTGATGACTTGTTGTGTGTTTTCACATATGTGTTTTGTGTGAAACGGAAACCAAACAAAGGATGCGTTAGTTATCCAGGATGTGCTAGTGACAGTGTTAGGTTAGTTACAGTTCGCTTCTGTGTCGCAATATTCCGATTTCACGAGTGTGGTTTTCCGAGCCACAGGTGTGCCGATGGGTCCAAGTCCTTATCAGTTTGAGTGCGTTACGTCAAGGAGGTGTGGCATTTCATGATTCCAGCAGTGTGTGGGAATGGCGGCAACTTTTCTGACGCCTGTGAAATCTGAACAGGACATTCTTAGGAATTCTATGCTAGAAGATGATCCGAACGCCAACTCTTCAGTTTTCCCAGAAGAGACTTTATCTCCCAGGTGGGGGCCGACACACAAAGGAGCGCAGGAGTTAGCTAACCTATATAGTAGAGGTGAGTGAAGTTTGAAGTTCTGTTGCAACAATGGTGTTATTTGAAAGTTGTATTCTAAACAACTTTTTACAATGCATACTTTTGTGAAAATAGTCATAGTTATACATAATGTACAGGTAACTTATCTTTACCTAGTCTAGATGTGTGGTTAATTCAGACATGAACATAATCCTGACAAAATAAAATAGTTCTAATCATAAACCAGAGGTTCAGGTATGAGCCGTGAGGGCCGAGGGGGAATTTCCTATTTAAATAATTTTTATTTCAAGTCAAATATTGAATGGAACTTGGGATCTTTTAAGCCTAGAATTTGGAAATGAATAAAAATACTTAGTTTTTTATAAAATCTATTTATTACCTCTGTAAATTTACTAGTTAAGGGAGACAAGGTTACTGGACAGTACATTCTAAAAACTAAATTTATTAGTTAACCCTTTATCCCACATATCCATTTTCAAAATGTTATAAGATTAGATCTATGTACACTTGATTTTAGATACCATACCGTCTCCTATAAAGTAGAAAAGGAAAGAAGGAAGGTAAAAGGAAAAGGAAAGGAAGGTAGAAGGAAGGAAGTGGAGTAGGAAGTGCTGTATATAGATTCTCTATTCTATCTCTAGTGAAGAGGATAACAAATACAAAAATAGCTTTTTGATTCTCATTTTCCATTTTGGCAAGATAAATGGAATATAATTAATAAAATACGTCTCCCGACACTATCTGATACTGTAGATATTTACTCACATAGTAAACTGAAACGAATTAGTTATTGTTCGTCATAGCAAATCTATGACAAACAATGACTAAATTTACTTTTGTAAAAGAGAAATCTGAGTTGTCCATTGTGTTTCTAATAAAATACCTTTTTGCTCCATCAGAACTTATTGAATAATCTGAACCATCCCGCCAAATACTTTTAACATGTTTCAATCCAGTAAAAGCCACCGATGAATGAATACTTAATTGATCCATCTAAGCTATCACATAAAACTTTTATCACACCAAACGTACACAATTTGTGTACAAACTACAAAAACAAAACTTTAACCTACAACAATTACAAAGACATTTAAACTGTAGGGGATTTTTTTATAAACTTTACACATAATTTCCGTAGTTGGGGCTACCTTTCAGTTATCTCATCTGGTTTAGTATCACAGATTGCCCACCTGTCAAGCTTGTCAATGATAAGTGATAAGGATATTCAATTCACACTATTATTTTATCTGGTTGAAATAATGACTCAATTCAACTTAATTACTTTAGAATTAGAAAACACCTTTAGCAGGACAAAACTATTTTAAACTGTACCTAATTTAATATATCTTCCAGTTGTGATTAAGTTAAATCCAGTAGTTAAGAGTCTAACCAAAAAAAATATTTACTCAAAAAAAATATTTGTTTCATTGGTGGTTTTTGATTAATCAATTAATTAACTGTCAAAGTACGGTACTCAAAACCATGTATATTCATATAATATAGACCTAGTAATATTCCTTTTTTTGGGTTGCAATGGGGTCTTATAAGTATAACAAAAATAGTCTTCTTCTTTATTTATAACCACCATCAGTTCATATAATAATGCAAGCCAGTAGCATAAATAAATTCTATTCCTATTCCTTTGTAAATAAAATAAATCAAATTGCATACCATTTAGATCAAAACAAAGATCGGCAACAGGCCCGGTGATATAATATGTGTGATAGCTATGGGCCCAAGATATAAAATTATCATCTTCTTTGAGGTTGTTACAAAAAGCGTTGGAAGTTTACCAACATTAAAGTGTTGGCAGGACTTAAAGATCTTTTTTACCGATCCAACTTTAGTAACAGTGGCGAAAAGGTTATTTGTTTTTTTTTCATGAGGAGGGAATGAAAACCACATCACAGTTCACAACCACAAAAAGTTCAACAATCCCTTTTCAATAGGGCTACATTGTTATTAGCAAATGTAAATTATTAATTACAATTTAAACCTCAACTGACCATTTAACTGTGTCGCCACTATAGCTGGCTTTGTCTAACAAGTGTGTTCGTCTTCAAGCCATTTTTCAGAACATTAGTTTTAATCGTCGACATCTTTCGCAAATCGCAAAGGGCTGTGAACGTATCCCATGTTCACGACAAGATTGTTAACACTTTTGCAATTGCAGAGACATCTTCTATGTCTCCTGTACTCAGAAATAAATCACAAACATCTCCTGTTCGTGGGAACACAAGCTTTGTCTCCCTCGGTCGTGACAAAATTGTGGACATCTTCCGTGATCGCTAAGGAATCGTGAAACTATGTTGGATAATGGTATGCTTCACCTTGAGCGCCTGCAAAAACTTTCTTTAGGGAAGCATACCGTACTAGAATCTTATCCCAGAGGTTAGAGGAAAAACCCTCCTTCCAAAACATGTTCATTTTAAAGGAAAAACATTATATTTCACCAAAAAAACTTAAAAAACGGTAAAAATGGTAGTAGATGGTAGTCTAAAAGCTGGATTTGTTATACCGTACAGCTTTAAAAACATACTTATTTATCTCCACAATCTGTTTAAATCCTTAGAGAACATTTTAGAGAATTTTAAATATTTTTTTTTTCAAAAACACTATTTTTATTTTCAGATTCAATGCTTATTTTAAAATATACTGTTTCCATTTCAGGCAAACGTATACAAGAATGCATAAGCGTCAGTATATGCGTCACGCTGATGGCTGTCAATACTTGTCTTATATTTTATCACATACACGTAAAAAATATTCCCACGATCATATTGGCTGCCCTCTGCGGTATTGTGTCAGCCGACTTTGCTTCCGGCCTCGTCCATTGGCTAGCAGACACGTGGGGTTCGATAGACCTACCGATAATCGGAAAGGTAAGTGCAAACATCCTATTACTTATATGAAATATCGGGTGGCATTACGATCATCAGAAAGTTTAGGTAATATCCTATATCATATTATGTTTAGTTAGCTGTTAATATAGAAGAATTTGAATATTCAGAATGTTAATATGATACATCATAGCTCTTATGAAAGTGTTCAAAAGTTAATACAGTATAACTATAATCATTAGAACCAATCACAAACCAATTATAAATTTCAATGCAATCTTAAATTCATACCAATTTCTTGTAGTCAGTGCCATTTATTTATTGGTGAACATTTGTGACTGTATCTGTAGCTATCTAAACCAACGATCTGCAAAGGTACTGACTTGTCATGTTTTATAGCCTCTATAAATTATATAAACCGGAGTACATACTATTTCAATTTATTAATTAATCGCTTACTCAGTTTATATTTGACCCTCTTTATGTAAAAAATATAAAAAAATTCGAATAGACAATGGTACAGAGTATACAGAGTATACCTTTGACAAATATACAGCATTTCAAAGGAAAAAAAGGAATTAAATGGAAATAAACCCTACCATGGTTCAGGGGTTTTTGGAGACCATCATTAAGGTAGTACAATAAAAATAAATTTCTAAAGAATGGTATCATTAATGACCGAAACACAAACTGAGGACACCTAAATGCAGCCTCTGTATTCTATTTTTAAACATAAATCAAATTTAAATTTCATTTACAAAAAAATATGAAGACATTTTATCAAGTAATTTCTTCTTGATATTTGAAATTAAAGTTGATAAGTTTTAGAGTAACCAAAAAATGTTTACTACAAGAAAGCGTTTTACAAAATAAAATTAAATTAAACATGCATATATTATGTTGATTTGCTGAGATTTGCTACTTTATTTTATGTTTATCAGTTTTGTGAATACCTCTAAGAATTAAACCCAAAGAGATTTTACAATTATTGTTATCAAGTCAACATTCTCTGTTAATGAATGTGAATATGAACAGAAGAACATCTGCATTTGCATTTGATATTTCAAACAAACACTGAGAACGACAACAGCTGATTGAGGTTTCGTTCCACTTGTGAAGCAACAATACCCAAGGCCTTGAGTCAGTCTAATATTGGTACCATCATAACTGTATCTTGTACTCCATACCCTTATCTCATCGGTGTTTAACCATTTAAGCTCCAAAGCTGATATGTTGGATGTTATGAGTAACAAAATGTTCATTTAAACACTAATTATGTGAAAATAAATTAACAAAAATGGCTGAAAAGTGTGTTTGCCTTGTTCTGCTACCTGGACAAGCTCAGAATCTATTTACTAGATTATTGGGTTAAAAATGTCACCCTTGCTGTTGAAACTTAGGTAAGATGAAAAATTTAGCAGTCTAAGGCGATGTCATCCTAGTACTGTTGATCATATGCTCAAATCCGGTCTCGGTTGGATATAGTTTGCAAGTTATGAAAGTTCACCTTACTGTGATAGAGCTGACGAGAGAGGTCCATCTAGAATCATAGTGGAATGCTCAGATGGAAATTAAATGGATAAGTGAAATCCTTCTGAGTTTCACTTCTGGACAACACTTTAAAAGTTAGCCCAAGGAGAAGGACACGTCTGATATTTTATGTTTCCTCGCAAGATTAGAATTTAAATATCAAATTATTTTAATCATGTGGTAATAAACCGTATTGCAGTGAACAGGATTTGTATGCTAGGTGTTCACAACGCTGGAAGTTTTTATCCTGTGACCACAGAAAAGGTACAGGAGGAAACACGGATATGAGACGACCGTGCGCTTTCAGTGCTGGTATGTTGTGCCGGAAATATATTTGTGACGAGCAAGGAAGAGCCCCAGCGGAAAACAATGTGCAGAAATTCCCATTGCACAGGGTCTTCCTCTACGGTGAGCGTTGTAGTACATGGGGGGGCGGTGTTCGTCTTTGCCCTAGACACCACTTAAGTGTACCATTGAGTGTTTCCTCAGTACCTACTTCGCTGTGCTGTTAGAGTACTTAAGTTTTTGATGACTAAAGCTCTAGTGCGTAATTGCAACAAAAGTGTGAGAAATTTTTACATAACGATGATTCATTAATGAATATTCTGCAGCCATTCAGAAAACATATAACATATTCGTTGTTACAGTATTTTAAAAAAAACATGTAAATTCTATTGGTTAAAATTAGTGAGTAACTGCAACTTAAGTCCTGTGAGATATTTACGTAAGGATGATTGTTTTAAGAATTTTCTGCGGCCATTCAGGGAGCATCACATAGACCCTACGTCGATAACCCGCCACGACTTCATCGAGACCAACGGTGACAACTTCATGGTAACCATCCCGTTCCTGCTGCTCATGCTGTACCGACTCCTCACAGACTCCGAAGTCCAGCTGCAGCAACGGTTTTCCTCCATTTGCTTCATTTTCCTCTTCGCAATCTTCGTCGCCATGACAAATCAGGTAGGATCTCTTAATCTCGGTTGATGACTGGGGTTATTATCTTTTGTCTGCACTTAAGGTATTTTCCTTCCAGATATATGATAGTCCCTTAAGGAATCATTACTGATAATTTTAAGAGTTTTTAAAATGCAGACGATATTTTGTTGTTGAAAGAACTAGCAATGTATGGTTAGTTGGCAGTAATAATTTATTTGCTCAACTTTTTGTGACGTGTAATAAATTCTAAAATACAAGCTTTAAATAATAATTAGAATTAATTTCTTTATTTGTCATGAATGTTTTGACTCGTACATAATTGAATCAAGACTGAGCAAAGATAACAAATATTTCTGCTTTCAAATACCTATGGTTGCCTCCCCAGAAGAATGAGGCTAGGTGCTTGTGTACTCAATATTTGTATTTCAAATCTTTTTTTTAGATCCATAAGTGGTCTCATACATACTTTGGTCTCCCACCATGGGTCGTTTGGCTTCAAGAGCACCATGTAATCCTACCCAGACGACATCATAGGTAAGCATCAGCGCTTAAAACCATCAACTTTACTTTTTAAAAATTTCAATTGGGAGTTGCTCATTACTCCTCTAGATATTACAACATTTCATAGATAACATTTTAAAAACTTGATTGTAGCACCTAGCACATGATGCAATCCACAGTTCTCAGCACTGCAGAGCCCAAAGCCCGATGTTGCAAAGCACTCTGTAAACTTTCAATGAACTTCAGGAGTTGACTCTTTAGACCACATAAATCGCACAACTTTGCCGTAGTATAGATTTTTCCTTAATTTGTTATTTTTTGGCCGTTATGATGAGACTACTAATCGTTTAGGGATGAAAACCAGCATGAATGGTAGAGGATGAAGTAAAAACTACAGCATTGATTTTTAGATTTTAAATACAGTAGTTAGTAGTTATAGTTTAACTGTAACAGAAGCTAAATTGTTTGAGACCTTAATTTTCGGACAGTTCTTGTATTAAACAAGATCTATGGAACCGAAATCCAGTTAATGTTGTTTGCTAGCCTAGTGGTGAGCACCTTATGCCTTATTCTTGAAGTGTTTCTGAACCAATTAATTGAGAAATAAAAAGGTTAAATTACCTATTGTCGCCATATAATCCAAGTATATCCTACTGGATTATTCACATATGCCATTGTCAGATCAGTACACAAACTATTCTTGCCTGAAGAGGTGCGTTAAAAGTTCACAAACAAGTAAACACTGTTATTAAACATAGTGTTACTTGTGCACGGACAGGAAGATGGAGGCGAGCCAGACGAGTGTCAAGACTCAATAGGAAAAAGCTGGTCGTTATCTGACCTTTGTCCTGATGACATAGCGAGTACAGCATTGTTTTGGCTATTGTCTAGCTTTGGTTTCAAAATTGGATTGCAGGGTGTTTTTGTCATGTGGCTTTTTTTATTATAGTTTGATATTATCGGGTGCAATCTCTTTCAATCTGTCAAAATTGCACCTTTTTTACTGTTTTCATAAAAGTTTTTTGTTACCTTATTTTAACTAGCAAATTTACTTAAAATTACCAAAAACATTTCTAATCCCCGACCATGGTCTGTCGCTAGATTCCACCATGTGGCGCCCCACGAGACCTACTACTGCATCACTACCGGCTGGCTCAACTGGCCGCTAGAAGTCGTCAAATTCTGGTCGACGCTGGAGACAATCATCACCCTCGTGACGGGCTGCAAGCCGCGTGACGACGACTTCAAGTGGGCTCAAAAACGCTCGTGACCACTCACAAATTGTAAATATCCCTGTAAATATTTGTACCTTCATTGTTACCCACTGAGCTTGATAGCCACACTGTCGGAGTCAATGCGCCATATTTTTGCATTTAATTTTTTATAACTCTAGGTTAATTGTGAATTTTATACATTGAATCTCTCATGTAATGACTTGTTTGAGGGTGAAATTGCAATTTGAATATTTTGTCGCTAATGTTTTACTTGTAAGCGTTCACTGATTAATTTTGTTATTGAAAGCAAAGTGAGGATTTGGTATGTTTGCTTTTAAAAAAGTTCACGTCCATCAAGTCACACTTATTTATTTTTGTTTGACTGGCCCCAGGCCAATCGGTAAAGTGATAATTTGTTTGTAATTTATTTTTGCTGAAAAATGTTTATTGAATTATTACTTTGGATCATTTGGAAAATTCAGCCCGGTAATCTCGATGAATCATTAAAATAGTTTAAGGAATATGAGAAACAGAATAGAAAAAACACTCCATAATACATCAGATTCTTTATACATTGTACTGATAGATTATTCAAAATAACTACATTTAACTGTAGATTTTGTAGTTTTCAGTGTAATGACCATGTTGCTTACCCAAAATTGTGTAACAACATCAAGACTCCAAATTATGAAGAAAACGAATCAATAACCATCATTAATTTTGTATCGTGAAAAAATAATAAATTTGTTAAATAGGTTTATAAGTTTCATTTGTCCTTATATTATTAATACTTATGTATATAAATGCTAAATGTATGATTTAATTTTAAATTAATGTGTTAAAAAATTATATAATTTATCTTAAAAGTGGTAATACAGTAATGTTTAAGCCATTTTGAGTTAAGTTACTGAAGAAGTTTTTGGAGTTGGACAAATTTATTAATTTTCCTTGTACTACGGTACTATAACATTTAGGCAACTTAGACAAATCATTGACAACAATGAATCACCCATAATTAAATTTTGAAGACTATGGCATGGAAGTTAAAAGATTAAACATTTTTTTTTTTTATATTACCATAAGTGTCATGTCATTATTCATTCTTTGTTTCTTTTGTAATTCTTTGTTTTTTGTGTAACTGATAATATCCTGTGGTCTTAAAGCATACCTCTTTTGTGAGATTAATATTGTTTAGCTTGTTTTTACATTTAATTCCCCAGCATCAGCAAACATTTTACTGTACGTCATTCCAATTGGAATCAATGCCAAAAACAGACTATTGTTCTAATACAGAAACAATGCCACCCGTTTTCAATTGTCTACCCACTATCTCATTGCCAATAAGTCTAAATTGTTGTTTAAAATTTCGTAGAGTATTTCAAACTACACTACAATAAAACCTGTTTTAGTTTTATTAATAAAATAAAAGTATATCAGCAACGATCACAGTCTTCTCAAATGTTCAGTTTAAGAGAAAACAGTTTTATGGATGAATATCCTATTTTTATCACCAACTTTCATGACACATTACATTAATTGTTTTTCATTTAAGTAATCCATTTTATAATGTTAGTATCCAAAAAGTCATTGAGTAAAGACTCATATTCCATGAACAAATTTTTAAGGACCAAATAGATTTTGTTGATTTATGCCATCTTGTTGTAATGTTGATCATATTGTTGTGGATTGTACAGCTGTGCCTTGTGCCTTAGACCTCACAAATTTCCTTTAAGTGCTTTAAGAGTCATAATTTATGAGTTTATATTGTACATTCAGTGACAGTTCCAAGGGGGAAGTTATAGGGGCTAAAGCTCCCCCCCCCCCACACCCATAGGACCCTGAAAGAATCGATTCAAACATGCATGTCGTCCTAAAAACCTAACAGAGGTTTTTGGACACAGTTCTAGACATTAAAAATAGCTTTAAAAAGTTGTGAAACTGCTTTAAAAATACCAAATCTTTTGAGGGAGGACCCCTGAACCCCCTTCCTTTCTGGGGGGGGGGGGGGCACCCCCCAACAAGGCCCCAGAACCAAACTACTTTGTACATTGTATTGCATGAAAATGGTCCGATAGAAATTGTAACAGCTGTTTATGATACCGTTTTATTTCAATATAAATTTGGCAACATTGCCAAAACCAAATCTGGTTGGACTGTTTTCGTGTAATGTAGAATATTGAGCTTTTGTTAATTAATAGAATTTGAAGCAATGAACAGCCAATGAATATTGACTATTTTTTAAAGTTTTTGACAGGAACACACAGTCTGATAATACTCACAACAGTCAGGTTTATTTGTGAAAAGCGATTCTATCAGTATCCTTAGTAATTTTTTTTAGGTTGGTTTTTAAATTAATTGAAATTTTAAAAATATACCTATGGCTTTTTGTGCCATAAGTTTTGCACATTACATTTTGTGTAGTGTAATGCTAGTCAATAAAAAACAATTCAATAGAAATTTCAATATTACAATGTAAGTAATGTATGAAAATGTTAACAAAGGCAGTTTAACTGTCATGCCTATAATTTTAATTATTTTTTAGCTTTTTAATTTTATTTTAACATAACAAAACCATTGTATGTGTTGTAATAGTCTTAGGGCTAAAAATAAAGTAGCGTATACATTAGGAGGACTTTTTGTAAAAAAGAGTGATTTTTAAACAGCCTAGAAGATAAAACAAGGTTTATTTTATATTGTTAAGAAAGTCAAAGTAAATCATTTGAGTGAGTATTTTTCTACTCATAAATATTTAAAAAATATTTGTGTACTCGGCTACAAGCTTTATTGCTCTGTGATAGTTTAGAGCACTTCGTATTTAATAATAAATTATAATTAATAAACATGTCCATAATTATTTTTAAGACAACGCCACAATTTAATAAAAAAAATTCAATTTATATGTAATATGTTTGATTTTCCTCTGTTGTAACGTTAGGATATTCATGTAACTTATTGTGATAATTTTCAAATGTTCTATACATGTGCGGGGGGTGATCAGTACCTAGGGCTGAAAAAAGATTTGTCACCTTTCCGGGGGGCAGACGGGGCCCTCCCCTGAAAATTTTTTGAAATTAATAGGCGTACTCTAAAAAAAGTTTAAGGGTATTTTAGGGTTAAAATTTACTGATTGAAATTGGTTTTTGTTTTATATGTATTTAACTCACTTATAAAATAAACCAATATTGTAAAAAAAGCCTTTTTTGGAAATTCAGCACCCCTAAAAATATGGAGCTCTCCACCAGGTACCTGATACAATCCATTTCATACTGAGCTTAAAGTAATAAAATTAACTCTTGGCAATTTCATTTTCCCCCTCCCAATAAATTCAACTCTTGTGCATTCAAAACTCTTGATAGTTCGACGTATTTTGCTTATCCTGTCAATTTCAAGTAATAAAGAGTAAAAGTGTCTCATTATATATTTGATTTATTTAGCATTTTTGAAAAAGCTGAGTCCTTTTACCAGTATATTCAAATTGTTAAATCAAATTTTGTGTAATCCTAGCAATGTAAACCTAAGCGATCACAAGACCTAAGACATTGGCCTTAGATTTCACTCTAGGGTGGGTATTTTAAGGTAAGGATCCAGTGAAGCCCAGTAGGTCAAAATATTCAGGCAGTTGAGGAGAAGCTGCCCCACTACTTCTTTCTTCTTAATGTTGCATCTGATTGACATTTTGGCTAACCTCAGCTGTTGTACTATTGTTTTAAAGGTAGGATCTAGTGGAGGAGATAGATTTCTTCCTCTAAAACCGCCTAAATTTTGTGAAAAGAGTATGAGTAGATGAATTAGGTGACAGCCTTTGTTCTGACTATGATCTTTTTTTTTTTTTTTTTTTTTTTTATAGAGGTTGGCGGCCTCTTTTAACCTTGCATTTGCCCGTCCACATAGACTAAGCGCCCGTGCGTGGATCGTTTACAGCAAAGCAAGGAGTGAGCCGGTACAGTACAAAGGTGAACTGTACTGATAAAATGTTATCGGCAGTGACCAGGATTCGAACCCACGACATCGCTGCCTTGGGCCCGAAGTCCGCGACGCTACCGACTGAGCCACCGACTCACTGAAGATATCAGCTGGTTCTTTTAGCCATGGCCGTTAAATGAGAACAGCTGGGACTGGGCAGGGCAGCTTTAATAAATGGGCGGTGGGCCCAGGGGCGCAAGAGAGTTTTAGGTTTGTTGGGGAAGCGAGGAAGAGAAAAATTCCTCCACGAGGTAGGTGGAGGGGCGCACATATCTCGGGGCCCATACCACATCACATGCAAGAGGGCCTGGGGCTGGGTCCACCCAGTTTCTAAATTCTAAAAAGCTCCTTCAACAAATCCTTCAAAATCTTTCAAACTGACTAAGAATAAATTTTCCTTTAAAGTTACCTTTGCCGTGACTCTATAATAAAGGAAGGATTGCCATACCCTATTTTTTTACAAATTCCGTTTTTTGTGACTATGTCAAGGGTGCCGATTTTTCCGTGAAAACTATGTCTGTGTAAAAACCAAAACAGCCATCAACACAAAAATCGTAAATGGCCATCCTCAAACGTGTTCAAAGTGTAAGCATTCAAAAACGTAAACAACTTAAAATTATATTTTTAAAAAAGTATCTAACATGTAAACATACATCTACTCCTGAACTAAGGACTCATATATACTTAGATCAACGATGCAATTACCCAGTGTTAACTGTATGTTGTGTATTTAAATAATTGAGATTTGAGAATGGTGTGAATGCTTCGCTCAGGTCGGCTAGTATTATTTAATTGTCAAACTGTTTTCTGGACCCACATTTTTCCTGTGGGTTATTCCAGATCCCCAGCCCTGGCCCTATGGAAAAGTTAGGTGGACCCGATACTATGTTCTATTAATGTACTCTTTAAGAATGGTTTTGTTGATACTTGGGCAGTATGTGCTATGAAGTTTTGATCAAAATAGTTCTACCACTATGAGTATAGTTGTCTAGCTAGGCGGTCTGAGTGGTACAGCTGGTAAAGTGAGAAATTTGGAGTTTTAAAATAGTTATAGCTAAGATGAGTAGTTATGGGTTCCCAAATAACTATGATGTTTTGTTTTTGTATGGTAGAAAACTTGTACCACAGTCTATAGAATAGTCTGTGCTTGTAGGTACTGAAAGAAGTTTTTGTTATGGCTGACACATTTTTTGGCAATTTAGAGAACAAAAATCGTATAAACTGACGTAGATACAAAAGTGGTCAATAATTTTAATAGCAAAACCTATTTGTTGGGTTGTTGAAAGAAACATTTTTCAAAGATGATTATTTTCGTACCATATGGGAGATTTTCAATATTTTAACGTTATCGTGGAAGCCGATGATAAGCTACCACAGGAGACAAATGATTGTTTTCGCAACTGTGGAATAATTTTGCCGCAATCGTAGAAGAGGATGACTATATTTCCGATACTCATTGATATAATTAGTATTTGGCCACGATCACGGGAGACGATGATGACTTTATGAGCGAAGGAGGTAATCTTGATGTTGCCGAATCGTGGAGGACAATGACAATATTTCCGTTACCAATATTCAGGGTTTTGCCGCGATCACGGTTACGGAAGAGGATGACGATCTTTTTGTGACAGCGGGAGATATTCGGGATTTTGCCGCGATCGTAGAGGACGAATAATGGCGTCTCCTCTACAGTACAGACGATGGCTCAGATAGTGAAGTACCCCACCACGAGCATAGCTTATTGGGTGGGCAGATTTTCACATCCTTGTTAGTCAGTCGTGACGTCATCGTTGATTCGTTCGATTCGAGAAGTCGATGTTGTTTTGCAACATAGTCACTTCGACATATCGTCTATCGATATTTGATCGTTGTTCGCGTCGAATTCGTTATCATCATGGTTGTTTGTTAAGCAGGTTGTTTCTCTACATTTTTATGAATATGAATCTGATAGTCACAGTAGAAAAGCCTTTTAAGCTTATAGGACGGTCTGTAATTTAAATTTACCGCTCATATGCAAATCTAATTGTATCGGATCGGAAATAAGGAGCTTAAACCAAGTTGGACGTGGCTTGTGACCAAAAGTAAAAGATATAATAAACAAGAAAGACTTAAAGCTATACATAACCTGGCCAAAATCCGCACGTGCCCACTAGCTACCTTGGTTATTTCTAAGGAGCTTAATTTCGGGATCTTATCTTATGACAAGATTGGACTTTGTTTTACTGATTTTCATTCAACAATGTAGGCCTATTTAAGTTATTAAAATGTATTTTGTTCTCATTTGTTACCCCTAGTATATTAATTTAATATGGGTATTTTGTGTTTAGTCGTAGCTTAAGATTTATGAAACTTAAGTTGTGCTTATAAAACTATTACCGGTAACTATTAAGTTTTGGGCATTTCAAATGCTTAATTTTAGACGTAGGCTAAAATAACATAACAGGCATAGCCTAATTGAACATCAAGAGGATGTCATAGGCTATGTAGCCTACTTTGCAAGTCCTAGGTCCTATTATTGTGGTAATAAACCCCTTTATAATTCAAAGGCATGGCATCAAAATAGCAATGAAGATCCAACCTAGCTAATAATTTACACAGTTTAGGCCTGGCCTATAAACTTAAAGCAGTGTTAACAACTTCTGAAGCCCAGCTAGCCTAAAGCTTCCGAATCTATTAACATAGACTTGTTAGATTCTATATCCTATTCCCAATATGGCCAGCCTATGGAAATTCAGAATTCACCAAGGTCACAAAATTAATTATTAACAAAGTGCAATTTCGATTCCACGTGATCACCATCATTATTATCTTCTGTCACCTCCATTCCTGTAATAGGCCTAGGCCTAAGTTAAGTTAATCCAAGTCCAAAAACATATAATTTTATGATAAAGTCTCAAAAACATATATGACTTAAGTCATATGTAAATATAAAAATGTATAATTTAAGTTAAATCCAGAAAACAACATCTCGTAAGTTAAGTGAAAATTAAACAAACTGGTAAGTTATATCTGAAAACAAGATTAACAAATTTTCTTTCGTTACGCTTGTCGACATACATTCAATCCAACCAAACAAAGAAAGAGAAAGAACCAAAGAACGAGAATCAAGATTCGAGAAAGATATATTTTAGAAGGATGCGTTTCTCTAGTAAGTAAATTAGGGGTATTCGATTATCGACTATTTTGACTTGTGGAGCTATGCGATACCAGTACGGTAATTGCATCGCATCGACGATGGTCGATGACGTCACGACTGACTAACAAGGATGGGAAAATCTGCCCACCAGCTTATTGTGCGTTGGGTGGGCTCCTTAAAAACGCCTCGCCCCGGGTGCAATAAACCACGCAACGGTCGGTCCAAATTCAAATTTCGAATATAGTATATGATTTTAAATACAATAAAACTATGTTTTTTTATTCACTCCCAAGTTTATGTGTTATTAATCAATGTTTTGACGATTGTTTCGATCAATGTTTCACATTTAAAAAGGTGGCCGCGCATTTCAGAGTTTTTATGCAACTGGGTTTGAAGTCTTCTTGCAATGTCCAATGTCCAAAGTCAATGAGACGACCTTAAACATAAACTATTTATCTCTTATCTCTGAAATGTGAATAGGAAAATATATAAAATCGTAGATAAAACTAAAGTTTTGTTAAATATTCAGATATATTTTTGTAGCTATTGCAGTTTATTTTGATAAATCTGCCATTTACGTTTTTATGTAATTTTACATTTTATATGTAGTGCAGCTTTTTTAATGCTCTACTGTTGAACAGTTGGTACTAGGTAGTTGTTTGTCAAGATGACAAGAACGGTGGAATGTAAATGTTTAGTGTAGCAGAAGGAATCATATGTTTATTCGTCAAGATAAGTCTGTGTTAATGTAACTCCCACTAAATTATTAAAGTTTTGGTTTAAATTATACATCAAAATTTGCTTGCATATTCAATTTATTGAATACTAATAGAGTTTATTAGTATTTACCATCTCGAATACTTGTCCACGTTGACCTAGCCTAACTACTGGTGAGTCACCATCATAAGTGTCACAATTTTATAAACAACTTGGACCTAAATACAATAATACGCCTTAAATACTTTAGGAAGCTCTGTATTATCGCACATAGGCTGTTAGTTATGGTAATCATCAAATCATAGCAGTATTTACTTAGGCCTGCAAAATTTAGCTCTTAGTTTAGGAGCCTATTCCTAAGGAAACAGCTTTCTGTTAAACTCAACAATGTGCCAAGTAGCCTAACTTAGACTGAAGTTAATACTTATGAATTAAACATAACTAAAATACCTAACTCAATTATAAAAAGGAACTAGTTGAACCCTTTTTGATGATGCACTCGTATAGGTACCGGTATTTCGAGTTGGTTTTTGGGACAATTAGCAGTATGTCTATGGCAGTAGTTCCAACATATGTACCATGCTAGGCAACCTTTACTAAGTTATGTTTGTTTAATAACTTAATAAGTAAGTATGTTTTAATAACTTTGGGCACATTTTGGGAACCTTTATTGGTGCACCGGTGCAGATGAGCCAGTGATTTAACTTACTTACCGGTACCGGACCAGGTCAACTGGGAGGGTCTTGGGATCCCAGAACGGTTTACAGTGCATATAAAATTGTAATTTACACATTAACCTACCTTACCTACTATATACTTTATAATATTAAAATTGGACAAACTTGTGCTCACAGAATAGGCTAACATAAATTATTTACTTAGGTAGGCCCGATAGCGTAGTGTGAATAAAAACTACCTCTTTCTAACTAGCATATGCTAGGTCTAGTAAGTATTTGGCCAAATCAGTGCGAATAAAGATTTGTAGTAAATACTAGGTCAAGTCTAATCGAATCCAGAAAAACCCAAGCACTTACTCTCGGGGTAATTAGTACATGCTAGACCGAGTAAATGCTAGGTTTTAACGTGACATGATTAAGTTAGGCTATTCCTCCACACTCTGCCATGGTGAACACTGCCGGGCCACTCTGCACTAATACTTGTGCAGAGTGAAGAGTTGCAGAGTCCTATGGAGGAATAGGCCCCTGTTCCAATACGTTGCATGTTGCATGGACATTAATACTACAATATCCTTTTCTACAAATATACTCATCACCGTGCAGCCCAGGCTTTTTATCTAAATTTGAGTACAATCAAGGGCACCAATTACAGATGGCAAACGAAAATGTCTGCCACAAAACTTTAGCCTCGGTCATATCTTCATCACGTACCTTATAGTCTTGTTAGCCGTAGTACGATGTACCCACATCTTGAGCTACACCAAACTGAAAGCCAGGATCACCCACAAAACTCAGAAATATTTCCATTTGCTGTCTTCTGGAAATACCACCGCCACGAGTATCACTTTCTTCAAGAAACTGTGCCGCAAGGAAATCAACACTCTCACTGCTAAACCTTAACAGTTCTTTACAATTACGTTTGTTTATTCCAGAGCGAACAGAATAAATTTTCCGTTGACGAATAGGCATAAACTCAGCCATGACCAACAAACTGTGGACTGAATAGTCAGGTAGGATGCTTAGTAATTGCTAGGAAAAAGTCTAGCATGCCCCAGACCAGGCTTGAAAATATCGAAGCATATGATAGGCTACAGAACAATCTAGCTTACTTCATAAGTTTTATTCACACCATATTTTAAAAAAACCTCTAGTACCTCTTTAAGGAAACCTCTAGTACTAACTAAGTTACCCCTAGCAAGTGCTAGAGTGTTTATTCACACAAAACGTAGCATTTACTTAAGAAATCCCTAGTATTTGCTTATACTAGTTTTTATTCACACCACTCATTACGTATGGTAGTTTAATAGGATATAAGTTAAGTTAAGCCATCATACTGATAAACAATTGAATATTTATATTTGATGTACCCGTCATCTTGCCGTAAGTTAGCTGCATAGGCCCTTGGTTACTGGTGTCCAAGAAACTTACCAATCAGAGGTCGCTGGTGTACTGTATTACGTGACATATAATTTCTCTGGTGCATGAATCTTGCACCAAGTAAAGAAAAAAGAGGTCCAAATAGGCTAGCTGTAAAAACACTGTAGAAATGATTCTGTCCATAAGGTGCTCTTGTAATAACTATAAACACAGAGAAGTAAGGTACAGAGAAAACCCTCATGGGACTCTTTCAGCTCTGGTATGTTATACCGGAAATATACTTGTGTCAAGCTAGGAAAACCCTGAACGGCGAGCGCTATGTTTTAGTTGTATGATTAAATAAATAACTTTCTGTTTTATGACGACCACTTACACTTCTGGATACAATCACAAACCTAAAATATAAGTTAGTGTCAAGTAGTTCGATCTAGCCAAGCAAACTTCCTTGCAAATTAGCGTCCAGCATCAATGCTACAAGATGAAATGGGACATTCAGGAACTTAAATGTACGGTACTAAATAATATGGCAATGTTAGCAATTATTGGCCTACGGTAACTCCTTAATAATGACAAAAGGTGTAAAATTGGTAGCCTAAACATTAAGAAACAGAATGTTTTAATATAATTATAGGCCTAGGTAGTATTGAATATTCAGGGTGTCCCTTAAGTAAACAGCCAAACTCCAGAAAATAATTCCATGGGTCAAAAGAGAAAAAATTAAGAATAACATTTGTTCCAAAATCGCATTTCTTTTTTGTTAACCAGATTTCTGCCATTTTTTTATTTTTTACATAAACATTTTTTTATTGTTTCAACCAATCTTTATGAAACTTAGTTACAGTACTTAAGTTGTGTTTAAATAAAAGTACATTTCATGATAGAAAAACAAACTAACTTTTTGCATTTGATATTTCAAAATGGCGGACATTTTAATTTTAATTAAGTGTATCCCTTCTAAATAATGGCTAATTTTATAAAAAAAAATTCGAGAACACTTTTTATTAGCATTTAAGATTTCCCATCGAACGCCACTAAGATATTAAATAATACAAAATTTATGAAATATAATATTTTTTGCTATAAAATAAGGCAAAATTGCATGCAACCTGACTTGTTATCAATGGTTTGAGAATTCAAATTTGGTTCAATAAATTCCCACTTGTTTAAGTACAGTAAATGATTGGATGGAATGATATTTCTTGGATTAAAATGTAAAAATGTACTTAGTCAACAGTTAAGGCTGTGTTAATAAAAGTAGCCAAACATTTAAAATCTAGAAATATTCATTAATTCCAAATTTTTGGCAATCTTCATGGGCTAATGAAATATTCCCGCCAAATATTCCCATTTTATAAGTTCCCTCCCATTGGGAATATTTCCGGCATACATCACTACATGTTCTCACTATCAAAGTTTACAACAGCTGACCTTTACTCCCTAGGGAGTGAAAAAGCTACTTTACACCCCCAAAGCATGTATGAAAAACGGCTGTTTTTTCCGCATTACTTATTCATCACTAGGGCCTAAAATGACTCTTTTCGACCTGAGCTCAACTTTTACGATCAAGGTGAAGTCGAGGTCGGAAAATGAGCGAGGGTGAATTGCTCATGTAATGAACTATAGTTTTGATCATATTGCACCATTATTTTAATAAACTAGATATGCTACAAAACTAAATTAGTTTTCATTCAAAGATAACCTCTCAAAAAACTTCTAACTTGTTTTCAATTTAATTTGCTAACGGAAACAAGCAACAGCTGTTTAGTAAGTGATACAATCGTTTTGGCTATTACGATTGTATTAGTGTTCATTATACTAACGATATGTCTATTTACAATCTATTATGAAATATTTACAATGAGCAAAGATGTACAATTGATACAAGCAATTTTTTACAACCGAGGTGACAACAGCTGATTTTTACTTCCTAGGGGCTAAAAACGCTTGTTTCTCCCTAAAAAGTAAAAATGATACTTTAGACCTGCCACGCGCATGCATTAAAAATAGACTGTTTTTTCTGCCAGTTTGACAAAGTTTTTTTAACTTCACACATTTTTCAACAGGAAATTATTTTTTCAGGAGGCTGTAAGATACACACCCTTAAAAGTTTTGAATGAGTAGCTATGGTGTTGCATGATAACTGAATACCATGGATTCTGAACCCGAAAGTCCAGAAAATGGTACATTGTCAGAAGAAATTGCCAATTTACCGCAATCACTGGCATTTACCGTCCATTTTGACAACGTCAAACCTGCTGGTGAAACAACGAATAAATTTGCAAGAAGACATATCAGAAATTTATCTCTGCCTATTTCAAAAGTTTATGAAAACAAGGTGAGTGCTTTTTAGATCCATAGCCTACAGTATTCTACTCTGATCATGTTAGGTAAATGTGTTTTTTTATGAACATAATTTAATTTTATAAGCTTTTCATCTGTAAAAAGCATTAAAAGAGGTGCAGTATACAATTTTATCTTTATTATTTAAATGAAAACATAGGCTAATGGTTCTTACATAATAGTCTATGCCATTAATTTGTATTAATATTATTTATTATTTTGAACAATTCATAAGAGCTAGAAACATAATGCAGATTTTAACAGTAAGAGCTAATATGGTTAATGAATTTACAAAATATAAACTAAAACAGTAGAAAATAATTTTTTCTTACACTGCAAACAATTTATTTAGGTCAATTTAAAAATAGTTTTCAAAATTCTTGTTTGCAACTTGCTTTCTAGTAGCCTATAAAACATAAAATATTAGTATGTATCTACAAATATTTATTGTACGATTAATTCACTGCAGCGTTAAATTTTGCTATAAAAAATAGTTATTTCAGAATAACACACCATTTTTAATGAATAAATTTAATTACGGTACCTTACATTACTTGTACATATAACTGCAAGTTGATTAGGTCTACAGTTTAATCTAATTACAGAAATAATTTTCTGAAATAAAACCGTTTAACAACAAATTAATTTCAAAACCTCAAAAGCAAAACAAAACTTAAAAACTAACACAGTTCAATCTTGACACATAACACAGTTTCCAACCCCGAAATAGCTCTGTCGTTGACAAACATTTGTGTATTGTGGAAGGAATCTCGTCGGATCTAGTGTGGCTATAAATAGATTTGGCAGCGCTATCACTCCCGCCAGGTGATAAGTGCTGATGTAGGCCAAGAGAGTGAAGTGACGAGTGGTAATGTTCGGGAAAGTGGGGGTCTTGTATAATGTGACGGTTACCGTACAACTAACACCGTAACTGCAGTGCCTACAGACCCATTAGGTTTTATAACGCGGTTACACCTCGTGAACTTGATTAATTATGAGAGATATCACCACGCCACTGACTAGACGGCCACCGATCGTACACCGGAACACGAGTTTTCGCAGTGTGAGTTTTTGTAATTGGTTTGTGATGGTGGTTTTTGTATCTAGTTATATACAGTTTTGAACATTACTTAATTTTTGCAATTTCTTAATCAATGTAGACATATGTTAAAATTTTCAAAAGTTTTGCAAGAGAGCTTGTGAAAGAAATAAACTAAATACTTGGAGAATACAAAATTTAAATCAGATCCTAAACTATTGGAGGTATTAATTTGACTTTGAATTATAGGTGAACCTTGTGTAATTTAATAAAACACAAAAATACACTTACAGTTGATTGTTGTGTACAGTTTTAAAATACATTTGTGCAATTATATTTTATTCATTGCATTGCTGAACCTTGTTTATTAGCTGGAGTAATACCCAGTTTTAGACACCAATGCTATCTTGATTTAATACAATTTGTGCTTTTAACTCTTAAGTTTATACCTTTTAAATGAGATTTTATTTTGGCATTTAATTATTCTTAAACCAGCACTATAGGCCTATAATGATTCAATATTTAAAATGTGTTTTCTGTATGTAAATAAAATCCCATTGTTATTCTTTAAACATTTTTGTAATTTACATGCTTTTGTAATTTCTTAAGGTATTTAAATATTTAGTTAGGCTAGTTATGTTTTATTCATTTATTTTTTGTAAAAGTGGATCTAATATTACCGTAAAATAGCCTATCTCACTCTTTCTATACTCATCATTCACTCATATTTGATTTAAAATATGCACCTTTGTTGATTCCCCGGCTCAATTTGTAGTAGTAATAACAATTATAATAATAGCAATAAGAGTTACATGTTTAAATAAAAAGGAAATTATAATGGAATCATATTAAATTTGAAGTTTAACTCAAAGTAAATTTGATCGTTCAAAATAAATTTGATCGTTCAAAGTAAATTTGATCGTTCAAAGTAAAATAAATGTGAAATAAAAAAAAAATTTAAAACCATGAATTTGGAGAACTTTACGAGGTGAACAATGTTTTGTATGTTCTGTATAGGTAAACAATGACAGTCCTGTGAATGGAAGAGCCACTCGTAAAGCTGGAAACCATTCAGAAGGATATTTCTCCAGCGATCCTGAAGATGATTCTAAACCAAAGCTGTTCGAGATGAAGTTGAAACACACTGATGGTAAAGGTAAGAAATCTTTGAGTTTATTTTTGTTCTTTCATTAAATTTAACTTTAAAGTATGTGAGTTTGAGGACACAAGTGTTGTATCAAGTATTAAAGCTAAATTTATTGTTTTAGTAGGCACAAAAGGATGTAAGAAACTCAAAATATTTATTTAACATTTTTAAAGGGTGTGTCAACCATTTAGGTAGCCTACCGTACCATAAGATATAAAGAAAAAAACAGTTCTTTCATAATTGTTGATGGTGGCACTATTTTAATGAAATTTTTACTTGTTTTCTGAGTCTATCAATTTTTTGCACTGTTAAAAAGTAGGATTAAAACTGAACTGAAATAAAATATTAACAATTCGGGCAATTTTATAAATGCATTCCAAGGTAGAGATAAATATTATAAACATGTAGGCTAACCATTATGTTCTTTAAAAATTACATAACAATTTTTAATCCTGCTGCAATTTTTTAAAGAAAATGTTTTGCTGCAGCCTTTTTCTAAAAATTCATAAAATATCTACCGTACATCAAAATAATCTGCAGAAAAAAAAAATAATAACCATAGGCTATTTTAAAATTTTACAAACAAACATGTTTTATAATTTGCAAAGAAAAATGTAATATAACTTGACAAGTTATAAATAGGAATTTTAGGACCACTAAAAATTACAAAATAGGAATTATAACTGTCTATTGGGGACTAAGATAAGCATTCCAACACACACAGTGTCCTATACGGAAGGTGGACACTGTTTGAACGTGTTTAGTAGTCCATGCTAGGCCGAAGGGGTCAAAGTCCTGGTTTCAAAGGCACATTGGCATCCTGGCTTTCTTGGCACCAACATGTCCAAGTTAAAACAGTTTTATTCTACTGTCAACGTCTTTAAATTCCGTAAGTCAAAGTAGTTTACTTTTACTGTACATTTAATTGAAATTCAGAGTTGTCTTATTTTAATCATGTTTCAATTCTGTAACTTTAATTTTTGTTTGGAGAGAAAAGAGTTTTGGTTCTCTGTAAGATTTTGTTGCAACATGCTTTGGGTACTTTACATTTTTAGCGATATTTGAATTAATTAATATATTTTTTCCAAATGTATTTTTGGTGAGGCATATGGCTAATTGTAAAAAAGTCCCTAGAAATCTTTCTGATAAAAAATTTGTTAAAAATTAATTTTAATATCATATTTTTAAACATCCCCCTAAAGCATAAAATTTCTTAAGTTTTGATAAATTTTTGGTGTGTTAGTTATATTTTTGGGACATAATGAATTATTCGTGAACTAGGCCTATAGTTTATAATAGTATAGATACCGTATCTGTTTGGAAATTAATTACATGAAACAACTCCCACTAAGCAATGTACTAAATCAAGACTAGGTGCAAACACTATTATTTTTAGGCCTTTTCGTTTTTTAAGTAGGCCTAGTCATTGGTATAAAAAAAACGTAAATGAATAGAAGAAAATTAAAGCCAAATTTTTAATCAATTGGTCTAATTGATTTGGTAATGAGAACATAATGGTGTAGAATTGTAGAGCCTGTAAAATTTAACTGTCACCATGTAAATGCTATGTGCTTGATGTACTATTAAACGTAAGTTAAATGACCATTTATTAAAAATCTCAATATATTTGACTGTTACTTTGCTCGAAAACTGTTTACTTATACATACAAATTAAAGTCATATGTTTTAATTGTTTAGTTAATAAACGGTATCAGCAATCTGACACATACTTTCTCATATAAGCTTCTCAACAACCTTTATCATAGAAGTGGTGGTAGTAACTATAATATTTTATAGGGAAAAGTCACAAAAGTTGCAATAACCTTTGAAGCGTAATTTGTTACATCAATGGTGGTTGTACTATTTTCCTTAGGACCATAACACATCAAAATCAGGCTTTTTCCTAAAATCAGATTTTTGTTATTTTATGGGAAAATAACATTTAAGTTAGGCCTACAATATCTTTGGAAACGTAATTTTTTTACAGAAACAGGATTTGTACCATTTTTTTCAAAATCTAAAGGACTACAACATACAAAATTTGTATTTAAATTGTTCGGACCGTTTTTTTTAGAAAATCTGATTTTTCCGTTACTTTATGGGTTTTTATGGGAATACAGTATCTCCATTAAAAATCAAAATTTTGAAAAATGAAAAAATTCTGGAGATACCATAGATTAGTACCTACATAATAAATTTTATGAAAATCGGACTACAGCAGCTGTGGTCTGTAGCTCTGTACACATCCACACACACGGACATACACACAGACATCACTTTGAAAATCACTTTTTTGGGTTCAGGGGGATCCAAAACAGATATATCCACTCAAAACTCAAACTCAAATTTTTATGAAAACAATACTTTCTCCAATATACTATGTATAGAGGGGGAAAGTACAAATAGTAATTTTGAGTGTTTTATCAAAGGAATGAAGTTCAGATCGTCTTACATTGCAGTTTGTCATTGAAGTTTTAATGGTCCGAGATATTAAAATTATGAATCACGTATATTGACGACTATATGCTATTTATGTATAAAACAAGGAAATACAACGGCAAAGGTTGTTGATTCATCTTGACCCTGAAGATGATAAGACAAGTTGTACAAATAAATGGTTGATTCGTAACTTGCTTTGATGGTTTTATCAAAGCTTGGGTTATTTGTTTTCCAATAAAAAATAATAAATTATTTATTACAGCTTATTACATATTACATCCGATTTTTTTATGTTTTTTTCGCTCATTAGAACGTTATCTAGGCTGTGCCCCCATATTTTTAGGATTCCTTAATGCTAAAACCTTTTTAAAAATCAATATGCCATTAAATCACTCTTGTCAATCAAGATTTTTTCAATTTTATTTAAGTTGGTATTCAAACCATCTGCTTACTATATATCATTGATGATTGGTTAAATTTTAACCCGATACTACTGAACTAATGATACCCAACTCTAACCTTTAAGCTAAGTTTACACTAGCATGTAGCAGTGGCGCCACTAAATCGCGCCAGTTTTAGTGTCATGACACTAGCGGTTTACACACAAAAGGGAGTGTTCAAGCATGCCACTGTTAATGGCGCCATTTTCATGGAGACACACGAGTTTTTTGCACAGAAATGGTTGGTTTTATTTTGTAGCTGTTGTCTGATTACCTTCAAAATGTCCGATTACATTTGGAGTGTTCGGAATGTGTTAGGAACAGTGATTGATGTGGTTAGTGAAGAGTTATTGAAGGAAGCACGTGACATTGTGAGTAGGATTAAACCCAGGAAACCGTAACAAACACTTCACTGTATAAAATTAAACAAAGATTATACTAATTAACACCGAAAAACACACGTTTATGCAGAGATCAATGCAGAGGTCAAGTTTCTAGGTAAACAAATGAAAATGGAGCTAGACGTCCGTCACTAGCACTGGCACTGTGGTTTACACGGGCCACCGCAAGTGACGCGTCAGTACAGATGGCGTGTCAGTCGCTACTGGCGCCACTAATATTTGTCAAAACATATATTTGTGGCGTGACTTCAGTTGGCTCGCCACTGCACCTCTCCACTAAAAATGGCGCGTCATTAGGGGTTTACACGGTCCATTTTTGGCGCCACTTTGAAGCCAGTAAAAGTGGCGCCACTGCTACATGCTAGTGTAAACTTAGCTATAAACCGGTACCTGCTCTGCTAAAACAAAATATATCCACAGTACTGATGTACCTTTAGTATACATTTGACTTAAGTCATGTTTCTTTAACTATTCAGTTAGTTTCTTTTTTCTATTAACAGTGGATAATTTCTGGCCAAGTGTCGTGTTAAGTGATAACTATTAATTTTATTAACCTTCTGCTACCAGGAAAAGGTTGTTACAATATCAAACCGCAAGGTCCTTATCCAAATTGGGTTTGTAAGCTAAATCGCAAAATTTTAGTTAATTTATTTGTTCTAACTTTTTTTATTTGCAAATATTAGTATCGTTTTTATACATTAAAATTAAAAACTACTTTTTCAAATAAGATTGACGTTGAATTGGTTTCCACCACTTCTTTTGGATGACTAGTTTCCATTCTGACACTTGTAGGTGGCAAGTCGACCAATGCGGCGCAGGAGAGACGAGGAGAGGCGGAGGTGATGGTGGGGGCCGGGGAGGAGCAGGATGACGACACAAGCTCCGACGTAGTCAGTGAGACCGGCACCTACACCATTGACAAGGACAGCCCCGAGGTGACTACGGCTAGGAACAACATCGACACTGTCTTCGGAGTGCAGAGTCAGACGGTGGAGGTGAAGAAAAACCAGGTGAGACGGTTGTCTTTTAGTCGAATAAATTATATTTTACATATTCAGATTTTTACATGGTTTAGGATACCCACCATAGATAATTTAACTTGCTGCCTACCAGCCGTCACACTCCTCTGTATGAGGGGTAGTGAATGTGTTATGTTAATCCAATATGTTTGCTAATGCTCATTACATGAATGTGTTGCATGGGTATTGATTTGTATTATACCAAATGTAAAAAGTATGTGGTTCGTACAGACCAAACACAAATTGCTAACCAACTCCTTAGATCAAAATGTTTGTATATGTTAGCCTATAATGTTTAATTTACTCAAACCCCTTCAAAACACCCAATTCACTCATAAAAGTAAAAGTTGCACATTTTGTGCAGATTTTGGGGTGTCCCCCCCCCCTGAAGCGAAAAAAAGTCTCACATGCAGGTAACATGACATACTTGATACTTGAAATATTTCTCATGGGAAGCGTCACTGTGCCGTGGTCGTCAAAAAAAGTGGCCATTTTCATTCATCCTCAAAATACTCTGCCGGTGAATAGTATGGCCTCTTCAATAGATACTCCATGAGTAAAATCTTGAACTTTTCTATGTCTTCAATATTTTTGATGTTTGGGATCTTGTTATAAATCTTGGAGCTCGTAAACTTAGGACCATTTGCTACTAAAGCGAATTTACTAGGGCTAGGTTTGTGTAATAGACATTGCTGTAGTCTGATATGTATTTAAAGACAATCAGATAGACTGGCTGGCAGCCAGGACATGTTTTGCAACAACAAACTCAAGTCACAAATATGTTACATCTGTCTGTGGTTATCACCCTAAGTGTCAGATATATAATGTCAGTCTATTTCTAAAACCACACATCACAAGCACGTAAAAAGTCTACATTCTTAGTCTGCACAGAAAACCCATAGTTAGAGTTAGCAAATGTAAAAAATCTTTTAATTTACACTGGCTTTGACGCTAAACGAACCCGTCGTAAAATTTAAAACTTGATTTTTCATGTCATCTGGAATTTATTGATATACTCATGGTAACTGAATGAGTTGGAAATCAATTGTGTAGATATTCTAGTTATCACTTGTGGAAACATCACCATTAGCATTAACTATTACCAACGTTAGACAAAGTAGTGCTAGCTTGGATGGGTTAGAATTGGCTTTGTAACAACCCTCTCTATTTTTTAAGATTTTCATTACAATGACTAGTTTTTTTATTTGAATATTCAAACTATGAGCTGGCATTGCAATACCCCCTCCCCTCCCCCCACTCCTTACGTCATGAGAATTTCTATCCACTAATTTCAATCCTGGAAATGTTTACAGCATGTTCTATCCATCTATCTGTACATGATTTCTGCTGTCATGATTTAGAGAATGTTGGGTGTTGAAATGTTCTTTATCTAAATCTCCCTACTTTAGATTAAGCGTTATTCACAATGCTATTTTTTGTGTATTACATCCTGATTGTTTTTGTTTTTAGTTATTGAAATCATAAACGTAGTTTTAAAAGGATTTTTGTCTTGAAAATATTTTAATTTGTTTTTTTGTTGTTTTCAGGTCAATTCCACTCACACCAAATCTACCAAGGTCACGCAATGGTTAGAGCACTCTACCATCACAACAAAAACAGGTGATTTTGGTGGAAAAATTGTAATTTTATTTTCTACCACAAGAGGGAGTATACTCCCACCATTAGTTTGAGAAAAGATTTTTTTTTAGAAAAATAAACAGGTCTGCCTTAAAAAATAAGGTTGCTAATGACACACAAAAAAAAACACTAATACTGGCAAAATCATGTTTTTTTATTAGCTGCCATTGTTAGTTATCTTAACCACCAATAGAATGTGTAAATTCACTACCTACTGTTGTTGAGGATGGCATCAACGCAATGCATGGTAGCACAATATCAACAATATAAATCGATAAGAAGTTTGTTTATACCTGTTGGTTAGGTTACCATATAAATAACATTTTTATAATTTTTTTTTAAATTACTACATTTTTTATTAAATTGGCTGGTAAGCTTATTTGGAGTGTTTTTGCGTTCCAGTTGTATTTTTGAGGCAAGTATTGACTTTGCACAGAAAATATATGAAACCAGAATAATCTTAAAGAACAAATCACATTATACCAAATTAAGTAAGATCCCCTTAAAAGGATTGAGTATTTTTCCGGGCACTTGTATATTAGTCATTAATTATATTGTATTTTTGCCAGTCAGTAGTCTTACAAGATGGTACCACTCACACACACACATCTTTGTAGGAACTGACTTTACCTCATTTCACTCTTCAAAATCTCCCCCCCCCCTCCAGATTTTCCAGTTTAGTGTGCCTTGTGTTTTTTTTTTGTTATTATTTGCTAACATTTTATAGGGTAACAAGTGTTAAATTTTAAACGATTCAAAGGGTAGTTAAATTAAACGACACATGTGCTTACACAGTTTCTCTATGATTTAATTACAAAAAAAGTTTGTGAGTCATCTCTCATGTTTTTAGATCCTAGTCGCCGTAAAGAGTCATTTCACAACTTTTCAAAAACTTTTTTCTTTCAGACACAACGAGTATCAACCTGAGCAAGATCCCGTCCCCAGTCAACATGAGGTCTCGGCTGCCACTGGTGGCTCCTGTGAAGGAACATGAGCCTCTCAGGTCCTGTCTCAACCGCAAGTCGTACCCGGCCGCAGCTCAGGTAGGAGCAAACACTAGTTGTGGTGTTAGGGGGAATAACCAACCTATCCCTTGTACTGTGTGTATTGTCTACAACTAGCTGTAGTGTAACATTATTTGTCCAGCTAGTAGTTTTACGAGAAATGGGATATTATTGTAATGCCTAAATGACACTGTTGGTTTAATCAAGATCAATGAACGTATACTCATCTGTATCTCATATCTAGAACAAAAATTTCATGCTGTAATGACTATTACAGGTGATATTTTTATTGACTTATATGTCATTTCCAATTTATATTTTTTTTTCTAGGCCTAGATATCTGGCATAGAATAAGAGTTTCAATCATTATGTTTTTTTATCTAGGCCTAGATATCTGGTATAGAATAAGAGTTTCAATCATTATCAATTACTGTATTCAATTACTAAACCAATACACCAAGGTTGGATAAGCAAAATGGTCATTTAAGATGGAAATCATTACAAAACCATCCCAAACTTGTTAAAATTTTAAAAAAATTAACCAAGTCTTCCTGTTGAAAAATGTATTCAAGGCTCTTTTATGTCTACTATTGAAACCAATAACTTGCCTCCTGTTTTGAAGCCACAACAAATAACTTAGCAAATAACAGACAAAGTAAAATCATTGCACACACTACAGCTGTATTTGTAAAATATAAGGTAAAGCGGTTCTTGCCCATATACCATGGGTCTCTGTTTGCTCTACAACTAAGACGTGAAGGTTAGTAGAGAGTACAGGAGTAGTAGAGTACAGGTTTGAGAAGGTATGATAAACTGTTTAGTATGCAGTGTACTAAAGTAATCTGTAAGGACAACTAAGTGCAGGTATCTTAAGCCTAGCACACATCTTCCAAGCGCAGTCAGGGAATAGAAGTGGTTGCACTACAGTGTACAGTCCAAACGGAAATAGTGCACAATTTCACTGTACTCGGTCGTCTGAAGAGAGGCTCGGATAAAACGGAGGTTAAATAAATGAAAATCAGATTACTAAGAGACTCTGCTGTAATACAAAACTTGGACTATGTGCCTTACCAAACTGTGTATTCTATGACCATGAAACTTTCTACTATGAATGGGAAATGTTTTTCTGTCTTATTTCCAATCTAAAAAAAATTGTATGGCTTGTCCCCTTGGCTCTCAAAGTTAGTAAGCTGAGCTTGAGAAAATTAGTTAACTGTTTGGATGAAGTGATCCTTTTCAACAAGTGTTATAAGAACAACGTTGAAGTATCATCTTACTAAATATTAAGAGAGCTAGCTTGGGTACAAAATGAGTTAATGATCCTCTTTTATAGCAATTTAAACTGAGCAATCAGTCAAATAGGTTGTCAGCGTTATCAGTGGATGCCTAATGTCACTGTAAAGATGAGTCATTATTGATATCAGTTACCACTTGAAGAATCTTCTGCGTAAATAATTCACTTCACTCGTTGAAAAAGTGAAAATGATTCATATCCCATCAAGTTTACTCAAACTAAGTAACTCAATATTTACAAAATAACTGTATTTTAATATTTTAAGTAACCTTAACTCCTTTACGCAATGATTAAAAATAACTACTTACACAGGTTTTTTTGTATAAAAGTGTTGATTTTGGCACCCAATATTCTGTACCAAATAGAAAAATTCTAATTTTATAGTGCATAATAATTTTGTATTTCTTAAATTTGCGTAAAAGGGTAAAAATATGAGCTAAAAGTCATTGAAATGTCTTTTTGGTAAAATTATTACTTTTGAAAAATATATTCTTGTACTGTACTGTTTCCTATACTAGAATGTTTTAAACATTTTTTCCCTTTACATAAAATTAAAACTAAAATATTAGCATAGAAATAAACTGGTATACATTTGTTATTTAATCTCCTGGGGTGTTATTGTTAAGTTATCATTTAAACTAATGCACTGCAGATGCTTTCCAAACCGTCCTTGGATAGTGGGCCAGTCCTATTTTCACTTTGATTTTTTACCTCTCCCTCAAGGTGACAAAACTAACCCTGTTTTTATGGAAAGTTTACTTACTCCTAATATAGGTACTATAGCCTGTCTCTTGTTGTGTTCTTGCTGAGCTCATGACGTGATGGAATCTCTTATTAAATTCTAAACAGTTGAGGGCTTTACTCAATAAACACCATACTAATTAAGCACCATTCTCTATTGTCTTTCTGGAGTACAAAGATATCATCAAGTCTGCATATTGTAAAGATTAAAGAAGCATCGATATTGATCACTAATGTTATGTAAAGTGTATTAACACGTTAACTGCGGTTGTATGATGGCTGGCTGCGACTGGGCGCAGGAACATTTAATGTGCTGTGTAGTTGATGGAGTATGGAGAATTCGCCACAACCAATAGTTAAGAGAATCATTCTGAGACCCCGATATTGTAGGAGAGGCCAAAAGCAGGATGCTAAGGTGGGTTGGCCATATCTTGAGGAGAAATGAAGAGAGATTGTTGAAGAAGGTACTAAGGGGAAATCCGAGGGGAAGGAGACCAGTAGAAAGACCAAAGGCCAGGTGGTGGGATGAAGTCCGGAAAGATATGGAAAAATTAAACTAGTACAGGGAGATTCGGAGAACCAAGAGAACTGGCGACGACGTGTTGGCGAGGCCAAGTACCAGCTTGGATACAAATGGCCATGGCAGTAAGTAAGTAGATGAGTGGACGGACATGTTTGAATTTAGTTTCATCCAATAGGAGAGGCTCATTATACCAGGCTTATTATATTAGGATTATTATACAGTAGAGGAATGTGCTGAGTACAAGAAACCAACAGATATCATTACTAAATGTAAGTGCTAACAGCTCCTCAGTATTACCAAATGTAGGACCATAAGAAAATACAAAAGGCATCATACAAAGACCATAGCAAAAAAGGCATCAAGAACAATTTTGAGGTTAGGTTCCTACCATAATGCTACACTTCAGTCATTATTGTTATCTTCTTCTATGTCACTAAGCATAAGCCCACATGGGGTCAACACACTGACACAAGAAAGATACAGAAATGGCCGATCCATAAACGAATTACAGCCAAATGACATATAAAACCGCCCTACACGCGGCAACAATAACAAAGTTCCCCGCCGAATGCTGGGCGATGTTAGTGAGGTGGTGATCTCACACCGAGGCGATGTTAGTGCGGGGAGCGCAGTGCTACATTTATAGTAGTCCACGTAGAGTGCTAGTGCTCAGGTACTACAATATTAGAGTAGCCCGCTTGGGACGTTTAACGATAATCAATTATTTTATGTAGGAGCTGACAACGCCGGAGCCGGAGAGAGACAAGTGGGCCAAGGAGACTGAACGGACAATCTCAGTGTTACAAGCCAGAGTATCGCAGTCACTGGACTCTGGTGGTGAGAGTGACGCCGAGAACAGCTTGCATCATGTAGCGGAACGGAGAGACTCCGGGGGAGGTCTGCGGTACAACAGGAGTGTCAGGTTAGTCACTAGAAACTCTTGAGGGGAGCAAAATCAGGAAATAAGACATGCAATTTTACTGAGTTTAGTGTATTGTCTTAACCTTTTGGTGACTTACTTGCTTGTATTGTTCTTTCATACTTCTCCGTTCAGGAAATAATATATCTTGCAATTAGGGATGGAGGTGGGTGCCTTTAGGTTTGTCGTGGTGTAACATTGCTTAGCGCCTCTGAATTTGAAAGCATAGCAAAAGCTCGATCACTAGAGGTCTTAGGTTTAACTATTTGCTTGGATAGAGAATCACCTCTGCTTGCACACCTCTAGTTGTAAAATTAGAATCAGAAATGTTTACAGCTTTATCCGGCATCCCGTCACACAGCACGGCACTCCCTATGTCACGGAAGCCTCCCCATGGCCAATATCTCGAACCTCTCCCCCCCTGTATTGCACCAAAAACAAAATAATCTTAATGTAGATTGTGAATAATATAATAACCATTGGCAAGTGATAAACCAAGTTGCTTTGCTTGCAATATCAGGTTCCTGACCAAAATCACTTAAATTTGTACTTGATTTTTAAAGTTTTTGTTCCCTAAAGTGTGTAATTTGCCACTTAGCAAATCATAATTACTACGCAAAATTTCTTTACTGCAAAGGGATATAGTCGTCTTAAAGTAAAAATACCGGAGCTAATTTTATTACATATTTTATCGACATGTGAGGTCCAATTTAGTGTACTGTCCAAGTCTTCACATTCACTTTATTTTCTAGTTTACGAAGAGAAAGGCTACAAGAGCCCAAGAAAAATAGTACATCCTCTTTGGTTACAAACAAAACTAAAGATGTTCCTGCCAAAGCGATTCCTCCGAGAGTGGTGAAGCGAATGTCAGATCCACCGCCCAGCTCGGCTCCTGTGTCTACCTTTGCTCGGACCGACTGTGGCCGCTTTAGTATGAGATCTCCTCGACCACTCCATCAGGTGAAGAAATACCTTTGACTGTAGCCATGCTAAAACTGTACCAAGTTTTAGAATAAATACCCCTGCCGCAGCAAAACTGCAGACTAAGCAAATTTCCACTTACTAGCTGAATTTTCAACAAAATATTCCCATAAAATTGTCAGATTTATTTCCTATCTAAAAAACATTGATTTTTCATTATTTGAGATTTGTTGCTACAGGGAAGGTAGTGAAGTGTATTTTTTGTATGCTGATAGCTTAGTATGAAATAAATAAATTTGCCAAATTCAATTTAAATACATCCATCATAAGCAATCAAGCAATCTACAACAGTCCCTACAACAATAAGGTTGGAATTTCTAATTTACAACAACATTCCATTGTATTAAATTATTTGTTTTTAAAGCTCTTTGATACAGTTCAGAAAGAAACTGCAAAGTTTTATGTTTATGGAGTTTATGGAACTCAATTTTCCTCATAAAACTCCCAATCCTACCATGTGCTGATGTTATACTTATTTTGAATACGGAAAATTTTTAACACAGCCAAATCCAAACGATAACTTATTGTGGACAACACAGTCTTTTATGTCGAATAATTATCATAGTACCAAAAAAATAAACAAGAAAAAAGTGAAAACAGCGTCCTCATTTAACTTTTTATTTAATTGGCTGCAGCTGGTCCATATAGATGGGATGTCTACTTCCGTAACCAAAAGTCAATGTTAATGTTCCATGCTAAAAGCTCACTGTTATTTTGTTATTTCAACTATTTACAGCTCCGTGATAGTTGTAACTCAATGGAACATTCTTTAGTTAAACCATTAAACTAATGGACTTAACATATTTTTTAGAAAGATTTGCATACGTCATTCTGTAATAATTGTTTTCTTAAACAAATCCAGAAGGAATATAAACAATTTGGCTTCTTAAATTGTAAGTTGAATAGTAAAATGTGAGTATTTTTATCAAACTACGGTACATAGTTACTTACAGTTCCCTTTTTACAGGCCCCTGTAACAGCTCCGACCATCAAGAAAGAACCCGTTAGGAAGCTAAGCATTGGGGGAGGTAGAAGCAACTCAACCTTGTCTTCCAAGGAAAAGGAATACCAGAATTGGAAGAAACGCAAAAGCTACGATCCGATGAAAGCGGCTGCCGAGGGTAAGAAGAAGGAAGCAGCGAAAAAACAGGTTCCATCAGCCATGACTCAGTCTACCAACTCTACCATCACGACACCTAAGAGGTAAGGGGTTTGCTTTATACAGTAGAACCTCGATAAAAAGACTCATAAGTATTATTAAATAAGACTAACTTGTTTTAAGGTTGACTTCTACATGTGATTAGGGGTCAAATAAATTCAAGAGAATTTGAAAATGACACTTGTTATCAAGGTTGACTTGTTATCGAGAGTCTTGTTATGAAGCAAGTTCAATTTTTGGATCAAGGCTTGGTGTTGTGTATGTAATCCCAAGTGTTTCATCATTGTTTAATCTTAAAGAGTCAAAGAAGATGACTTTTTTTGTCATACATTGAAAAGTGTCAGGTATTTCCAAGAAGAGGGTCGCCACTATGAAAATTTGCCCTATGCAAATGAAGGGGATCTAAATTAACCTAATCTAGTCAAATTAAACCTAACCTAACATTAACATTACAGTACCTGACCTAGCTTAACTTGCGTAAGGCAGATTTTAGTGGTGGCAGCCATCTTCTTGAGTAGACTTGTTGTGACTGTAAGTATCTCAAATGTAACCAATCATATTTCATCCTATTAAAGATAAAACTTGTTTTTGTTAAATACTGGTACATGATGTCCTTCATATACAACTGTACTAGTACGAGCTTTGTTTAAGATAAAGATGTAGGACTACTACACACTTTTCCTTAAGACCTTTTACAACTTATGTTAGGTCACTCACTATGCTCTAAAATTACTATTATACCAAGCTTTAATAGTACTATTATAGTTTCATTGGTTGCGTAGATATTTCTCTACTCATTGCCAAAGTTTTGTACGTAGCTGTAATATTACAAGCATGCACGATATAGCTATAATGCTGTAATGCTGTGTGTGTTTATTTTGCTTACAGCTTATTGTTTTCATTGATGTTAATTTTCAGTCCTGTGAACCCCGTGCTGAGATCCGCTTCCTTCCACGGCACTCACCAGTTGACAGCCTCGTCTTCGGAGGAGGAAGAAGAAGAAATCACACTTTCCAACGAAGATGAAGACTGGCCAGTACTACAGGTTCCAAGGGTAACTATCATTTACTCAGTCATTAAGCAGAGGATTTGTTATTTAAGTGTTTACCCATAAACATTGCATGACATTCTGGGATTATTTTTTCAAACTTCTCACCAGCAATGTTGTTTTTTTTTCACAGAGTTCCAGTCTGTGTTTATTTTACCTTATACCTAGAGTTCTTTTTTCTAGTGTTAAATTTATGTGTAGGTTCTTGGGGGGGACATCATTAGGAATTTTGTTTTTCACACATAAAATGACGTCAAGAACAAATTGACCATAAGCCGTTAGTACCATAGCAGCTAGATTTTGAAAATCCCCTTCTATGACTTAAGATGTCACCTTATCCTGCGATCACAGCCAAATTAAAATCTCCTGTGATCTCAAAATCTTCATATTTTTATCTTCCCTGACCGCGAAAAAATTATTGCCCAACAGCCGATAAACTGAAACTTAAATTTTTCACCAATTCTTGAGTTTGTCAGAAGGAAACTGTTTGGGAGGTTGGATGGTTAAGGCTTTACTGTACTCAATACTGTTAAGGAGAAGCACGGCATTTTAAAGTTTCAACAAAGTTTTGTTTTGCAGAGTTCCTTAGAGAACACTCCTCAAGGCAGCCGTGTCTCCTTGTACAGCAACACTTCCAACTCCCCCACCCCTCCGTTACGCAATAGGCCCAAACTTGAGGTAAGATTTGTGCAGTACCTTCTTATTAAATACTTGATGTGTCTTTTTTTGCACATGTTGGAAGGGTGATGTGCTTTGATAAATTTGGAAATTTCACAGTTAAAGAAAGCAATATAGAAACTCTCACTGTGAACAATTGGCCTATATTTTTAAGCATATATATTTGGCTGTGTTCTTGATAATTTTTTTTTTAAATTTAATCCCACTCAGTTTGATAATGTTAGTGTACCCAGAACAAACACATAGACAGACCTGAAGATTATTAGTCTGATTTAAATTTGATCTCTCTGCAGATATGTGATGATTTAAAGTATATTTTAAACGCTATATTTTTTTATATTTTTTATTTAGGTACCTACGTAAAATTAGGGTTGGAGTATTGAGGGTGGCATTTTACCAAATACAATATGTTAACAAAAATATTGATAATAACAAAATTTGTGCTTACTGTCCCACAAATATTATCCTACATAACACTTGTTTTTGGAAAATTCTGCTTTGTTAACTTAATTTCTGTAGTTAAAAAAAGTTTAAATTAACCTCCTAGGATTAGTTTTAGATTTGCCTTTACTGCTTTTGTAAATAAAATGTCTAAATTGTAAAAAAATATTAAAAATAAACAAAGTCATAAACTTTATCTCTTTTTTTAAGATGGATTTTAATTTTAATTTTAATTTTGTCATGTTACCACTAACTGGGAGAAATAAAATTATTACACAGTTTTCTAATGTAACATAAAGCTTGAGGTTAAAAATACAGAGATTGTGTTTTGTAGGTGACAAAACCAGTATTTATAAAAGTGAAGGGTCGAGCTGACAGTGAGGTGAGAGTGACATTTCATGTGTTGTGTTTGTATATTGTGTTTGAGCCGAACTAACCAGTCTTATTGACAGTCTGGAGCCATTCATCATCATCACATTGCTTCCATGGATAGTTTTATTTATTCAATAGGTTATTCAACAGGGGTTCACCCCTGTTTACGTATATATTCATATCCCAACCAGTAGGAATTAAGTGGGGTGAATATATATCTAAAGATCAACAATATTGCACTATATAACTTTAAAGAACGTAATAAGTTGTATTGTAGTTGGACCCGATTAAAGGGACTTTTGGGATCTTAAGAAGAAAATCTGTTACTTTTCAGTGACCCCCCCCCCCTACTTCTCCTGGCCAAATTAGTGATCCCCTAGTGAAATCAGTGACTTTTCAGTGACCACTTTGTTACCCCCTAGTAAAACCAGTGACTTTTCATTTACCCCCCTAGTAAAATTAGTGACTTTGCAGTGACCCCCTAGTAAAACCAGCGACTTTTCAGTTACCCCCCTAGTAAAACCAGCGACTTTTCAGTTACCCCCCTAGTAAAATTAGTGACTTTGCAGTGACCCCCTAGTAAAACCAGCGACTTTTCAGTGACCCCCTTGTATAATCATTGACTTTTCAGTGCCCTCTAGTCAAATCAGTGACTTTTCAGTGACTCCCTAAAAATTAGTGCTGTGACTTCCGTGACCAGTAGACACCATGAATTTGTACTATTTATTGCCTCATTTCATTGCAGTATGAGTGGCTTTGCAACATATTTCACTTTTCATCACCTACAAAAGCTTGGCAGGGCTATAGGTGATTTTTAGGATTTGCTTTCCAATTTATTATTGTTTTTTCTGTCATTTAAATTATTGAGTTTACTATAAAAATTACAGATTTTAATTTGTAAGCAACTAAAACTTTGACAAAACCCTGATTAAATGTTTGCATCAATCTATAATTTCCAATAACTTTATGTCCATTTGTGGCAGAATCGTAGGATGTTAAAAAATAAACGTGATTTAATACAAGTTCAATATGCATCTTGAAATGCTCAAAAATAATTTTTAACATCCATACAATTGTTAATTATCTTACTGAGAAAAATAAATTATCGATTTTCTTCTTATCCTAAGTTTTTTTCATTATCATTTACTTTTCCTTTGTTTGTAGATACAGTACTAACTATACCAAACAACCAAATACATACCACCCACTGCCGTTACAAGATCTTAAGCTGCTTTGATGCATGTTTGATGTAAAATGTGCTGCTCTATAAATAAAAGCTATAATACAAATAAGCTGAGTGGTAATAATACTAATGTAATAATCAGATTGTTAGCTTCTTTATCAATCTTTTTTGCGGTTTCATACCGGATCCAGCTGTTTTTGAACATTAGGCTTTTGATATCAGCAATCCTGCCTAATGAATCAGCTGATGTTAGTCAGTAGCTAAGTTACCATAAACCATTTCACCAGTCATATCATAGACAAACAGAATTAAATATAGACTGTCAGCCGTGCTGCGGTTACCATGGTTACCATAGGTTCCGGCGCACACCGCTGTAGTTTACGTAGCGCGTACGCCGTAACTACAATGGCGCTCCAAGCGGTGTGCGCCAGAACCTATGGTAACCGCAGCACAGCTGACGGTCTATATTTAATTCTTTTTGTCTATGGTCATATGTAGCTTATGTTTGGGTTTTAATGTACCTTTGTTGTGTTACAATTTTCACATCAATGACAAAAAACAGTTAGTAGTGTTCACACACCACACACTTTGCTCACACATTTTTTTTAATCCCTCCGACAAACTTACCAACCAACTTTTTACTTGTTATTTTTGTTATCAGACTCTTGGTTTTTAATAGTTATACTTTTTTTTAATCAGAATACTTAGCAGTTTTTTTTAATTTGTGTCCAACGCTTTGGTTTTGATTGAATTCAGTTGTCAAAAGTACCTACGTGACTTTCTGGATAAACTTATGACTTAGATTGTATTATTTTGATGATTTTTACAGGGTGTTGACACACTGGTGATCAGCGCGCTGGCTGGACTCTCTAGCAAACTCAAGGGCAACTCTTGCAGCTTACTCAACAAGCTAAGGTAAGAAACTAGATATTTAGTACATTTTCTAAATACTACACTTTAAACAAATTAATTTTAGTGACTAGTGTTTAATTCAAATCTATATTTTTTAGCCCCTGAGCTGATCTTGTGACTTAATCATTAAATAGAGTAACCTTCGTCAATCAGCTCATAGTAGTTTTTACAATGTTACGGCCGTTTATGATTATGTATGTTTACGTCGCGTGTGACAGTTTTTGTTTTTGTATATTAACGACGCCACTAAGGCTGAACGTCTGATGATAGCACGAAGATGCTGAAACGGCCGTAACATTGTAAATACTACTGTGAGCTGATTGACAAAGGTAACTCTAATGATTTAGTAGTACCTATTTAATCATGTAAATATAACACATCAGACATTCTCTGACTGGAGATGCACCATTGTCTATGGCAATACAGTATAAATAAATTAACACTAAATATGTAATCTTTTAAATGTTGAATTTGTGTCACATTATAACCAGCGATGTCTTCCGTGATTGGGGAGATGTCATTATCATCAGTCGCAACACGCAAAATCGTTGAGAATGGGGGAACAAATCCCGTCCAAAGAAAATTCCCAATCAAATTTAATCCCGTCCCAATGAACTGGAATGTATTTTCCCCACCCTACTCAAAATATAGAATATTCGTATAGAATGTCCCTAACATACTGTGGACTGATTCTCAGTCAAAACCTTTTCTGTGTTGTAGGTTCCTGTATGATGAGGACAGTCCCAAGAACCATCAGTTGAGTGCCATGATTGACCAGCTAGAGGCCAGTGAGCCAGGGTCGCCTCAAGTCAAGAGTCCGTCCCGGGAACTGGCCACCACCCTCAGGAATCTTAAGAGGCTGGAATCCATGCTCAAAGGTAAAGCAGCATGCAATATGATAAAAAATTTGGAAATATGCTGTGTCAATTCATTTATCAGTTTCGTTTACAGTATTTACTTTTATACCTTTAGATTGTTTTATTTTAGCATACTATATTATTTACTACATTTTTAAAACTAGCATTTTTCAACTCCTATTGTCAATTGTTAAATAAGCAATTAATTGTTGTTGCATTGACGTGACCAAAATATGCTTGAAAGTCTAGTGTTTTTCTTTTACGTGAAAATAATGTTCTATACATATTTTATCTTATGTATGTCTCTAAACATATGTTTTAAATACTTTTTCACCATATTACACAGTAAGCAGCTAAAACCATTTAATGTAATAAATAATCTCTAACTTAATGTTCTGTTTCCAGTATTGGACAATGTACTCTTCGACGAAGAAGAATTTCAGTAATGACTGTTGTTGTTCAACAACATATTTTACGTTCATAACGGAAGTCATTTTAAGCGAATTAAAGCCTAAGTATTTTATATTCGGTGTACAGACGAAGAAACGATTGTTTTTATGTTTTATTAGCTTTAAGTTACCTACTTTCGTACTGTGAAGTTTGATTTGTTAAGTTTCAAGCTTTATGTAAATACATAAGGGGCATGTACTAAAGTCTTTAACTGTGAATATGTAGGATAAGTCGCTGAATGTGATTTTTGTACATGAACAGGTAAGTTATGATATAGAACTGTTTGTATTTAAATAGCTTAATGTTAACGTTATTGAAATCAAAGTCTGTTAGTGATACGTGTGCTACGTTACAATCCTTCCATTTCACCTGTACAGTATTAGGTGGTCGCAGTTTTGTTTGCTCAGGCTATTCAATACATCGTTCTTTTTAATCAATATAATTTTAACATCACAGCTTTAAAGTCGAAAATTGGATTGATATTTCATTTACAACCTTCACCAGTTCAACCACTTAAATAAATGTCATAATATGTTTGTTAATATGAAGCTCTTAAAGAGAAGCATGATTGAGTTATGCCAAGTACCTTAATTATTAGAAAAGGCTAAATAGTAAATATATTGAGTTATTCCAAATACAGGTAAATAAGACCTAAATAACCTGAATATTTTTCCATAAGCTTTAATTCCTTGTTACTAAGAAATTTATTCATTTTACAAGTCTCCTAAAACTTGCATTGTCGGTCTTATGAGTGTTTTTTACTTAATAGATCATATTCTTACCACAATCCCGAATATATTAGCTTTAAATGTAGTGACAGGGCATTGAAATTGAAAACTTAGTCAATTGCAGTTTTATTTTTGCACAAAGTTTTGTGATTTTCGATTTTGGCGTAGCCCAATGGCACAAAAGTTTACTTAGCATATTTCTTAATATGAAATTTTTAATTTTTTTCCCACAATGTGTGTGTATAGGCCTACTTAAGTTGAAATTTAAATATTTTTTATGTAACCTAACTAAACTACGCAATAGAGCCTGAATGGAGATGAAGTCATTGGTACGTAGTATACTATTTATTGTAGTATATTATCATCAACTTTATAAAAACCTTTTTTCCTCCTCATAGTTTTACTGTTGTAAATCGGATGTCTTTTAGACCAAGCAGTATATTTCATAACAAATATATAAATCCTGTAATATATTAAACCCTGCAACAATTATTTAACTAAATTACGGCTTTGAGTGTTGAAATTTATTTTTTTAATAAAACTTAAAATATAAACAGTAATTGTTCGTAAATCAAAGTGTACGTAAAATTAATGGTCCTTTGTAATCCATAGGGGCTTTTATGTATGGTGTATGTTAGGCTAAGGAAACTTGTGTTCTAAAACTGCCATTTACACATGATTTAAAGAAGTACCTTTGCGATTTACTAGTGAAGAATAGATAATTTGGTAAAATCTTTCTAAATTATTATTATGTTTATCACAAAATCCAAAATCAACATGTAAAAAGTATTTGTTATATTTTATTTTATATACATCTTATTACTTAATAACATTATGAGTCCCTTAAAAAATAAATATGTTATAAATTCGTAATTTAATTGTCCAAACAAATAATCCTTGAAGGTTTATATTCCAGATTTGTAGTCAGAAGATGGATTTCTCTAAAGATATATTTAGTCATGTTTGGTTTTAAATTTAGGATCTCATTTGGTATGTACCAATCCATTAAAATGGTGCTAAAGATTGACTTAAATAGTTAAATATTTCATTTTTCCAGGTATTTCTTGTGTTAAGATAAATATGCAGTAATCAAGATTGTTTTTAGATGCCTATTTTTGACTACAAGACAAAAAAAAACTTACCAACTATTCTAAAATTATTTCCCTTGAAATAGTTTTCTCTATTGTGTGATAATCACAGCTTTTTGCTCTGCAACGTTACCCAAAATATCACATTTACGTTACTCATTTGTAAGCATTAAATTGTAAATATTGTTAGTTTTTTTTATTTAGTGGGTAGTTAATTTTGTTTTTGGTGCAATACATATCGCTTTTTCTCAATTAAATGTAAGTAAGTGATATTTATGTTTATTTAGAATAATGTAAGCTAGTGGTGTTTTTTATAAAACATTGCGAGTGAATCAAATTTGTTACAAGACTTGAATTTTTAATTGAACTTTTAACGCTGGTAGTTTTTTAATCTTTTACTTTTTTACACTGTTTTAATGATACAAAGTTTAAGTTTCAAACTTCTAGTGATATAAGCTGCTTTCCTCTGTAAATCTTTGTGCCAATGTAATTGCATTTCAAATTCTGACAACCTTAGAGAATTTTTTATCATGAAAAAATGAGTTTTGTGAGAATCTTTTTCTGTCAAGGCATCGTTAATTAATTACTGAAGTCAATTTTATTGTTTAGAAAAGAATTTTATTAGAACGTTTAGTGTAAATCAAGGTTGTGATAATATAAGCTTAGCCTGTTCATTTTTAAGTGAAAAATCGTTTAGAATCAGGTTTTAATAGATTATTACTTTTCCATTCTTCTTTATAGCTACTATGATTTTCCAAAAATGCTCATCTTGATTTACTTTAGGACTACTGAACAGACCATTCTATTGTCAGTAAATTAAGTACCCTCTATTTATGGTGCCAAAAGTAGCTTAATGTAGGAAAGCATAAATGTCGAAGTTAATGTCTGGTATCACTTGTTACTCAAGTTCAATAGCAGAATGAAATGTTTGTAAGACAAATATAGTATTTTACAGCCTTTATATGTTTTTTCTTAAACCCATGACATCATTACCGGTACTTAGAATTATATGGAAACTAAATATTGTATTCTTTTACACAAAGTAAATTTAAAAAAATATTTTTATTGTTGGGAAACAACTTAGATTGTAAGTGGTGGCTAAACAAGGACGCCAGCAAAAATTTAAATGAAATCTCTATATACACTGTTTGAAATCAGAAATAAATCATAGGCCTTTTATAACCCGTAAAAGTTTGGTACAAATACTTCGACGATTTTATGACAACTTGAACAAATATTCAACTCGCAAACATGTTGACACACTTTTACGTTGGGTTGACTAAAATTATGATTCATAATAAAAAAAATAAAGAGAAAAACAAAGTCTTGCTCATAAAAATGATTAAATATATTAACCTACAGGTAATTAACAGTGTTAAAAATTGTATGTAGGCCTACATTATTTATCTTGCCTTGTACACTACTCAATCAATTAATGATTTAGCAACAAAGAGATAATCAAAACTCAATTCACATTCTAACATTTATTGTATAACAAAACTTCCACATAAGTTCTACCTTTAGACTAGAAAGTACATCAAGGGGTTCCTCACTGGAATCATGAGTAAGTGTAGGGAAGGAGGAAGTGAACGATAATGGGAAGGACGTGAAGAGTGGGGAAATGGTAACTACTGAGTGAATGAGTGGGGAGGAAATGAGAAGGGGGAAAGAGGGGATAGAACTAGGAAAGGAGAAGTGTTAGAGATAGAACTTCTGATTAAGGGGAAAATAAAATGGGGAAATGTACAAGTGGGGAAGGAGTATTTGGTATGTTCAATAAGGGGGAATTCCCTCTTTGAGAAAAATAAAAAGAGGATAGAGCAACGGAGGGAAAGAAAGTTTTTGAGATAGAGATTAATATGAGATATATTTCCATAAAGGAAGAAATCCCAAAAGAATTACTTGAAGAAAAATAAACGAGGAAAAGAAAATTAAAGTGGGGATAGAGTGACAGAGAATAAGGAGTGTGAGATAAAGTTTAAGAAGGGAGGGGATCTCTCTGAGGAAAAGAAAATTAAAGAGAGGATAGAGTGACAGAGAAAAAGGAGTGTTTGATACAGATTAAGGAGAGAGAAATCTATGAAAAAGAGAAAAATAAATGGAGGATAGAGCACCGAAGGAAAGGAGGGTTTGAAACATAGTTTAATGAAGGGAGAAAATCTCTGATAAGAGCAAAATAAAGACATAGAGCGACAGAAGAAAAGGAGTGTTTGAGATACAGTTTAAGAAGAGAGAAAATCTCTGATAATAGCAAAATAAAGAAGGAATAGAGCAACAGAGGGTGTTTGAGATAGAACCTCAAAAGCTAAAAACGTTTTGGGAGAGGGACAATAAAGAAGGGAAATTTTAGATATAGTGTCTGGGTTGGGAGTGGGGGACACAAAGCGATTGAGTTACAGTAAGGAGGGAGTATCATAGATATAGTTTTGGAAGGGACAGATCTTGCAGAGAGAGGGGGAAGTCATCAACCCTCCGCGGGCTGTTCGGCATACTGCGACTGTTCATATTCCCCCACCATTCCGTCATCTGCAAACACGTTTACAGCCTTTACAAACTAACAATGGATTTATATTTTTAAATAAAATGTTTACCAACTATATCTGTTGTGTTTTTTATTCAGGAAGCAGATAAAACAACGATTCAACAAGTAAGTTTCCTTGGACAAATTTTTCTCAAACAGTTTTTTTTTTGTATTCTCTTTTCTTGTCTACTTTATAACCATGCACAACAAAACACAAACAAATTTGTTTTACAAATTATATGCTCTCAACCCTTTAATATTGCTGTAAACCCCAAACTTAAGCTGGTAAAATGTTTTAGGCTATTATCTAAATAAATAATTAACTGAGCATTTTCTAAAGATTTTCTTTCTGCATAACTGAATTAAAATTTTAGAAAATAAGAGGGCTGAAATTTAGAATAATGACAGTTGTTTTGACCAGCACAAATAAGGTCTACGTTCTTCATTGTTGGAAGTGATTTATTTTTTCCAAAACGGAATAGCAGAAAGTCTTTGGTCAGAATATTGGTCACTAAACCGTACTTCGACAGTTCCAACGAGTTCTAATTAACATTAGTACTATTCGATAAGACATAAGTAAATGATGTGGCTACCAAAACATATTGAGTTTGTAAATGGCATTAATAAAATATGCTAAGGCAAGGAACACTGTATGTTTTTCATGTAAATAGGTTTATGAAAATGCACATTCAAACAGTAAATAAATACAAAAATCATAGTGAGATATGTGATAAGCAGTGTGAATTAATAACTTTCTATCAAATATTTGATACATTTTTTCTTTAATTTTAAAGCTTTAATAAAATGGAATAAATTGGTGCACAGAAAGGGTATTTTTTGTATGTATAATTTGAAGGTTTTTCCTTTTGCCTCAAAAAATGTTTAAATTCTAATAGTTTTGACCCAATATTGTATTTTTTTTAAAGGATCATGCAGCTAAAAAACACTACATGTGTAAACATTTTCTAAAATATCAGTGGTTCAATGTTAACATAGAAAATAAAAAAATGAGCGTTAGATTTTTTCTCTGGCTTTTGTGAATACACTGGATTATTACCTTATACCTAGCTGTATAAGTATTGTATCTAAAATAAAATGCAACAACTATTTTTTCTCTATGTAAGCAAACGATAACCAAAAGATGGAGAAAATGGTCATACTACCACTACACTGTTTTTGGGTGTGGTAGCATCTCTAAAATGCAAAGCAAAATGCATATAATTTTATTCAGTAACCTGTTTTAAATCAGTACAGTAAACCTTAGTCTGGGCTGGTTGATGTATGTTTTAGGAGATTATTACAAAGCAATACAGACCACTCTAAACACGTTCAATTCCGCTATTCAATTTGATGTGAACAAACCAAAATGAATGTGTGTTTGCAAAAGTATGTTCAGACAATGTAAGTTCAATCATGAACTTTGATCAAAATGAGTGTGAGAGTTTTCAAATCAGGTGTTCTGGCAATGTTAACTGTCAGGCCAGAATGAATGTGAGTAGCTGGCTCAACATTCTATGGTTTTTTTTATGTAAAAATAGTCCAGTCAAAATATAAATTAATGACCCAACCTCCGGAAAAAAAAACTCCGAGACCAACGGGACAGTTCTCAAGATTTCAGAAAAAAAAAACAAAAAAGGTGCCATGTTTTCGCTAATTGCCGCTAGAGCTCGCTTCACATTTATGGGGACTTTTGGTATAATCTTTCCTGGGTACCTAGAAATAAGTGTGCAAAGTTTTTCGGAGGTTAAATCTTTTTTTACTGGACTAAAAACATTAAAACTAAAGTGTATCCTTTCTACTTAGCCACAGCTCTTATTTTTTTAATTTTTTTTTTGTTATTCATATCTTTTTTTATCTTTTTTTATGATTCTTGTTTAAGATTCAAAAGTTTTTTGTGATTATATAAATTGAAAATATCCGAATGATTGTACAATCAAACATTAAGTAGCAGATATAAAATGAAATGTTGTATATAGTTTATTTCAAACACTTCAAGTGAGTTCTCAATCTGATTCATTGTCTATGTGATAATACCTAACACCATAGACAAATCACCAACCACAAGTAGACTTCTCATCCCATTGTGAATTTTGAAGCTCGTTTTTTGTGTCTAGTTCATGTCCGGTGACACTGGGCGTAAGTGTCTACAAAATGTTGTTTATATTATTTTAGGGTTAATTTAATAATTTGTGCTTTACTGGTTAGTTAACTAGGGTACGAGTTATTGTTTGTGATTTTATTATAGTTTTATTTGGCTAAACGAGGTTTTAAATGACTGAAATAACAAGAAACAAATTTTAAACAAAAAACTACCTCTTCAATGCACCGGACAGAACTAATAATAAAATTGGCTTCAGCTGTTCCATAAGGACGAGAAATCTACTAAGGGAGTATGATTTATCTATGCCAACTACCAAGGCTTACTGTACGTCAAGCAGCTGTTATCTATTTATTTGTTCATAAAGAAACAAAAGAGGCAAAGCAGTTGTCTGCTAAATACCTCTCCACTCTTGCTGATCATAGTTTGGTACTTGCAGTTTACTATTTAGATAGTCTATATTACTTTGTAGGCTCGCCATCTCTTGCCTGTAATCACAATTTTCAATCAACAAGGAAATAACAATAACTGTCAATTTGGCTCAAGACTGTTCAAACTGGCTTCTATAACGAGTGAAAAGATAATTTTAAAAAGTGTCAACGATTTATTTGTGATGAGAGTTATTTGTAGATGGAGTAAATACGAGGACATTCAACTTTTTTGCATTTATTTTTTTTTTTATAATCAACCAACTGTTCAAAGGTTAGGGCTACTAGCTCAACTGAGCAGTGACACAGGAAAATGTAAACAAAGAGAGAAATCATGTGAGAACTGTCAAGACTAGTGACTGTAAACCGTGAGAAAAAACATTTTAAATTTTGATATTGGCTTCCTGGAAGTGGCCGGATAAACCGAGGACCGGTAAAACCCATGCCGGATATCAGGGGTTCTACTGTACCACTTTACAGTTTCTTCAGGTCAACAGTTTTGTTAAAGACTACGAATGTGCAACATAATTAGGAGTTTCCTATAAGGAAGTTTTTCCCTGCTAGACACTGAAATTTCCTTGCTTGAATTTGTGCTTGAATTTGGCCACTTGAAAAAATGCCTGTAATAGATCCTTGTGTGTGTCATAAAATAAGTGTTCGTAAATTATTTCATAACCAACACCACGGTTAGTTTTCTTTCTTTTTTAACGTCCAAGTTGGTAACCAAGTAAAAAAAGCATATGGATCTTATTTATATTTTTAAAAAGATAACAAGGACATGTAGAAAAGGAAAACAAGCCACATTACATTCATATCAGAGGGAAAAATACAGAGTCCAAAAGCTACCAAGACATTACTTCCATGGTATAAATGTAGTATTTATAGCCACATAGAAGCGGAATGAAAGTATAAATAACTCTCATCACAAGACAATGTCAATAACATGAAACATTACTGGATTACTGATCGTCTCCGAGCCAGCCAGTATGCACAGTGTTGTCGCAGTGGTATACCTGCAGGTCAGGCTCGTAGCCAAGTGACGGCACAGCCAGTCCGTACTGTGTGCACAGCAGGTGAAGCTCCTTACAGCTCTCCCACACCGACGCCAGACGACCTAGTAGCTTCTCGTTCTCCTCTCTCAAACTGTTGCGAGTCTCTCTGAAACCAATCTCGTTGCGAAACATTCGCGGATTTGTTAACCTAGCTTAATAGGCTGCAATCTTTTTTTTTCAATAATGCTCCAAATGTATTAAACCGTAAAAATAATTTTAATGTGAAAAAAAATAAATATTTATAAGTATAAACTCTTATCTTTTGAAATGTGCACAATAATTTGACAAATTCGGAAGTGCTTTGTGGCTTCAAACCTTCAACCGTTGAAACTGTACTTTAAGAAGCATAATGGGATATCAAGACAAAACCTTTCAAATATATTCCAAAGTTAATAGATTTTACAATATGAAAATAAAATAATTGACGGTCAACAGTAATCTAAATTCAAAGAAATATTTTCCTAAAAACATAACTTACTAAGTATATTTTAAAACAAACTTCTTGATTTAAAAAAATAATTAATGTAACTCAAATCACTTGAAAAGAGTTGAGACGGCTTACTTAAACCACAGACAATAGACCATTATTATTTCTTTTGTCTATGCTTAAACCCAATTTCCTGTTTTCTCTCATTTTCTCTTTAATATTCTTTTCTGGATTGACATTATAAGACACTAAATTGCAGTATTTTCATACTACTAGATTTTCAGATTTGTATACAATACACTATATTATGAGGTTTGTGCTATGAAGGTCCCTTTAAAGAAAAGATGTATTTGAGAATTTTAAACTTCTGTTTTTGTGCAAAGGGTTTCTGTTTTGTTATCGATTTTCTTATGTATTTCACAATATCCACAAAATACTACAGTATATTCCAGCTCTTAGCCTGCAGCTTTGCTTGTGAGATTTCTACAACCTTATATAAACAAGTCTCGTTGTAAAAAAAGTATTTTTTTATGTATTACAACAATAATCACATAAACACTTGTAAATAGATCTGCAAATAGTGTTATATTAAATACTACTATATTACTGCTGTTTTCCAGAGATATAAAATTCGATTAGGTACTGCTTTATTAAATACTAATATTGTAAATAAGTCCAAGCAATAATAAGATTCTGTTCTTATTAATTTAATATCCATAAAAATGTCATTAAAACTTTGTTGAACCTCGGGTATCTTTGGAAAATTAAAAAATCCTGTCTTTTTGCAAATCTAGGCAATAAAACAGAAAAACTGTAACTAAACTATACATCTGATCTGTGATTTTTTTTACTCTATGTCGTAACACTTCAAGCCTAAAAACTTTTGTAACTATGTTTGAAGCTATGGACGCAGACAAATAAAAAACTACAGCTTTAATTTTATAATAAACTCTAGAAGTGCCACTGACCTTCCGAGACTTCTCCTTCTCGTTTGGTGATATTTTAACCGAAAGGTCAAGTTTTACTTGACGCCGCTTACGACTTTTCTCCTTCCCCTCATCGGCCCCTGATAAGAATGCTAAGTTCTTATCATGCACTTATATTAATGGCTGTCCTTTCTACCTTTTCATTTTTTATTTCAAATGTTTAAAGTTGAGGTAGATCTATCTCGATTAGACAAATGTAAATTAAATTATTAGATTGTGTCAAAGCTTTGTTAATCTTTCAAACAATTTCTAAACTCTAAACTTAAAACTTTGTCTTTATTTACAGTTTAAAATTTAATCAAAATTTGACTCAAGCACACATTAAGCCCCAACAATGTGCTAGATATGACTCAAAATACCAACACATTTTTTGGCCGAACGATATGTTATTTTTATGCAAAATATCTAACTTTAAATTCAAGAGATTTTCATCTGTAGGTAAAGGGACCTCCCTAGTTAGTAGTTAGTAGTGAGGTCACCTCTTTAGTCCTGCATGTTATCATACTGGGTTCATTTACACTAGTATTTTACTTGTCATTTTTTATGTGAGAAATTGATGCCTTTTATGATTTTCTATCCTTAAATGCCAATGAAATTAGAAAAAAAAACACTAATTGGTTTAAATCTTGAAATTATCTGTCGAAAGATTTATACAATAGCTTCCAGTAGTAATTAAAAGTTTGTTGTTGTAACTCCCCAAGTATTTCAAGCAAAGTATTTTAAAAGCCCCCAAAATTAAATGCAATAAAAGCTACTTCCCAAATAGAATCTCACATTTGAAAAATTCACTGCAGAAAGGACAGCCATAAAACAATCAAATTTTGATGATTCAGCAGATTAAATTATCTAAAAAGTATCTAACACTATTCTAAGCATGCAAGACCTTACTTGTGCCTCATCGATGTGTCCTCTAGTTTCTCAGTCAAGGAATGACACTCGTCCTTTAGTTTGTCCACTAGTTGTGCCTGCGACTGAATCATACCCTCAAGCTCTGCGATATTTTGGACTGAAACGCACCACACACTGTGAGAGCCGCAGACGCTCGACAAGTTCGGACCAGTCTTCGCTACTTTGCTCCGACAAACGGTCTCATTGTGTCCAAGTACAGATATTTACTTATTGGCAAGTAAAGAATCGATAGATCGTAGATTTTACAATCTGCATCAAACATCTTAGATCATCATTCATCATCATCGTTCATCATCATTTTGCCTATTGTTGAGAGTTAAGGGTGTTCCCTTTGTTCCCATGTTAAGGTCGTCGAGTAGTCATAAGAATGTGATTGTGATATGAAAACACGGATATTTCTGAGACCATTTTAAAATACTTTGTTTTCATTGTTGATGCAATTTTACTTAATTTCTGAATAATTAAAAAATTTGGTAATCCAAAGTGGATACAGTTCGGATTAGCGGAACTCTGACGTATTGATTTTAGTGATGGGTTGTTTTAGTGCTACTTGGACACAACTCGACATGTCTGCTCCTATACAAACCACTAAAGCAGATAAAATGTCAAAATGCAACCACACTTTTTGGAAATATTAAATTGTATTACTACAGTTTCAAAAGTATATCTTTTATATTCTATCTGCAGTAACGTTAGGCTAAAGGTTAAGAAGGCAATGTAGGGAAAAAGTGGGGATTTCGTGTCACAGGTAACATGGCAAACCTGGAAAACAAAAACACATATACCAAAGTTGACTCAAGTCCTCAAAACCTCAAATGTAGATACATCAATATTCTCTTCGAACTTAAATAATTGCCTGTAATAGTTTTGAATGTATTGCAAAAATAAAATATGGTGTTTTGGATGCGACACAAAACTATTGGACAACCATAATGCCAATGTGTGTTTTGGTTATGTAAAAAGGATGGATGAAGAAGAGTCGCAAACATACAGGGTGCATTAATTAAGTTTCAAGACTGATTAATTCCCGTGTAGAGGAGCGCTTCCAGACCAGTCCCATGGCCCTGGCTGGTCAAATAGGGATGTAAGTTAGTGACCGAACCCTCTCCGGTTGCTGGCGGAACGTTATAGAGTGAAAGCATCATGCGCAAAGTTAACGTTTATTTTGTAATCACGTTAAAACATCGTGAGAATGAAAATTCAGCACGTGAAGGAGCATTGTTATTCCATCATATACCGTGTCAAAAACAGCATGGAAACACTTCAGTTGCTTCAACGGACCTTCAAAAAGGGTTTTCATTTTCAATGTTTTCATGTGGAACAAGCGGTTTAGAAATTGCCGCTTAGACGTAGAAGACGATACTGGAAGGCCTGCAGTGTCACGCAACCAAGAAAATCTGGTAAAATTGCAGAAGTATTGAACACTGACAGACACTTGAGCATTAGACTTATTGTGTATAGAATGAATTGCAACTACAGTATAGTGTTTAAAATGGTTTCTGAAGATTTCATGATGAAGGTGTGTCTTGTACCGAAAGTGCTCACAGACGATCAATAGCAGCGACTTGCGCATCCACCCAGATTTTGGCCCAAGACTACGCGGCCACCCTAGGTAAATCAAAATGTGAAAGTATTTCTGTCCTGGGTCAAGGTCTTACCTTGAAACCTACGGTTATAGCTACTTCCCTATAGTGAAATTCACTTAAAGGGTCTATAATGCTTAGCTGTGAAAACATCCACATAAAAAAGGGAAGGAGTTTTATGTGTAGATGAAGTTGAAAGAGGCTTTTTAGCGACAGAGACTGATGCTACTAAAATCAACAATTATGGTCATGTTGACAATGCATCATCACAGAAAAATATGTTTAAAACAAAATATGCTTAAACTGCATCGTTAAGATTAAGATTGAACTTTATTAATTACTTAAACCACAGACAAAAATAATTAAAAATTGACTATCAGCCGTGCTGTGGTTACCATAGGTTCTGGCACACACCACTGGGAGCACTATGTATTTGTTGCCATGTATAAAATATAGTCAGTCATGGTAACCGCAGCACGGCTGACAGTCTATATTTAATTCTTTTTGTCTATGCTTAAACTTAGGCTCATATTGATTGGCCAATTGAGAATGTGGTTGCATCTCAGAATTAAAATATTAATAAACAAAAACTAAGAAAACAAAACCTTTATGGAAAAAACATAGGCTACTAACAACTATGCAACATAGAAAATCAAGGAAATTACAACAAACACACAACACTCAATAGAAAATCTCAATTTTTATAGTACTGTAATTGTAATCTTACTGAGCAAAGTATTAAATCAACATATTATAATTTGAACTAAGGATATGGCGCTCAAAAAGATAATGTCAAATCAAAACTTATGTTCCAAATGGGTGTGGTACACTAAATAAAAGTTTCTTTTATAAAATCTTTTATACAATCAATGAAATTGCAACATAGTTTAGAACACATATCCCACAGTGTTTTTAAATTGTAGTAGTACTAATCGTACTTTCATACGTAGCTCAAAATCTAAAATACTTTACATTTATCAGTTACCCATCTTTAATTCGGTACAGATTAAAATTAAATGTTTTACAGTTAACCAATGGGCTCTTCATTATCTAGTAAAATTCTAAAGTCATACTGCATTGCAAAATATGATATTTATTCAAGTGAATTGATCAAAACACTTAATTTATAGTAATTTTATGCTCATTTGGTGTATTTTCATGCAGCAGCTTTTTTTGTGTATTTATAACAAAATTACACTTACAGAGCACTTCAAAGCAAATTTACACGAAGCTTGTAATCTTTTTAAATTTATGGATGCAGTGCTCATTTGTCAGAATGAATTGTGAAACAATTACAGTATTTACAATGTTGTGCGAGTGATCTTCCAGTTATGAAAAAGGTGTGAATATAGCAACTATATGGGTGTTTATTCGGTTTTTACTTTTACAAATAAAATAGTTCACAAACTAATGTTTAAATTAGAAATTGAAATGAGATTTAAATGTTTTTTTTAGGTAATACATTAAACAAATAACTTCATTTCATGTAATTATGTAAAAAATTACTGGTTTATGATGATATTTTTACAGTATGATTTTAAATATTAAACATAGCGCACAACTAATCAATAATGATATAAATAAATAATAAAGCTAAATAACTATAAGGTCGGTAAAATATATTCAAAGACGTTATAAAACAAGAACACTTGCTTGTGCATGTGCACCATAAGATTTATTGAAATTTTAAACTCAGTGGCCAGATGTATTGAATTTCATGCAAATTATGTATAACCTTTGAGTATTAATACAACTTCAGTATTATTAGGCCTACTTCAGTATCCAATAGTCATGGTATAACATAGTTATTTTATTGTTTGTCCAAAAAACTACCCCTACCTGTAGTATTATTTGCATTTTTTATCAGAAAATAAGCACCCATCTTTTAAAACAACTACCCTACCTGGAGATGAGATGCCAGTTTAGTCCTACTTGTAAAAATAATTTCCTGGCTAGGTTAACAATATACTACTAATCACGAATACTGTAGAATAAAACCAGGTATGGATCATAAACATAAACATATGACGTTGGCCCGAATCCTATACTAACATTAACATGGTTTTGGCAGTTCCATTTAAGCAATGTTAAATAATGTTTATTTTCAGGCCAAAAACGTCATTTGTTTATGTTTATGATCCATACCGGTTCTTATCAATTATTCGTGGTACTAATGTAATGAATAAATATTTTCATATCGATTGGAAAGTTTCTTAAATTTAAATGTTGGAAGGTTGTTAAAGAAGCCACAAATACAGTTGATGCTTTCAAACTTATTTAGCAGAACCATAAGTATCTGTTGTTTTATAATTTGTCAGTAACAAGCCAAACATACATTTCGATCATTTAAACTACAGTATTTGATCCAAAATTAACCTACACAATTTTACGAGTAACTGATAAATGTAAAATCTGATTGCTTGTTAAACAAACTGAGGATTTCCTACTAAATAAGTTTTGACGTAAATAAAAATAAATTAGAAAACAAAATCAAAATAAAGTAAAATAGTAATATTAACCAAACATAACAAGCAGGCAAATCTATTCTACAGGTATATGTACAAGAATCAAAAGGGTTTACCTCAAAGATAGTTCTGCAGAAGGATTGGCTCTTGAAGTCATGCACACAGAATGCTTCATCATGCATGATCTGATCATGCATGCACTTACCATGCTTGGCGTCCATGTCAAGAATCATTGATGTTAGCTCTTTCTCTCTCTTAGAATCCTTCAATATCTCATTTTCTCCACCATCATGAGTGAGTTTGGTCAAGTGTAGCTGCAAGCATAAAAATGTATTTCGTATTTTGATACCTATAAGGTTTGTAACAAATTATCATAAAAAAAATTTGAATTTTCCAAATAAACTAGTAACATATATCCCTTGAGTTAATTTTAAATACTCACTTGACTGTTTTTTTTTTTTTTTTTTTTTTTTTTATCACTGCAAATAATTAATACAAGTACAGTACCTTCAAATATGTCTTAAAACCTAAATTGAGAAAAATGCTGTAGTTACTAAAGAGAGGCCTTACATTGTCTTGGAGAATATATCGGCGGTTACAATACATTTGGATTTTTTTTTTTTTTTTTTTTTTCTTAGAAGTCAATCAGCAAAAAGTCTACGCAGATTTTACTAAGTTTTTTAGAAGTATGGTTTCTTCATCAGAAGAGCAACAGATTTCAGCCATCCTGCACACCATACAACGCAGCTCAGTAAGACACCATCCTATATCATCCGCAAGATCGTCAATGCACTGCCCCAAGACCTCAAATGTTTAGAAGGAATCGACATATTAATTGAACCTCGGCATATGAAAACTAAATCTTATATTTTTTCCTATAAATGACTCAGCTGCCAATGACAAAAATGGAGGTTCACATTGGGGCCTTTTATTGCTTGACACAACAAATAACAACTGGTTCTACCTTGATTCACCAGGTGAGTAGAACCTATATCATACAGAGCAGGTCATCAAGAAAATGAACACTCAACCTTGAACAAAGTTACTGTCCCTCAAAAAAGTAATCTCAAGACTATGAGAGGAAACGCACTATAATAGGGACTGCAAGACTAACTGGTTGAACTAACTGTTTACTCAACCAAAGAATTGTTTAATCTCTTACAAAGATAGAAGACCAGAAAATATCTGTAAAGAAAGAGATCTAAACAAACATGACAATATTGTATTTCTTGAAGAAAGTCATAATAAAGAAATGTTTCTATTCTCAGGGGCCCTCTTCTACAGGGTCCCTCTTCTACAGGGTCCTTCCCTAAGAATGTTTCTGAGGGGCTACAAACACTGTTTCTTAACCGAGAGTAAAAATGTTTCATTGTCCTTTTACTCAATGAAGAAACTCAAAGAAAAACATTTGTGAAATTTTGGTATAGATTGACCCAAACTTGTAAAAGGGTTAAAATGCAAAATTTAAAATATGCTAGAGTTTACCCTTAGGTTTATAGTTAGTTGTCCCTTAAGATTTACTTTGTTAAATTACATTTACAACAATGCACTATGTTATGGTAAACTATTTTTATGACAAATGATATTGACGCAAAACTATTCGATCTAACCTCCTTCTCGAGAGAGGCGATCTGCTCGGTGAGCCGCAGGTTTTCCTTTCGCGCATGCAGCAAGTCAGCGTCCGCCCGGTCCAGTCGCTGCCGTAGACTGGTGACCTCCGCTTGCAGCCGCGCAGTCTCTTGTCGTGACGTCCGCTCAGCCCTCTCCACCGCCAGCCGCAGACTAGCTGCCTCCTGCGCGAGGCTGTCTCGGTCCGCGGACGACGCCAGCAGTTCACTCTGCAGTGCGCCTTGTGAAACAGTCGACACTCTTACTCTGCAAGCTATGTCGGAGTAACAAGACACAGTCGATTGGAGATGAACAAAAAATTTGAAATATAAACTAAATTGAAAGGGTAATCATAAAATTATAAAACAATTGTGATTGCAACATAATAGTTTGTGGGTGTATAATTTAGGTCTCTTAAAAAGTTTGGACAACACAAATTAAGATGGGAAACTATTTAAGAATAATTTGTTTGCTGAGACTGTCTGGGCATGTAAGGTACCTAATAAGAAGGGAAGATCAATATATGATAGAAATATGAAGGAAACTCCAGATAGAAGGCCAAAGGCATGAGAGCCAATAAGCAAAGAAGATAAACAGGTTCAGAAGAAATGGAGACAGTTAAATAATAAACACACATGACAGTAAACACCTCCATGAATAGAAAATGATAACGGCAGTAAGAGTTAGAACACAAAAAAAATTATAATAACGTGAAAAACATAAAGTTCTACTATAAAATAGTAGGCCTTCTCCTAAAGAGCATGAGATTAATCATTGTATGCGGTTCCAACTCGCACCTTTTACATATTTCTTCAATATTATTCAGACTATTTTTTTTTATGTAAAATATATGACAATTCTCATTAGGAACCTACTTCATCTTATAATTTTTTTTGTGAAAATAAATATTTGACTTTAACTCTTATCCAATGATTGCTTTAGAAAAATCATTTCCAAAAGATATTCATACAACTGTGATCTTTAAAAGTCGATTAAGGAGAAAACAAAACAACATCAACTTAAAAACAATTGTAAATTAAAAACTAATTTTGGTTTAAAAAAATAAGTGTGTAAATCATAAGTTTAGTACTTCGGCAATAGTCTAAGACTTTTGAATTTTACACAAACCTCCTATTATTTCTCAATATGTAGGAGTCATATTTGATTGAAAAAAATGTGCATAAAATCAGCAATTACTCACTGGTCTTTGTATTCAATTCTTTCTTGAGTTCATCAATTGTAGCGTTCCGTTGGACAAGCTCTCTTCTAAGTTCTGACTCTGTTCTTCTTTGTTTCTCCAAGTCAAGACTCAACTTTGTAGAGTTCTCCCATTGGGCAGACAAGTCCGCGCTCAGCTGTTCAGTTTGGTTCGTATATCGTCTTTCCACCTACAAACATTACTTTAACACATTGTTTGATGTTTGTATTTATTAAAGTATGTTCAGTTTAAAAACTGTACAGAAAAGAACATCTAAATTTTGGAATATATCATCCAATAGTTTGTATTCGAAACTGTGTACTAAAATTGTGAAACAAAATTCAACAATTTAAAGACTAGCTTATGTAGTTTTGCTAAAATCTGAAAAGATTGAGTTACCTCAGCCAATCGTCTATTGTGCTCTCCCAGACTTTCTCGCTGTTTCTCGTTCATTCGTTCTAATTCATTTTTCAGCCGGCGCATTTCCATTTCACACTAGAACAAAACTTGAATACATAGCATTTAGTCACTCATTACTATCTTTAAGGGTGTTGCATAGAGCACAAGGGCCTAGACTTTTTAGGATTTTTTGAGAGGATAGCAGGCTTACCTGAATGGGAAAGAGTCCAAACTGGCACAGGAAACACAAAACAAAACTTTACACTATATACACAAAACATTAGAATATTTCACTGTCACTGTCACTAGTGTAAAGTTTTGTTTTGTGTTTCCTGTGCCAGTTTGGACTCTTTCCCATTCAGGTAAGCCTGCTATCCTCTCTTTACTATCTTTGTCATCTAAAAATGTTAAATTTTGAATTGCAAAGAATAAGTTTTGAAATTATTTTAGTTTACATTTTGTATCTTAACTACGACATAGCTAAGATATTACCCATAGAGCTTAGAGTAAAAGCATAATGATGGACAGTTAAAGCCAAGTTAAATAACATTTCAAAACAATTTCATACTGTACTACCTGTGAGTTGTACAACTTACTGGTGGCAGCAATGTGTTAATATTTTACTCTACAAAGCTTGCAAAGCTAACTTGACACTTCTACTTATTGTTCTCAATCTTTGCACAAATATGTATTTAAATTAATAAACAATCCCAGGCGAACAAAGAGTTAAACCGCATTAAATATCTCTTGAACTAACTTGTATCTAACTATCTAACTATTATTTTTCATAGTAAATCTACAATTATTTATTGGCACTCTGGTTTTCCTACCTGATTCTTCTCAAACTGCGCTTGGTCCACAGCGTCGAGACTTCTCTTGAGCTTCTGTGAAGTGTTTGCTTCCTTCTCTCGTAGTTGAGCCACAGTTCCGTGAAGTTTGTTGATCATATCATTCAACTCCTCCCTTTCCCTAAGTTTAGCAAATTGTTCATGAATAATATCTTTCAATTAGAATGCTTAAAACACTAAAAATTTTAGTAGAATGCAGCTGTTCAGCCTCCTGAGGACTAAACTGCAGTGGTGTATTACTACTCCAAGGATCACCTGACAGTTAAGGTACAGTATTTAAAACATTTATTAATTACAGTAACTAAAGTTAAATTTGGAGGCTAACATCATTAAACTAAATATGTGTTAATCTTAAAGCCACACAAATTAAACTCAACCAAATTGTTTTCATCCAAAATAAAACGGTATTGTACTTGGCAAAATATTTTATAACTTTTTAGTTTCCGAGATTTAATTGCATTACACCTTGAACAATATTTACTTTGTATAACTCCTATAAAATGTTCATAAAACTTTTAAAAAACCCTTTTTTTCAAAACTGTTTACACTCTTGCCTGAGCATAAAAATTCTTATCCTGAGAACATAAAAACCCTAAATAGTTTAATCTTACCAGCTGGAGTCATATTGTTTGAACAACTCACATTCTCAAACTTCTTCCATTCGCTAACTATCAAGCAATCAAACTAACCTCTGCAACGCTTCAATCTGTTTATACAGCTCTGATTCAGATGCCTGGGCTTGGGGAAGATAAGACATCGATGAAAGTCCTTGTTCTGACATCTTCTTCCGTAGAGTTTCTGCTTCTTCCACCGCCTTCTTGAGATCCATCTTTGTCTGTGTCAGTTGTGCCTCCAACTCACTAATACGAGACTCAAAAATAATACTTGGTCCCACCAACGGTTTCTTTCTACTTCGAGATTCCACCTGAAAGGAAAATTATACATTTGTCAAATTTTATTACATTCATTTATTCAAACAGTTGGTGGTTGTCGAGTATGAGGTTTGTCTTCATTGACTGGAAAGATATTTGAAAACTACTTTTATACCGGTAATCTCATTCCAGTTCATCCTATAATGTAATATGTTTAATATTGAAACATATAATATTAACATTAGATAGACATTTAGTAGGCCTACAACTTGTCCCCGTTAAAAAGCTACACAAGAACAAAATAGCACAATAACGAAATTGCTATTTGTGTCTGTGAGCGCAAAGTATGTCATTTACACTAGAGAACTGTAGCGGCAATGTCTGTTTGTGCTCGTAATACACACAAGATTGTTCCTACCACAGTTAACACACAGCTTAACTTTTTAGTTGAGTATAAAATGTCATTTTGGTTATGTTTGCTTTTTCTGTTGGAATGAATGGGACCTAGATCGTCACTATTACACCAAGTGTGAAATCAGCTGATTTAATGAGTGAGAATGAATAAATCAGAAATGAGCTATTTTGCTTACTGTTTACAAGTGTATCAGTAAGTTTACAAGCCAAGTACCAGCTAGGGTACAAGTGGCCATGGCAGTAAGCAGTAAGTAAGTAAGTTTACAAGTGTGGTAATGTGTTCATTTTCATGCAGTGGTAGGAAAAAATCATTGCAGACAAACAGTACAAGCCAGATCAGAGACAAGGTCAGCATTGAAGTGGCTACTAGGATATTTTTGCTAGATGTATTGGCAGAACATACTAGTTCAGTACTAGTACTATTCAAGTTACTTTTAGGTAGGGTACTTCTTTCAATATCAGAGATGGTTTTATGGCTTACAAGAATAAATCAACAATGGGAAGTTCTTAAATATTAAAATACCTTGTCCTCTGAACTAGCATCATCATCATCATCGTCGTCATCTTCAAAGCTGTCCAAAAAATATTGCAACATTCCGGCCTTTCGTTTCTCATGTAAACCCTCGTTTTCAGTTATTACTTCCTTCACTTTGCCCATTAAATTTGATAGCTCTTCCTACAAAATAGGTAATATTTACTATTTAAACTTTCAAAAGATTAATCAGCCTAGATGTGCGCTTCCAGAGCAATGTTGTTTGAAAATAAAATACCTAGGCTAATTGAAATTATTAGGCCTATTTAGAAAAAAAACTAACTTGTAAATTTAGTTTGATTAGAATTTGATTTGATTTGAATTTAGTTTGAGCTATAGTCTAAGGACACATGAATGAAGAGTGAGTACCAATGAAATTGATTTTAAAGTTTGGTATCAAATTTTCATGTTTGTACTTTTTTATCAAACCTAATAAAATAGTAAAACCGCTTACCCGACAATATTGCGATTCTTTCTCCAATTGCTCTATATACTCCTCTTGGCGCTGGACAAAAGACATTAGCTCTGGAGTCGGCTGGGAATCTGCATCGGGTTTCTTGAGGACGATTGCAGGTCGTGGCGTTGACGGAATTATACTCCCATCTCCTGGCAGGAACGGGTGGTAGTGACCCTGTAGCATACAAATATGTTAAGCAATATATAAATCACAAGACATACCATAAACTATTTACACGAGCTTCCTATAAACATAAGTTAACTCATAATTACAGCCTGTTAATTATAATCACGTCATTTGAAATTTAGGCTAAATAGGCCTATGTACCTATTAAGGTTAAGTAATTACTTACCAAAGAGTATTTTGAGAACCCTGTGGAAGGAGTATATGACTCAGCCAGAAGATATCTTAGCTTAGACACTGCCTCTCGATAGGCAAAATCTGTGTATCCTGCCCCCTTCTTGTGGAGTCCCTCCATTTTGCTTTTCCTGAAATAATATGTCTACGTTAAATAGCTTATGAAAATTAACTACGGCACAGAAGTGATGTGTAGTACAGTCTTGATGTCCAAATATATTTTCTATGATTTCACTTAGAATACATTAGTGTATCAAGTTATTTCTTGAAAAGTTAGTGATCTGTATTTTTGAACACCATACTGACTTCAACTCGAGAAGAAACAGAGTACTTGAGCTAATTGATATAGGTAATGATTTAATCTTTTCATTAAGTATAATGAACAATTAGGTACTCAAATTCTTTGTAATGATAATATCTAACATTGTTTAATAAATGTCACACACAGACTATTCCAATAGATGAACTAACTAACTTGATATAGTATTAAATATTACTCATTATGCTACCGCTAATGGTTAAATACCACTATGATAAAATACCTTTCGAAATTATTGTAAACTTTGATTAATTAATCATCATCTCTAAGTTTCTCGGCTCACCATCGTTGAATGAAATTTTGGTATTTTTGTAGGTTTGGTTGGTTGTTTAGAGGTTAGATCATTAGATTACACGTTACCATGGAAACAGGTTGGGTGGAGTGGAGACTGGAGATTCCGTCGCGTCGTTTTGGAAAAAAAATTAAAATAACGCACTCCTCTTTTTGTGAAGAAAAAATAACTTCAACTTCACAAGGTGGTTGAGTGAAAATCACAGAATTATAGCTCAGTGGTGAAAATCAAAAATACAGTATGGGTTAAATTCACTGAGCTATAATTCTATAATTCTAGAATTAATTATAGCTCAGTGGTTAAAATAGTCTAAATAAAATGATAATCATTAAATTAAACATTTTGTCTCATATTTGGGATACATTCCGAAAAGTTTATCTGGATTGGAGTGAAATAGATTCAATCTGCTCTACAACCATTTTGTCCGGCTTTGATTTTTCTTATCAGCTGTCTGCAAAATTCTGTTCAGCTGTTCACTGCCCTGCTTGCTTCGCTTCAGTGTCAGTGTTTCTCATAGATCTATAAGATCTATGGTGTTTCTGCTTGTGAATTTGAAACGTGTGTTTCTGTTTGTTTATTATGTGGGTTAGTGGGTAAACTAAATTCGTCCGTCTAGCCGTCTACTGTTTGTTTATGTTGAAGAGTACAGACTTTATACCCGGTTGTGACATAATTTCGTAGTTGGTTTTATAATCTAACTAAAGGCCTAAAAATTATGATCTGGTTTTATGCTCAGTTGAGTTTGTATTAATTTTTGAAAAGGTTGATATAAGTTTTGTACTGTTAACTGAGGTCTAACCTGTAACCCACAAGCTATTTTAAGGTTACCCCAATAACTGTAGTACTATAATGAAAATAAAAGGATTTAGTGACTTAAATATATCCATACCTTATGAGGAGTTTACACCCAATCATGCCCAGGAACTAATTGATCGTAAGTTTATATTCTCAAATTGTTGTAAAAGATTGTTCATGTCAGTTGCACTAGATAACCTACAACTAGTCCGTCTATTCAAATGCACCTTAACTAATATTTAACTAATATACTAATTCATCTTAACCATAGGAGTATCTATATCGAATTTTACCTGTATAACTTAAATTTGTCAAATTAGAAGTGAAATACACAGCGCATACTTAGGCTAAGTTAACTTTTATATTTTCAGTTAAGATAAAGTAGTTCTTGTTGATCCTCATGGATATTGCGCTTACATAGTCGTAGTGCTTAAAGACTTAGAATACTCTGAACTGGACATACAGTAGATAGCCTACACGGATCATCACACTTCATTCTGCATTCATATTCACTCTAGTGATGCGCGATTGCGAGATGTTACAATCTAAACGTTTAGATTGTTTGAACCTCTCGAGACGTTTCGATTGTATTTTTGCTTAGCGAGAGGTTTTATCGAGATGTTCGTGACTATTGTTTCGTTTCAGCACGGCTTCTCTTCTCTCGTATCTCGTATTCGTCTAGAGAACCGTGAGGCAAGAGGTTTTAATGAGATGTTCCTGACGATTGTTTCGTTAAGTGCGGCATCGGCCGCATCGTCATTTATTATCATCTAATTTCTATTGTATGTGCCGGGGATTGACCCCCCAATAAGAGGTATATCTTACTTCAAACCAACAAAGGCTTATGGCTATATTACTTAATTACTTTATCTACGGAATAGTGACTTAACACCACTCAATAAAAACTATTGACAAAACGATATAGCCTATTTTACAAAAAAAAATTTTTTATTCAAATCAAAATGTTTATAACGAGACAGAAGGTTCTCATAGGCCTAAATGTTTTGTTAACAGTACTATATACCATATTACTCATTACTTAAAAAAATTTCTATTTCTGTTGCCATGACCGAGTGACATAAGTGCTTATTCATATGTCAGCAGCATATATGTTGTGCATAATAGTCTAGTATTCTATAAGAATATAGAAAAAGAACTAACATCCTCGTAACAACTCTCATGAAATGTAGACAGATGCTAACGGACGTTTAGGAATCAAGAATCAAGAATCAAGAATCAAGAATCAAGAATCAATCAAGAATCAAGAATTTTTATTTCCATAAAATGTGGTTACATTGCTGGAAAACGTCAGTCAACTATAGCTAAAAAAAATAAAAACTAAAATAAGACAATGGTACAAGGTTTCTTACCAATATAAGAATTACATTCCTGAAACTCTCCATGCAAAGAGAAGGAAAAAAAAAACAGCACACAGCACTCGGTTGAAAAACTAAAAAAAACTACTTACAAGTTCTTCTTTCAAATCAAAAAATTCTCTGTTTTTGTACAAAGGGTTTGCCAAAAGGAGCCCCTCAACACCTTTTCTAAATTTTGGGTCCGGCAGGTTCCGAGCTGCAAAAGGAAGTTTATTAAAAAACTTATAACTTAGAATCTCATTCGACATCTGAACTTTACTTAATCTAACATGTGGTAAATTGATATCATTTTTCCTACGTGTATTATGGGTCAATGTCACATAATGGGTGATTTTGAAGTCCTTTGGGCACAAATGCAAGATAAAAATATTATTTTAAGTAATAATGTGTTGTTATTATTATCCAACCCCTTACCTTTCCAGCAAACATAGTTTTAGATCCTAATCATAATTTATTCAATAAGAAAAATAAGACTGTTTATCATAATTTGCCAGTCGTTCACTGTCCCCAGCCTAATGCCGTAATGTTCACTCAAATAATAAATACTTCATAACCTCACAATTTTGCAATATAATGGAACTATAAACATCGGGAGATCGTCTGCTATCAAAAACAAGCAGTATTAAAATTCTAAATACGATGGGGACTTTTTTTTTAATTGTCTAAAGACAGTCCCCAAGGTACAGCATGTCAAAGACGTTTCGACAAAATGGGTTCTAGAAGTAACGGGGCGATGCGTAATTTGGCAGCAAAACACATTCTAGTGCTTGTGATGAGTTTGCGCAGTAGCCACAGCTAAACAATTTTGTGAATTTTAAGAAGATTTTTAGAAATGAACTGATAAACAGATAAGAAATGCATAGTACCTTAATTAAGATTCAAGTCGTTCACTTTAATAACTCACAAACTTTGCAACTTACAATAAAAAGGATTGCATATTCTGACAATGTCTCTAGGCCTAGAACCTAACCTCAAATTGGATGTCAACGCAGTAAATGTAGCTTTTCATAGACTAGATTTTAGATCAGATTTGCCAGTCGTTCACGCTCCAGTTGTTCACGTGAACGATGTTGAATATCGTGAACGATTGGCACAATACTGGCTGTACTTTAAATGTCGTTGCTCTTTTACAACTATAAGGTTTAGGGTATAATATTTTATGGTAGTCGTTCCTTCATTATAACATCAAATTCTAAACAAAATGAATCTTTCACAAATGACCAAAGAATGTTAGGCTATGTTTGTAATTTCATAAAAAAAAGATTTCATTAAAATATTGTTGAAACATTACATTTGGGTTTACATTTCTTCTAATTAATATCCATTTCTCGATGTGTTTTTCAGTAACTTACTCCAGTTATACATTGTTCAATGCCATCAATGCCAGTAGTTCACGGTCAGCGCCAGTAGTTCACGGTCAACGCCAGTAGTTCACGCTTACCAAAACACATATATTTCACTAACTGCTTATCCTATATTATGATGTTTATGTGTTTTCTGATACATGCCATACCGGCAATCATATTTCAGTACAAACAACAATTTACTGCAATTCACTGTTGAAATATTTGTCATTCATACTAAAGTTTCGTCTGCAAAGTAGAGCCAATTCATTTTAGGTTAGCTCAAATTGTTAAAATTTCCTCAAATTGAACGAAATTAAATATTTTGGTTTCGTTTATTTGAATTTTGAGGGGTATAAGTAACATTTGTGATGACATTTTTAATTTAATATCATTTTTACTATTTTATTTTTGCAAATTCATCAGCGTGACCGACTGGCATTTTTTGTGTGACCTTCAAGCTAAAAATAGAGTTATAAATTAAGGTATACAAAATTCAGCTCTGCTGATTAGTATACATTATTCCTTGGTAAATACTGATTGTAATAGGCTAGTAGTACATCGATTTTAAAAGTAAAAAAAAAATTTTTTGACTTTCCTGAAAATTCATCATTATGTGACATTGACCCTTATAGGGATGGATGTCGCCTCTCAGCTCAAGAGAATCCCATTCCTTCTTGATTTTGATCAAGGACTGAAAAATATAGAGGTTACAAACTGTCATTAAGCTCTCAGCTACAAATATGGGTTTGCAATGGTCCAAGTAATCAGCACCAGCTACTACTCTAACTGCTTTCTTTTGATAGCGCAGAACTCTCTTGACCCCAGAGGCGGCACCCCAGAGCCTTAGGCCATACAATAAAATACTCTGAAAGAAAGCAATATAAGCAGTTTTCAGCCAGTCCTTTGGTACAAAATATCTCAGTCTTCTGAGTAGACACAGAGCTCTGGAAAGTCTAGCACAAACATGGCTAATCTGGTCATTCCAGTCTACTTTATTGTCAAGATGTAAGCCTAGAAGTTTGACAGATTTCACACTATGTTCTAAGTTTCTTAGGCTAAAGATTATTGACTTAGTCTTTGTCTCATTTAGGAAAAAGTGATTTGCTCGGAACCAGGCCGATGCCCCCTCAAGAGATCGTTTCATGGCTTCCTCAAGATCTCCCAGTTCATTACTAGTTTCAAAGAGTGTAGTATCATCTGCGTAACAGATGACACCTTGCCCCAAACACAAAGCGAGATCATTAAGCATGACATTGAAAAGTAAGGGACCAAGAATTGAGCCCTGAGGTACACCATGGGTCAATTGCTGTACACTGGATTGTCTGCCATTTATACAAACCAGCTGCCCACGTCCAGTCAGGTATGACTCAAACAGTTCAAAAAGTTTCCCCTTAACCCCATAGAAATTTAACTTTCCCAGGAGGGTGTCATGATCCACCATGTCAAAGGCCTTGCTGAGGTCACAATAGGCTTAACGAATGCAACAATCGAGAGAAACATCTCGATTGTACAAACCTCTCGCTAAGCAATCGAAACAATCGATAAGCGGAACATCTCGAGAAGGAACATTTCGATTGTTCAAACATCTCGCAATCGCGCATCACTAATTCACTCATAGGCCTATTTTTTTTGTTAAAATTCACACCTAGGTGGCATCCCCAAACAATTGGTAATGGTGAAAGTGTATGGTACCCTAGAAGAGATCAACAAAAATGGTGATTAACAAGCTCCCTACATTAGGTACGGTACCTGTTTTGGCAGAACGTTGATATTCAACTCCTTCATTAGTTAGTATCAATCCAAAACTAACTTATTCGTAATTTCAATCCCATCAATTTATAACAACTCTCTATAATCAGCAAAACTTTGATGCCTGACTCCATCATATTATCGATTGCTAACTTAAGTTAGGCTATGTAATTTTATTTACCGGTACAATTATTTGAAAGTTTGGGGTTTGGTTATCGATCGAATCAATAGGCCTAGGCCTACTTAACAATTATATTGTTCCATAGGCCTAACTTAATCCGATGGAGTCGGATATCAAAGTTTCACCATCATATAATATAATAAATCTAATATATAAAATTCTCGTGTCACAGTGTTTGTCTGCAAACTCCTCCGGAACGACTTCACCGATCGTTATGAAATTTGGTGTGTAAATTCTGTAGGTATGCGAATCGGACGTAAACTATTTCCCGTTTCGAAATTCTTAAAAGGGCTCCGCCCCAGTGGCTCTGGAGTTTCCCATGTTAACCTTATGAGAAATGGAATTAATGAATCTTAACAGCTGGTTCAATTAAACAAGTTGGTTCTGTTCTATGATGTTCAGGTAATTATATCGACCTCCGGACCTCACGCGAAATTAAAAAATTTTTTTTCCAAAATGTTCGAAATTTCACGCTGATTTCAAAAATGATTGTCGTTTTTTTCGGAAACGTCCCGTTTTCCCGGAAAATGGGAAAAACGGGAAAAATATTTTTTTGCTCAAAACCCATGTTGTGGGTACTCAGATTGTGCGGAATTTCCTCCTGAACAAGAATATGTAAATTTTATTACGATCGGACCACTATTAAGTAAAATATCACCGAAAAACTGGAAAATGGGGAAATTTTTCTTTGCTCAAAACCCATGTTGTAGGTACTCCTGAACAAGAATATGTAGTTTTTATTACTATCGCTTTTAAGTAAAACATCACCGGACAGGTTACCCAACCTAACATAACCCAACTTAGGTTTAGATTAGGTTAGGTTAGGTTAGGATAGGTTAGTTTAGGTAAGGTTAGGTTAAGTTAGGTTAGGTTAGGTTGGTTTAGGTTAGGTTGAGTTTCGTTAGGTTAGGTTAGGTTAAGTTTGGTTAGGTTAGGTTAAGTTAGGTTAGGTTAGTATAGTTTAGGTTAGGTTAAGTTAAGTTAGGTTAGGTTGGTTTAGGTTAGGTTGAGTTTCGTTAGGTTAGGTTAGGTTAAGTTTGGTTAGGTTAGGTTAAGTTATTTTAGGTTAGTATAGTTTAGGTTAGGTTAAGTTAAGTTAGGTTAGGTTGGTTTAGGTTAGTTTGAGTTTCGTTAGGTTAGGTAAGGTTAAGTTTGGTTGGGTTAGTTTGGTTAGGTTAGGTTAGTTTAGGTTAGTTTACTTACAATACTCATGTTATTGATAAACTTACCTAACCTAACCTAAGTTCCTAAGTTAGGTTAGGTTAAGTTAGGTTACACTAAACTAACCTAACCTAACCAAACTTAACCTAACAAAACATAACATAACCTAACCTAACCTAACCTAATCCAACCTAACCTAACTTAACCTAACCTAACCAAACTTAACCTAACCTAACGAAACTCAACTTAACCTAAACCAACTTAACTTAACCTAACCTAACTTAACCTAACCTTACCTAACCTAACTTAACCTAACCTAACCTAACCTAAACTAACCTAACCTAACTTAACCTAACCTAACCAAACTTAACCTAACCTAACAAAACTCAACCTAACCTAAACCAACCTAACCTAACCAAACTTAACCTAACCTAACCTAACGAAACTCAACCTAAACTAAACAACCTAACCTAACCTAACTTAACCTAACCTAACCTATCCTAACCTAACCTAATCTAACCCTAAGTTAGGTTATGTTAGGTTAGGTACGCTGTCCGGTGATGTTTTACTTAAAAGCGATAGTAATAAAAACTACATATTCTTGTTCAGGAGTACCTACAACATGGGTTTTGAGCAAAGAAAAATTTCCCCATTTTCCAGTTTTTCGGTGATATTTTACTTAATAGTGGTCCGATCGTAATAAAATTTACATATTCTTGTTCAGGAGGAAATTCCGCACAATCTGAGTACCCACAACATGGGTTTTGAGCAAAAAAATATTTTTCCCGTTTTTCCCATTTCCCGGGAAAACGGGACGTTTCCGAAAAAAAACGACAATCATTTTTGAAATCAGCGTGAAATTTCGAACATTTTGGAAAACAAATTTTTTAATTTCGCGTGAGGTCCGGAGGTCGATATAATTACCGATGTGCAATAGCATTAAAGTTACAAGGATTACCAACAGGGTGCAGCACTATTATTTCTTTTACATTTATGACAACAGCTAATTTGCAACCAAAAGGTGAGTGAGCGTAGCGAACGAACTTCAACCTGGAGGCGAGTGAGCGTAGCGAACGAGCTAACCTGAAGGCAAGTGAGCACAGCGAACGAGCTCCAACCTAAAGGTGAGTGAGCGTAGCGAACGAGCTCCAACCCAAAGGTGAGTGAGCGTAGCGAACGAACTTCAACCAGGACGTGATTGAGCGATGCGAACGAGATCATCTTGAAAATTAAACGTAACGGTACTTTCTTTCCATCGGTCTGTCTTAGGGGAAACCTATAACTTAAGCGATACGAAGTTCGCCGGGTCAGCTAGTCCTTATATATAATACATGAAGGCGATTTCTACGAAACACTACTCCTCCGTTAATAATAGACGGATTTTTACATTCAAGGTGTCAAAATTAAGTATTTTTTGTGTAGACGCCCCCTTTCACAAAATCCTGTAATAAAAGTCTTCGGGCTTTGCCCCACAGGCCATCAAAATCCAATGTATTTCTTATGAATAAAAGATTTTGTTTACTTAAACAGACGAATAATTTGTATTAATTACAGCTGTTCATAGTAAACACATGGTACACACAAGAGTGTTCGTTTTCAGAGTGTGTTCGTTTCCAGTTTCGATAACTGGAGTGGAGTGATTAATTACATTATCTTTGAGTTGATTCTATTAAGTCAACGGAAATTGTGACCATTATTCGTATAAAAAAAATACCTTTAATATTTTGCAATTGCTCAAATTCAAGCAACAGGTGCACTAGTATCATATAGGCTAATATAATGATGGCATTATATAATACCATCATATCATATAATGTTTTCATTTAAAAAGTAACTAATTTAATGTGAAAAAAAATTTAAAGAAACTATCCTAACCAAACCCAACAGTAATAAATTATACAACTTGTCATCATTTATTATAGAACTAAATCCAATCGCTAAAACTCATAACTTAAATATCACACAGATTGATTAACTTATAGCCTAACAATCGATTTAATCGACAGAGTGGTAACTTACAAGGGTGTTTTTTTAAGTAGGCTAGCTACATAGCTGCAAATGGTGTCATTCCGTTCACAAATGATGCCAGTAAGTAGCGAGGAGCATGGATGTGGCGTCAAGCCAACTTCGGATTGATATGCAAAACCGGTAAACCGCCCTCGATCTGCAATGTATTTCAAAGTTCTACCAAGTTTTTGTTATGAGTGATAGATTCCCTTTAAAGGATGCAAACATTCATTCATAGATATTCATTGAAGGACAATAATATTGCAATAGGCTTGCTGTGAATGTTTGTGTTTTGGCTTGACATTTTGTTTACATTAGTCATTAACTCCTCCTGTATTATTATTTTTAACAAGTCTATTTTACAGTGGGATATCAGACTGTTGCATTGACTACAACAGTTGAGGAGGAATCAAGTAACACTCCAAAAAAGAAGAAAAATAATCCAAACAAAGAAGTTATTCCAGCTCCAAAACACCTTAATGCTAAGATAAATGAAGTAAGTTGTAGGATTATAGGCATATGCTTGAATTCAGTTCATCTGAATCAAAGTTAACAAAGCTAAAACGTTTTTAAACATCAGTTTGAATGATTATTATTTTCATTAATCCATACAATATCTCACTTGGCACGCTTTAGAATGAATCTATTTTATAAAATATACGGGGTTTCTGCTTTTGTATATGTTTATTTGTTCCTGTGAAACTTAATAACGACTGTTAACAATTTACTGGGCTGAAATTCATATCCTTCGTTATGCACCAGGAATCATCCAGAAGTATGGAGGTCAAACTTTTGGGTATAGGTGTAAGTTTATAGGTATTGATTGGACCCCATTGAAACAAAAAACCACAAGACATTTGCATGATTTACACTTGCTTTAATTTAATTTCAATAATATTAACAGTTTCCTATTTACACTTAAACATCGGATTAAACCAAGTAGTTTTATCAAAAAAGTTGCAAGGTTGAGTTTCGTTTCTTCAATCAGTGGTGGTTGATGTATAACTGTTTCATCCAGTAGATGTTAAAACCACCTTATTCTCTCTGTGTCTTTACCCAAAACGCAAAAAAAACACATGTAATGTTGTGTATGTTGTAATAAGCAATCTAATCGACTTAACCAAAACATTTATCCTGTTAGCGAATTTCCCTTATAGGGAATAAGATATTACCGTAGGTCTCACAGTTAAACCTGGACCCAGGACCGACTTTTTTTAGGTCTCCAGAAGAAGAAACACCATCAAATTCATATAACTTTTATGTGTTTTAATAGGTTGAAATAGGTTATGCATGTGTTGAAATAGATCAGTTTAACCTTGGTGTCCATCCATCGATTCAGTAAATCTTGTTTACAGGAACTAACCCGAAAGCTACAAATCTTACATCGGTTGACGGTGTACTTCTCAGATGCTAATCAGTTGCAGAAACTGGTAAGAAAACATTTTCTACTTGTTTGCTTTGACAGTCCTTGTAAAAGGTAATATTTTATTATGTTTAAAGAGGTCAACTCTCTTTACCAGTTTCATAGCTTTTCAACAATAATATTTAAATATTTAATATTTATATTAAATATTTATAACAATATTTAATATTTATATTAAATATTTATAACAATATTTAATATTTATATTAAATATTTATAACAATATTTAAAATGTTATAATTAAATTTCAAATAATACTTCAAAAACCGTAGTTAGGTAGGTGTCTATTCTAGACTAATGTGTGTTTTTTTACAGTACGATAAGTGTAATAACTTTTTAATAAAAATATGTATAATAATTTTTGACTTAAAATCATCTAGCAAATCTCTTAATTTGGTGGTACTAGTTCTTGCTTAGTACCTATAGTTGTCCTAAATAAGGGTGTTTAATCTCTCTAATAAACCGGAGTCTGAATATTGGAAAATATAAGTTTATAGGGAAAAAAGCATACTCAAGTCTTCATGTGACGTTAGTTAGAGACAGTGGTTTTTGGTGCACACTCAATTTTTTTTAGACGTTTATTTACTAATGATATTGTACTTTGAGTGTTGATAGTTCTACCTCAAACCAATTCTAACAATCAAATATTTTCAGTGTAAATCAGATAATACAAAGAAGTATGACATTGTATCAGTAATACCAACATCTACAAATGCCTTTCAGGTAAGTTCATAATCAATTTTGGTGGATACTTAGGTAGTAGGTTACTGTAATCCTAATGTAAAAGCTAAAGCATGTCGTTCGTGATGATTTTGTATTTGCTGTCTTGTCGCCATGTAAGGAGATATTGTTGCAGACAAATTTTTACATATTATCTCTGAGTAAGATATAATGTTTTTGCATTGCTTTTTGGTTTTTGTAACCCAAAGTCAAAGACAAGCACTGTTTACAAACAGATTGTTCTTTTTGCAATAATTTTAAAGTTATATAGATAAACAAATACATATAAGACTAATACAGATGCTTATAAATGCTCTTTTCTGAAATTTTCACATAAAACTCCTTGCAAATCTTTTATAAATAAATTTGTTATTGAAACATGTAATTATTTTTCAGCTTGCCTGTGCCTGCAAAGATGTTGACTTGATCTCGTTTGACCCCAATGTTCGATTACCGATGTTAAACCGTAGAATTTACAACCAAGGATTAGCCAATAGTATATTCTATGAAGTTCCTTACGCACCTGCTATTATTGATGCAGGAAAGCGGAAAACCGTTATTCAAATGGCTCACGCATATCATGCCTACGGGAAATCAAAGGTAATTCTTATTCCTATTTAGTACCTAAATATAAACCTTCCTGAAGCTTTTCGTTTCTACAAAATCTATAACACAAAATTTTATTGATTAATATCCTAAACCAAAAACAAATAGTTGGGTCTTGATACAAAAGATAAAACAGATCCTGCTTACTATAGGGTAAAAAAAATGTATAAATTTTAAAGTATTCTAAATTACTATTTTTACTCATCACTGCATAGTTGTACATTTTTTAAGGTGACTTAATTAAGTTTAAAGTAAATGTTTTAGTAACCTAGCTGAAATATTGATATTTTTACCCTGCCTCACATTAAAAAACTATCTGGCTCAATGCATTACCGTATATGACCATGTTTGATATTGCTTTTGCATAATATAAGTTACTTGTTTCAGAATGTTGTAATCACAAGTGGAGCATCGGAGATAGGAAAAGTGAGAGGACCCTATGATGTCACTAATTTGTATCCTTTAAACTAAACATTTTTAATACATTTTGCACACTACAAAATCAATGACTTTACTTACTGCCGTTTTCTACTTTATGTAGATAAGAAATTTAATGTTTATAAAAAGGGCTTGGTAAAAATCAGCTGGACCATAAAACAAATATGTGAATCTATATATAGATTAGAAACTGTTTTTCTTTGTCATAGCTATTTGAGAGAACGGCTGGGCGTAGAAACTCGGTAGAGGTGTCTAAAGAAAGGTCATGGTCTGTAGATGAGCCATCAAAAGAGAAATGTGGTAAATTCCTTTGGGGCTATGCCCCAGTGGGCTTTAAAATTCCCATCCCATGTTATTCTTATGGAGGAAAAACAGGGTTTTTTCATAGCTAATTTGAGAGAACGGCTGGGCGTAGAAACTTAGCAGGGGTGTCTAAAGAAAGGACTTAGTCTGTAGATGAGCTATCAAATAAAAAACGAGGTAAATTTCCTCAGGGCTCCGCCCCAGAGGCCTTTAAAGTTCCTTCAGCAGATTTGTTTACATTATTATGACCATATGATAATTTTACACTACTTTTAATGAACCAGCTGTTAATATTAAAATCGATATTATTAATACGCTACATGAATCTTTAGCTAATTTGAGAGAACGGCTGGGCGTAGAAACTTAGCAGGGGTGTCTAAAGAAAGGACTTAGTCTGTAGATGAGCTATAAAAAAAAAACGAGGTAAATTTCCTCAGGGCTCCGCCCCAGAGGCCTTTAACCCTCCAAGTGTCCATAGTTTAGGCCTTAATGTCCACCTATTTTTGGCGCATTTGCAAGGTTTTATTAAAACGGATCTGAGAAGCTTAAAACAATGTTAATTCTAATGTTCTATATACCATTTTGTTTGGAAAATCATGGGCTTCAATATTATATATAAAACATAAGGAACATTTTTTCAAAAAAAAAATTTTTAGGTAAAAAAAATATAATTTCGAAAATTTTCAATAAAAAAAAAAGTTTGCGCTCAATGAAATTGTATAAATTATAGGCCTATAAATATTTGAAAATAGCCACTTTGTTCTAAATTTTATGAGGATTACAAATATATAATAATATAAGGAAGTATATTTGCAAATAAATAAGTTATGGGCAAAAAACTGATTTCAGTACATAGCGTTTAGCTAAGAATGCATAGGCTAACCATAGCTAGGAATCTGGCTGATAATTTACATCAATATCACTACCTACTTCTTCAGGATCATCAACCAGCACTTCAAAACCACTTAAATCTTCTTATAATGCACCACGTATATCACTACTTTTGATTTTTAACACTAAAACAATGATAAACGTAATAAAACACATCAGTCATCGGTCCGGGGGAACCTAGCTGTTTACAAATACACGCACGTCAGCTGTCTGCTACAATATTTTCGGAACTAAAATGAATAGCGCTTAGAGACAGACCTCTGGAGAAAGCTTAGAATATTACGGAAAGAACGATACCTAACTCGATCCAGTTCAATCCGATTCAGTCAGTCATAGAGCCTTCGCCGTAAACGATGTCTGCGTGTCGAAAAATCGACAAGTAACACTACACAAAGTGTGCTGCTTGTCGAATTTTCGTCAAGTAACACTGGGAGGGTTAAAGTTCCTTCAGCAGATTTGTTTACATTATTATGACCATATGATAATTTTACACTACTTTTAATGAACCAGCTGTTAATATTAAAATCGATATTATTAATACGCTACATGAATCTTTGTGAACAATAAGGCTTTTCCCCCACATATTATATGCCAAAATATTTGTCTAGGTGTGTAGATTTGCAAACTGACCTTAACACTTTTGTAAAAGTCTCTTTGTGCTTTGCCCTTTCTACTTCCCCCCTTGTAGAGTGTTATACTAGTAGGCTATTTCTTTTAAATTAATTATCTTACTTAGTAAGTTTGTTAGATAACAAACTCTGGTTTTAATGTTTGTTATAAAGCTGGCTTATCCACAAAAAAAGTTGTCCTAATTTGAATTCACTGTTGTAACTGTTTATTTGTTAAGCCTTAACTCTACTCAGGGCGTTATTGCTGGGTCTAAGTGAAGAGCAAGCCAAACACTCCATGTCTAACACTTGCAGATCATTAATACTCAGAGCTGGTAAGTGAACATGTTAAAAATATTATCACAGAGATTTTAGGGGGAGCAATTCTCTCATACAAAAATCTTTTTTAGACAATTTCCCTATAGGAAAGTTCCTATTACCGTAGGTGGCACAGTAAGACCTAGGCCCGGGACCGATTTACTTTTTCATTTTGATGTCCTCCAGAGGTCAAAAACACTATTCGTTCAAATTTGTATATATAAATATGTGTGTGTGTGTGTGTGTGTGTAATGAACTTGAGTAATTTTTGTCTAATTTTGATGAAATTTGGTGTAAATGTGTTTAATGTGAGATAAACTTGAATGAGTTTGCGAACCAGCATGATCAGACCATGGGAACGGGGTTTTATGTGGTAAAATTTTTTTTCATTTTTGACCCTTAAAACATAGAACTTCCTGATTTCTCTCTCTGAAACTTTTTAAAGAGCTTAAAAACAATAAATTTAGTATATCGAAGTGTTTTTTGTACGATTGTTGGTTATGGAGAAAATTCCAAAAAATTATAAATTTAAAATTCCCATGTTATTCTTATGGATTGCTTGTTTAGGCCTATATATTTTGATTAAACTTGGAAAATTTATTTTTTATACTAAACCATTAATATTTTGCTAAAAAAACACACTGTATTAGTTTCCTTGCAGCAGATAACCTAGTGTTATGTTAATAGATTTAGTTGAAAATTGATTCAGACGGATGGAAATTTGCTTAGTCGGTAGGTTTGTTGCGGCGGGGTTATTTGTCTATTGGATCTAGGCTAGGCAGATCTACAGCTTCAAATTATTTTATTAATCTTAAAATCTATCATTATCACATATCTTAAAATCCTTGACAAAAACACAATTTTGTACTGACAAATTTTGACAAATTTTGTACTGGTCAAGGAGGTCAAGATTTTTAATTTAGAGACATTTTGCATCAGGAATATAAAATCAGTTATAAGTAGTATAGTTATTTTTTCATCCGATAGGATTCAAGGTGACAAAGGGAGTATCAGTAATTATAGTGTTTTAGTGTATTGTGTATTTAGCCAAAATAAAAATATAGAGTATTGTGAATTCACATCAGCGTTTACAAGTTAATAAATTCATAGTTTTTGGAATCCACAATTTCTTTGTAGTTGTACGATAGTACCCATCTTACAAAGTGTTTGTATCGGCAAAAGTCTACTGAAACGTTACAGATTCTATTAGAGAACCCTAAGGAAGCATTTTAACCCAAACATAAGTTCTTAGTTTACTAACAGACCAATCAACAAAGTTTAAAAGTTTTTTTTCTGAATATTAAAAGCTATTTACTGACAAGTCTTATTTTGCTCGCAGAAGGTCGAAGGTTCGGCAAAACAGCGATGACAATGATGATCACCGGCCTAGAACTAGAAAGTGAGGAAGCGTCGGACGAAGAACCTGTTGCCAAGAGATACAAAAGTGCTGCAGAATGCGATATTGAGATGGCTTTTTCATGACATTACAACTTTTAATGTCATGAAAAAGCCATCTTACAACATACTTCTAAGTTTATACATTGTAAAGTAAAATATAAATTTTGTATTGTTATTTATTAATTATTTACTATCCCACCCATTTATTGGTTCTTTCTATAACTTTTTGAACAGGTGCAATTTATACAGCATGACTGGTTATGTCAACCACACTGTGGATATTATTTGATAAAAACAGGTTGCATTGGGAAACCTGGTTAAAAAAAACAACAGATAAAAAGGAAATATTTAATGAAAGTGTGTAAAGTAATCCAATTAAAATAAACAGTCAGTAATATGACACACACTTAGCTCTCTGATTAACTTGTCAACAACCCTTATGGCCCAAGGGCAAGCGTTAACTTGTCAACAACCCTTATGGCCCAAGGGCAAGCGTTAACTTGTCAACAACCCTTATGGCCCAAGGGCAAGCGTTAACTTGTCAACAACCCTTATGGCCCAAGGGCAAGCGGTGGGAGTAACTTTCATATTTTATCATAAAAATCTCAAAAGATGCAATAACTTTTAATTTAAACTATATTTTTTACCAGAAATGGGGGTAGTATAATTTTAGTTAGAATTATAAGAACTATACCATAAACAATAAATTTTAAACGGTTTTTTTCACGTTATTTAAAATTGATTTTATGGGAAAACCCCAAAAGTTGCAACAACTTTTGAACTGTAATTGTTAAGAGTGAAAAAAACTATTACATAGGTACCATTACCTTACAAAATTTTAATTAAAATCATTCAAGATTTTATTAAATAATTAATAAATAAAAAACTTTTTTAAACGCCCTAAAAAGTAGAAAATAATTTACAAATAATTTATAAATATGTGAGAGAGTATAAATACTTGTACGATTTAAAACGAAAACCGTGGGGTGCATGCAATAGATAGTTTACAATTACCTTCACCTACTGAACTAATGTATTATTATCAATTAATTGCATGCACCCAACGTTTTTCGTTTTAAATCGTACAAGTATTTATACTCTCTCAACATATTTATAAATTTTTTGAAAATTATTTTCTACTTTTTAGGGCGTTTAAAAACGTTTTGTTTAAAAAAGTTTTTTATTTATAAATTATTTTATACTTTTTAGTTTTAACTAGCTGTGTACCCGTTCTACGCACGGGGATCTTATAATATTCAGTTGAAACCTTCTTATATAACGAACAGCAGTTGGTTTGCATATTTTAAGATATGCTGGCCAAACTATTATACATAGCTTCATTTTATGTTGTTTTTTGTTGTTCCGGATCGGTATGACAATCAATAAAAGGTTAAATTACCTCTGTGTCTGCCGGTCGATCCTATAACGGTAGGCTTACTTTTATTTTTACTATCTGATCTCGTTTGCATGGCTCAATCACGTCCTGGTTGAAGTTCGTTCGCTACGCTCACTCACCTGTATGTTGGAGCTCGTTCGCTGCGCTCACTTTCCTTCAGGTTAGCTCGTTCGCTACGCTCACTTCCCTTCAGGTTAGCTCGTTCGCTACGCTCACTCGCCTCCAGGTTGCAAATTAGCTGTTGTCATAAATGTAAAAGAAATAATAGTGCTAGTGCTGCACCCTGTTGGTAATCCTTGTAACTTTAATGCTATTGAACATCACAGAACAGAACCAACTTGTTTAATTGAAACAGCTGTTAAGATTCAATAATTTCATTTCTCATAAGGTTAACATGGGCTTCCAGAAATTCCACGTCAAAAATCGACAAAAACTTGATTTTCAAGGGTTTACTGTTAAATATCTAACTGTCTCATATTCGATGAAATACGTCTAAAACCATCTCATATATGTATAGTATTTGGAAAATAAGTTTCAGGCGGGACAGTGCTATAGTTATTGAGGAGTAGTTGTAATAAAGTGCGTATTTTAGCGTTACCAAGAGAATGACAGATAGACAGACAGACAGACAGACAGACAGAAATTGAGATAAGGTTTGATTCAGTTTCTCTGACCTATGAAATGTAAAAATAACCAAAAAGTTCATTATTCTAAGCAATGTACAGACAAAACTCTAATTTTATTTATATAGATGTGTGTGCATGGTGCATGTTAAATATGTTTGGGTACTTGTGCAGTTCGCTTACGCCATTTTGCTAATCTTGCAGATTTACAAGTCTTCGATTCATGTTGAAGCTTAACTTCTCTTTTTTTCTTCTCCTTCTCTAGCCGTCGCTTGCGTTGGGTGGCTTTCTCCTTCCAATAAGCTGTGGATGGCATTGAGCTCCTCAAGTGCGTATTGCATCGATGGCAGGCAAGCAACACTTTTTTAGAAGAAAGTCCCGGTGGCAAGTATGGCTCCGGTGAAATAGAACATTGTTTCATAACCTGATTAGGGTAGCACTTTTTCTTCCAGATATCACAACACTTGTCACAAAAAGTGTTTTTGGTTAGATTGAAATCAACTTCCCGTTGAGCATAGGCCTGACGCTGACGTAGTAGTCTTGCCGATTTACAAACCTCCGATTCCTGTTGAAGCTTAACTAGTCTTTTTTTCTTTTCCTTCTCTAGGCGTCGCTTGCGTTGGGTGACTGTCTCCTTGACCATAATATGAGTTTTCATGCAATATTCACAAATAATTGATATTATTACATGTTTACAGTTCGTTAATCCGAAAACTCACAATTTATAATAATTTAACTATAGTTTGTTATGGAATTTCTCTGCAATGCATTCACTCGAAATATTTATTGTTTACTTTGTAGAATACTAAATAAACAAAAATTGACATTATTTACAAACACCTTGATACCTGCAATCAGATTGTTTATCTTTATTTTGAAATGTTTGTTTGTATAAAGAATCTCTTGGGAGCATAACCTGTTCTTCTTAACCTCTGCTCTTCGAACTGTCAAATTTAAGTATTTACAGCTGACTTAAATTAGTTGATATATTTACATCCTTTCAAAATGTAAACATGAAAAATTTGGAAGCCCATGGGGCGTAGCCCAAGGGAAATACGAAAATTAAATGATATAATATTGCATTGTCATGCATTTGTGAGCTATGTTTCAAATTTCAAGTCTCTAGCTTATCGGGAACATCGTTTAAAATTGATATCAAAATTTGTAGGAAAGCGAGCTAATAAAAACAAGCCCATGGGGCGTAGCCCGAAAGGAAATATGAAAATAAAATGATATAATATTGCAATGTCATCCATTTGTGAGCTATGTTTCAAATTTCAAGTCTCTAGCTCATCGGGAAGTATCAAAATTTGCAAGAAATCGATTTAATAAAAACAAGCCCATGGGGCGTAGCCCAAGGGTAATATGAAAATTAAATTGTATAATATTGCATTGTCTTTCATTTGTGAGATATGTTTCAAGTTTCAAGTCCCTAGCTCATCGGGAAGTTAGTATAAAATCGGTTGCAAAATTTGTAGCGGACAAGAAAGCGTCATAACCATAAAATTATTTTACAGAATAAAAACGTTTTAAAATAAGATTTTTCTTGTTTTTTTTTTTTTTTTGGGGGAATCACTGTTAAAAATATACAAAAAATCAGGCTTTTTTATTGAATTTGGAGAATAATGTACCTTGCACCTTATCAAACCCAAACAAGTTTTAGTTTTAATAAGCCCTGGTAAAATTTACAGGTGGAAATCTAAACTCTAGAGTGTTAAATGTAGGGGTCTACTGTTACTTTTTACTTTCTCCTCCTTTTGTAAAAGGAGGATTTAGAGGGGATTTAGATGAAAACCACACTTTTTCCGTATACTGTGTTTTTCCATTATTTTTTTCCATATAGTTTTCATCAAAATGTTTGAGGTGGATCCGTTTAAGGTCTATACCAAAAAATGGTTTCGAAGTGATGTCTGTGTGTGGGGATATGTACATAGACCACACTGGTGGTGTGATTTTGATGAAATTTTGGTATGGTAGATATCCATGGTATCTCCAGGGTTTTTTTTTATTTACTGTATAATAGTGTTTTCCCATAAAATAACCAAAAAATCTTATTAAAAGCTTGATCAATTTTGGTAATTGAAATTTTGTATGTTATAGTCCCTTTAACTCTAAACAAAAGTGTACAACACCCATTTCTGTAGAAATTACTGTTCAAAAGTAAATGCATCTTTTGTTATTTTACCCATAAAATATCATATTCGCTTCCACTTCTTACCCATGAGGATTTTTGACTAGCTAATGGGAGAAAGTATGTGACAGTTAGCTGATACAGTTATTAGGTTACAGTACTTCCATTAAATAACTGCTCAATAAGGAACAAACAATCCCGGTTGTAACTATACAGCACTAAGAAACCATCACATATAAACAAAAAAACCAGGCATGTTTGCCAACAAAATGTAATCTGATTAAAGTAATTCTAAAGACTTAATTGCTACAGAACTGGGAAATCACGACTATTTTGTTTGGAAAACCACCTATTTCGAAATTCACTCCAGTTTTAAGATCTTATTACATTTCATTCAATTAAATTATTTCCTTAATTCACAACGAATTCAAGCGTAACATAACATGTTTTACAACATAACCTACAAAATGACGCCATAACAAAACTATATGCACTAACAAAAGCTATAAATCCAACCTTAGTTTGGGTTTCTTGGAGCGCAGCATGTCTGATAGTATAGCAGGAGCGCGAGGACGAGATTTGATTTGACGCTTCCACCCGAGCATCGCCGCGACTGCTGCCTCTCACCGCCCCCGGGGCTTTATACCACCCCCAGGACCGCCCCCATTCGTGAAAACATCACTAGTAATGGGCTTCTCGGGACTGATCTTCATGTTAACAATCATTGTTTCCGACAAAACTCCAAACTACGTTGAATCCACATGTCCTCGCGATCAAACGTCCTGCTACAGTAACTTTCTCATTTTGATTTGCCCAACTCAAATTTTAATGTCCGTGGGCATGAATGTAGTGTGTAGATATTTTAAAAGGCTTCAAACAGTAACCATGCCACCTAAACGATTTTCTCAACAATGAGGAGAAAAATAAGGAAATGTGACAAAAACCATGTTGACTCGTATGTGTGCTTTCTCAAATTTGAGAGTAACAAGTAGGTTACAAACAATACAAGTATTTTTTTTCATTCTTTTAAGCATTTTAGCAACTTCCATTTATAATTTTGTGGTCTAAGTACGTTTGGTGTAGAGAAGAAGAAAGCTCCACCTCGTTTCCCGTTGTAGTTGGAGTTCAATCTCAATATATATTATCTATTTGGAAGAGAATAATTAATTACTGATTACTTTCGACACTCTCAGTTTATAATTTGGTTCGACGCAGTGTCGGATTTAGGGTACTCGCGGCCCTAGACTAAATTAACCCTTGTGGTCCCCACGATCCGATCACAGAGAAATGGTTCATCTCCCACGATCACGGGGACTGGGACATCATCATCGTTAACTCGTGTCTCACGAAAACGGAGAAATCGTGAACATCTCCCACGATGGTCACATTGTACACTGTACAGCATCATCGTCAGTCGCGATCTTGGCAAGTTATTGAAAAGTACGGTATTTTTTTCGTACAATACCACTGCGGTCCCCATATATTGACTCGCGGCCGTAGGCCACGGGCTGGCGGGCCTTGTCGGCCTTGTGGTAAATCCAGCGTGTCTACGTGAATGAGCGCTAACCTTGTTTTAGCCTCCGTCTGCACGTAGCAAAAAAAAATTAATGTTGTGAAATAAATGTTGTAAATGGATACATTTTCTGCGGTCTAATTGTGTTAAGATTGTATTTCGAATGTGCAGTGTGGAGAGAATCTTGGGTTAAAAGCCAATCAGGACACCACGAAAATAACGACTCTCGTCGACAACGCACTGCTTGTAAGTTATCATTCCAACATCACATCCTTATTCATCAAACTTCTTATTGTTGTAGAAAGAATAATTTATGCGGTCACGATAGATGAAAATGGGACTCTTAAGATCGGAGTGCTTTTACACAAACGCCCTTGCACTGTAATAAGCATGAATTTTTTGCTTAGAGCTTTTCAAACAGCTCACTAATCACGTCACCATTTTTAGACTACGCATACGTCATAATAAGTTGCATAACCCACTACAACTTTCTAATGGCAATCTGGATATTAGATTACAAAATATTCTCCTGATAAAATTTCATAAGCTGTAAGAAAGACAGCAGTGCCACTTTAGCCGCCTATAAACCTACGTAAACACATATCTGCATGGCAACACAATCCCACCAAAAGATTACAGAATCTTACTCTAACCTCAAAATTTACATTACAATATTCTCCCGCCAAAATTACAGCTGCATCACTCCAACTAGGCCTAGTCCGACTCCACCGAAATTTATTTCCCACTCCGGCGCTGGCGAGGTTCGATCGTAGTTCTCGGAGGTAAATATGGCAGGCTGGAAATAGGTCACTATGATGCGTCTCCATAACTCTGATGGGGCGAGACACGCAAGGGTACTGCCTGGTGCTGCCATCTCACGAGGGACCATCGATCCTTCAAGCCTACAACCGACCACCCGCTCAACACTCAACGGCCGACACCTGTTAAACGACCCATTAAACTTTTGAAGTTAAAATAGCTTTTGAAACTTTTTAACTCTCGAGGTCACAGTGGATTGTTATGGGCACGATTTTTGATAGTTGACCTTGGTTGTTAAAGACCGTGTAGGGGTACAACATGTCATAATGATATTTTTACCACTAAAAAAACATGTTTCTTCTACAAAATATGGAAATATTCTTCTTTCACTAGAAACACACAATAATAAATTGCTGTTGGGTTTGGAGACTAATGATAAGATTATGATTATTTAAATTTGTAAAGTTAAACGTCTTATTTGTCTATTGTCAGTAATGGCTTTAAAAGCATCAAAGTATTGGTAAAACTATAATCATTGAACATTTAATTGAGTACCAGTAACTATTTTAAATATTTTAATCATATCATTTATCTTTAACTTGCAATTTGGTTTATTGCAAATAGTGTAGCCCCTTCCATACCAAGTTGGTTGAATGGCAGAAGAAATTTAATTTTTATGTAAATAATAGTCTTGTCTTATCTCATTTGCTTATCCAGCCCTATATGGATGATTGCTAATTTAACAAAACATTGCATTAAAATTGATTTATTTGGATGAAAGCTGCCATTTTCTAAGAAAATTGCTTGGATTAGGCCTGTTCTCATTTCCAATATTCATCACAGATCATTACAGTATATACTGTACTGTACTACTCTTCTCTTAATTTCTTACTGTATTTCTTGGAAGCATTCAGGACATTTTTATTCATTGATTTGTGTTTACATTATTTACCATTTACCATGAAAAGATATTTTGCAATGGTAAGAAATGAACACAGGGAAGTAAGGAACCCCATGGTACACGTAAGTGGTGTCTATTACTTGCTGGTGTCTACACGGCAAAGTCCAACTCCGCCCCTTTGCCTGCATGTACTACAATGCTCATGGTGGAGAAAGACCCTGGGACCGTTTAGGTTTGGTGATGACAAAGTGTTGTCATAATTTTTCTCTAAGGGTGACCATAGTTTTATGACACAAATCCCATTCAAGGAATGTAATTGTGCAGCTCATTACGCACAAAATGGGACTTCCCATGTCCAATAGTTATATGCCTAGTAACTGAACATGGAGACAACAAAAGTGTTAGGTAAGTGTTATGAACAACACTTGAGGTTGTCAATTTTATTTTTTGAAAAGTAATTCATCAGATTTTTGGACGCTATTTTAAGACGGTAAAATTTTTGGACACCAACTAGGCCTCCTTCAGTCAGGAGAAGAGTAAATAGTTCCAGTAAATAGTCAGAGACTGTTCTTTTAGCTACAGTATTGTGAATATAAGCAAGGGCATAAGGAAAATTCTAGAAGAGAATATAACAGGCAGTTCAAAGGCTAGGGTTTCTTACCAAATAGTATGGTTGTTGGCCGTTATGTAGTACCATTGACTATTAATAGGCAAAGGTAGTACATTAACACTCTTTTACAAGAAAACCGTCGAAACACCTGTTTAATGGTACCGTACTTCCTCAACAACAAGTACATTAGTCTTTAGTCACAAAGCGTTTGCAGCAATTAGTAATTAGTCCCAAACACCAGAGATGGTAAAAGAAAACACATTAGTTAGTAACCAGCTAATAACTTTACTTCTTCAAAAGCAACACATATACATAAAAACAGATCAACAAATATGAATGAGTAAAATGGTCCTAGGTTTACTATTAAAAGACTAAAAACACAGTAGATGGATGACAGAAGTTTGAATGAATGATAAACAAATTAATTATGAATGAAGCGATAGAATAAATCAAATGTAGATGTGGTAACATACATACGGTCTCTTTTGTTTTAATCAAAAGTAAATCATGATACACAATGCATTACATTAAAATGTGGAGGCTAATCTGATTTTTTTTAATAATTCAAAATTCAATACAGAGTTGTTAGGTATCAGAATGTACTTAATCTTATACTCATATCTTCAATACGTGTCCATTCATGTCTGTACAACTTCCAATAGTTCAAATATTTTTTTAGATAGGACAAGGATCGTGTTCCAAGAAGTTTGATCAAAAAGGAGTCCACAGTCATAACAATGTAAAGATTGAAACTACGGCATTTGAATATTATTAATTATAGTAATCAATAACTTCAACATAAACCACCATCTATAGTTGTTTTATTCTATTGCCAAATTTATTTTACATTGCAATATTATACTATTTACAGTAATTGTACAAAAACTATTTATTTATAGATGTTGAGATGTTCTTTATTAGAATATATTTCCATAAACAATATTAAATCTGTAACAATTCAGTTCTGTAACTTTGTCTTAATCTTACTGTTCTATAGCTCATTTGTTCAACATCGACAAGATTGTAATTCAAGATTCAAGATTGTAGCGGAACAAATAAAACGTTTTATTGATTATCAAAGCAAATTTTAAGAAAGAATGAAAATTTAATCTGTCAACAGGCCTATTCTATAAATTTCTAACAATTCGCTAAATCAAAAGTCTCTTGAAATAGTTTCTAAATGCTCTACAAATCCAGATAATTTAAACTACATACATATTCTTAACACATTTCCAAAAAACAGCCACTCGTACATTCAGACTTAATGGAACCTACATTAATATGAATTACAATTAGAAGGACGAGGGATAATTTACTAAGGTTCTAAATGTAACTAGAGCAAAAATCACTTATCCTAACGTTAACACTTAGTATCACAAATTCTAAGCTACTACTGTATTGCTCTTCTCTAGTTTAGCAAGGTTGGTTGTCTGATTCCTGGGCGTTAGGCCTATTGCTACTTATTTCATATTAAAAAAGTTATTTTTTGTGGAATACAGGGTTTTATATTTTTTTCTATTTCTGGCATTTGCAGCAAAATTCTCATTTCTAACAGTACAATAAGCAGCGAGAACTACACTTGTTTAAATGGGAATAAATTGTTATTACGTGTATATTGTTATTACAAAAACACACTACATTTACTGTTAAAATAGTGTCTATAGTTTTTTTATTGCTCAGTATATTTTAGGGGGAATTTTTTGAATATGAAAATGTGGGTATCCCATCCAAAAATTTATTTTGTTTTGTGTTATTCCAGTTTTAAGAACTTGTTTTATAATAATAACCTTATTTTGTTGCCTTATTAAAAGAAACCAAACAAGCTGGTGAAATTTACATAGGGTGAATATAAGCCTTAACCTCAAGAACAAAGTAAAAAAATAAGGTAGCCTAATTAATAAAATTTAATTATTTTGTTCTAGCTCCATGTTAAAAGTCCATTTTATGGCATATTATAACAAAAGTTTTTAGCAGAAAACCAGGCATGTCAATCTTATGACAAATTTATTTAAGAAAAAGCAGGTTTTTGGCATTAAGGCTGTATTGAAGACATAAAAATTAAGCCAAAATCAACTAACATGATTAACATTGTTAATAGGGTAAGTTGACATTTAATTTAGATTGCAAATAGAATAACGAGTCAATATATTTCCGAAATAGATTACTGGAAGATGCCTTAGATGGTTTCAGCAAACCCTTTTTTAAACTTGCTTTCCAAGATCTAGAAGGAACATCCATAATAGTTGTTTTAAATGTACCCAAATACATTAAACTTCTGACTAAATTAAAACATACATACTTAAATACTTTAAGGAATACAACTTTTGTGAAATCGATGTAATTGAACTAACAATAAATTAAAGTCTAAGAGTGTAACAAATTAGAAGAAAAGATACTTTTGATAGATTTCTATCCTAAGTGGCATTTTAAGTAGAGCCAATTTTACTGCCAAAGGAAAATATTAACAGTCTTGTTCCATCTGCCATGTTGTTACAAAATTCATCACAGCAAAAATCAACAGGAATTCAGGATGCTACAGAACAATTTAACGGCAGGATAAAAACAACAAAAACTCAAGAAAACATGAATAAGATTAATACTGATAGCTTATGGCTAGATGTAAATCAAATAAAAATGTTTTTTACTTTGGGCAATTGAGAATTGGAATGTAATGCCATTTTCAATGGGAAATAAGCTTAAGTCACATAAATTGTATACAGGAAAAACTAAATAAAAATTAACTCAAATTGAACAAAAAAATTACTGTAATTTTTTAAGTGTTTAAACCCTTGAAGTGAAAACTTACACCCTAATGTAACTGACACAGAGTAACATAAAACACAACAAACTAAAGAAATACATAACATTATCTTACAAAAGCACCAGTGAGCAATAACTTTTTACAATCAAGGGTATATACATAGGACATAGATTATATTCTATTTTTAATGGAAGAAAGTAAATCTTTAAAAAACTTAAGTTAGGTAAGGTTTAGGTTAGTGTAATTTAGTCAGATGTTACACAAAAGTTTGATTTTAAAAACTTGTAAAACTATTTTGTTAAACCGTAGGAAACAGAAAAACAAATACCCTTGGGTAAGTCATTGGAGAAAATTGATTTATATAATTTACTTTAGCAAAAAAATGTTAATGCATTTTGTAAATCCCCTTTGCACAGAGCGAAATTTACCTGAGCTGCTGTGAAAAAGATCACAACTTATACAGGTGACCATAATCCTCATTAAAATAACCTAAAAAATTAATTTTCGGATCGCAAACTGTTAAACAAACTAAAATATATCTTGTAATAAAAAAGGAATGATTTTTTTATCCCTAAAAAAAAAGAAAATTTATAAAAAACAGTGCTATTACAATCACACTACATATAACCAGCTAATGGTTTGTGCAACATTGCAAAAGCGTACTCTTTTGTTAATTTAATTTCAATTCAGTCCAAGTTGGATGTCATAACTTTTTACAGACTATCGTTAGAATTTAATGTTAGACAATCTGGAGTTTATAAAAGTATTCTGCATAAAATATTTAAAATTATCACCTATAAATTTATTTTATTGTTGATATTGCATTTCTGTGTAAAAAGAAGCACAATAAAATCTTTAAAATCTGTTTTGTGATAAGAACTACTAATTTTGAGTTGTGATGTAAATATGGGCATATCAGAAGAAATGCTCTAAAAGGAAAACGTGGTTTAAAATTAAAATTTAATAAAAAAGATTTAAGAAATTCTTATGAGCAAAATTGTTTTTAAATATTTAATACAAATTATGTGTTTTGGATTTCTGAATACACTAAACGATATGTGCCACACTGTTCTTATTGAAGACTATCACAGAAAACACTTCTAATCTCACAGCTCTGTTTGTTTAACTGAGGCAAGCTTCAGACGAAGAAAATGTTTACAATCTACTAACTCACTTACACATTATAGCTTGAAACAATTAAAACAAAAATAAATATATTTACAAGGAAGAGACAGTGACTAGTAAAGAGGAGAAATGCGAGATTGCAGAACATCTGAAAAAAGAAAAGTTTTGATCAATTATTTTGTCATAAAAGACATAAAACATTTCATTGTGGCATAGCCTCTAGTTTCACTATGTTATTACAATTGTAGGTTATGTTACCTATTATAAAGTTAAACTACCATGGTTTCAAAGACCTTGATGGCTTCAACAAACAAACGATACCCCCGTCGCAGCAAACCTGCAGACTAAGCGAATTTCTATTTGCCTGAATTGACATACAATTAAATCTATTTAAATAATATTAGGTTAAACCTAGGTTTGCTGCTACAGGGAGGCTAATAAAGTGTGTTTTTAGTACTTTGAAATGGTTTAGAGAGAAATTGGGAAATTTTGTGTTTTGATGGAAAAAAGTGAAAAAAATGTTCGATTATGCTGGTTCACGAACTTATTCAAGTTTATCCCGCCTTAGACCTTCAAACCAAATTGTATCAAAATAAAAAAAAAATTGTAAAAAAAATTTATTAAATTGTATACATCTGGGGACATGAAAATGAAAAAGTAAATCGGTTCGGGCTCAAGTCTTACCATGAGACCTACAATAATAGCTACCTCTATAGGGAAATTCGCTAAAAACATTTCAAAGACAGCGTGGCCACGTTAAAAAATTAAATAGCTTCTATATCAGCATCTATTAAATTACCTGAAAGTACAAAAAATACATCTAATAACACTTATACTATTGATTCACAAGACGGTAAATACATATACAAGATGGTAAGGAGTTATCGAATTCAATTGGACACTCCAATCATCATCAGACCCAATAGACCTACCGGAAAACCGCTATCCAGACTGGTTTCGGTCCCAAGCAGTCCGGATAAGCAGGACTCTCCTGCAGTAGTTTAGTTTAGTTTAAATACACTATGTACAGTGAAAAGTTTAATTTATTGTATTTAACACTATCACTATTGACTATTGAGTAATATAGTTTACTCACAGTAATTGCACTTATGCTTGAGTGCTGTTGGTGTCATAATTCTGGTACCGAGAGTTGGAATCTGAATCAGGATCTGCGGCTCTATGTTGATCTGTTCCGTAGTTGCGCTGAAACAACAAATATATATTAATACCGGCATCTATTTTATACTTTACGATAGGCAAGCATTTAAGAAAATTGTCTAAATATTGAAAGCCAGCAAATGACTTTGTTTCTCTGATTTGTTTCTAAAAATGCTGTTTACTTTAAGTTCTCTAAAAGTTAAATTTTTTATTAACGGACACATAGTAGAAATTTTCAATATAGATTGCTCGCCCACATGAAACATTTTTTAGGTAAATTAAGAATGAGTGAATGTCTACCGAAAATGAATTGACTTAACTTAATTAATCGTGGCAAAACTGAAAATTTTTGTTGGCTTATAGGTTTTATTTTTTAAACCTCTTAAACAAATCAAACACCTCGAGCAGTGCTCGGTCCCCTGGTACTATAAACTTATTTAACTACATTTTGATATCACTGACCTGGCTGGTACTGCAACTCTCCCCAGGACTGTACACAGTGACCAGGTCAGGCTGGCGCGGCGCCGAACTGTCCCCTGCGCCGGTGGTACCTCGCAGCAACACGTCAGGCACAAACTGGTGTCTGGCCGCGCTGCCGTGTCGGGGACTACTCAGGCTGGGACTGGCCGACGGTGCCGGCTTTGCCTACACCAGTTACACAATTATATGACTGTCTTAAGATTTATAGTGTTTAAACTTTTTGTACAAACATAAAATTGTGTTTGTGTAGATAGAGCAAAGTAGTATAAACCATAACAAAATTTTGCTATTTATTCCTGAAAAACTATGCAGTGAGTGTATCTAAAGCTGCAAAATGAAATAGGCCTATTATTGTTTAGAAGAATTTATAGTTTATATTTGAAAGAGTGTACATAAATGTTACAACAAAATGAAATAAGGGTGTATTATTAATGCAATATTGTACATCTAAAGGTGTAAAATTAAAATATTCTTCTTTAGAGTAATTCAGCGTTTACGTTTGAAAGATATCTCAGTTTACATAAATGTTACATTACAACAAAAAAAGGGTGTTAACGCAAGATCAATGTTAGTTTTAAAATCAAGATTTCATACAAAGTTTTAAAGTTTAACGATAGCACTGTAGAATCATAGCTAATATTTCTAATCAAAACATCATCTTCAGTGTATGCTACAAGTAAAGAGTATCAAATAATTATTTATCTATGTATTCATGCTAGAAACAATAGTGTGTTTTCTACTGAATGATTGTTTTAACTATTGATAGATTGAGCAAGACCACTAAAAGCCAAAAAGTATAATGTCTAACTAGCGATTATTTTCCTTATGAAGTGTAATTCATCCAGTGTTTCATAAAAAATGGGAAAATAATTACAAAATGGCAAATTATAGCTATTGTAGCAAACCCTGCACCAATAATTGGGCTTACAATGGGACGAGAAGACTTAGGTGTATTTTTACATTCCTTTTAGGTTAATTTACATTCTGATAACTAACTCATTGAATTTCATCAAAACTCAACTATTCAATTTGTTTAAAATACATAATAACAAATCATTTTCAGAAAACCTCAGCTATTTTGAAATTTGTTATTCAATTCTGATGATGTTTTTAGCTATATTGTTTGATGTATCAGTTATTCAACTATAACTATTGTATGTTCACAGGTTGTCATAAGTATACTAGATTACAATTTGATAGAACTTTTTCCTCTTTTAAATTAAACCTGTTTAATGGAAATGCAATGTTGCAAAATATCCAAATAACAACTTTTTTCATTTTTCATTAAAATCTAATTTTGTTCATATTTAGTTTCAACAGTTTACATAACAACTATGAAGTCAATATAGAATAACAGTTGAGTATATAGAATATTTTTTTATATACGGTACAAGTGTGGAATTAGCAAATAATTTTTGTTAACAAATCAATCTACAAATAAAGAAACACATTAGCAGAATACCCCATCTCAAGCCTCTTACATAATTGGGATAAGGGTAGAATTTGATTTTGTAACAACAACTCTGACTATATTTTAGATTTTTTAAACTTAGATAGAATAACTTCACCAGTGCACACCTAAGTTAAATTAAAATAAGGTGGATATCTAATAGTGCTTTGAAAGGCAATCTCATCAAACAAAATCTATAGGTTACCTTTTTTCACCTTAGACAGTGCATAACACACTGAAAATAAAAATCAATGATTGAAACCCTGGGATTGGGATGGTAAATTAATTTTTGTAATGACAGTAACAAAAAAAAAATACTTACTCAAAAATTCAAATTATTCTATTGGAGAAAAAGTAATGGTTTCAAACATTGAAAGATAATTATACTTTTAACTGAAAAATGTAAATATTCTTTTTTTATGAACAGTGAATAGATTTTACTACAGTTGTGGCTTATAGATTGTTTAAACTTTACACTGGAAGTAAAAGTAACATCTAGCTTTTATGCAACAACATAACAAAATATCTCTGTTTCAGCAAAACCTACAGACTAAACCAGTTTTCAGTTGTTTTATTGAAGTTTATTAAAACACAATTCTCACAAAATGACATATTATGCATGAATAAAAACATAATATTGGCTCAATTAGTAGTTAGATTTTCTGCAACAAAGAACATAAAACGTTGTTGTTTGTATTACATAAGTCCACAATGCTAAATCTATGAGGATAAATAGTAATATTGGTTCCTAAAATTGAACCTGAAAATACTATGTACAACAGATCTATGTACAGCATATTTTACAAATTAAATTACACAGTTTTCTATGATAGTTAGGAATGAAGGAAAGAGAGTAAAGTAAAACCAGACAAACCGTTAATGATTCAACTTGTAATGGATCCCTTACATATCCACGTGGATAAAAGAATTCCATATGGCTTTAGAAAAAATTTAAGTCCAATTGTTTGGTTGTGTACAGTATATTTTGATGTTTACTATTAAATTGTTACTATTCAACCAACATAAATGTTAGCCAAACTGATTTTTTTATTAATTTATTGTTGTGAGGTATTACAGAAAACAAAGGAGACTGTAAAATTTATACTAAAATAAGTTTAAAAAAATGGGTGGTAAGCAATAGCACACTAAAACTTAACCTAACATGAAAATGAAATATACATCAAAACTGGGTTCAGATTTACAATAGGATGAGAAGTCTACTCGTACTATTTAAAGTCAGCAATAAATATTATAGTTAAATCCTAGAGTTCAGGATGAAACTACGGATGAAAATGTATTATAATACAACTGGACAACATTACTACTAATTCAGGTCATGCCTTTATTTACTAAGGTTCTTTTTTAATGAGGAGATTTCTTATTTTACCTTTATTACTCTTCTCTGCATCAAGAAAAAACAAAACAATGCTAAGAAACATTGATAAAATAAAATACATTTAAATGTAAAATGTCATTAATGATTTTGTTGGAGACCATGTTCTTTGGATTAAGGTAAGTGTTATTTTATTCTGTTTTTAATGAGGATGTAGAACTTTTATAAATGAGGCTAACTATAACCAAAAATTGATGTTTTTATCCTTCATTAAAATAGTGTAACAAAAATTTGTAGGGAAGGCAAGCAGAATATCATGAGTCATTATCAGTATAGGTTTTAAGGACCAAAAAATTGTAACTTGTTTATAAGAGTCCTTCAGAGACTTTTTTACCGACTCGCCAACAGAATTTTAATCAGCAGACTTTTTGATAACGTTAGTGCTGCTTTAGTAGAGAGTTGAAGGATTTCAAGGATTAGAGTTCAACTAGTTTCCATGAGACAATTAGAATCCAAGGTTCCCGATAGACTTACAGAAAATAACACACCATTTCACCCTGATGTTCTATCTCAGTATAGGTTTTCTTTATAATGGATAGATGAAAAGTGTCACAATAATTGTGAACTCCAGCTAACACTCATCATTAATAAACGTTTTGAAGACGCCCTTAGCTAGGAAAAATATATGTTTTGTTATGTGCCTTTTTTGGTATCTCTACTCTATAATGTTGCATCCATAAACAGCCACTCAACTTCCCATCAAAATAATCTGTGTTGGTTGAAAAAACATTTGAAGTGCTCTAATTTGGGATTTTATTGATTTATTTCTATATTTGTTACATAAGTTAATTACCTGCATTTATAACACAAGAAAATGAGGTAGAGAAAGTAAACAGAAATTAATGCCTAATCTTGGGAGTTTTCATTGGATCTGAAATAAAAAAAAAAGCACCTTAGGTAGATATTTTTTACTCTGATAAAACTTGATGAGACTTAGATACAAAATCTACCATATTTAATAGTTATATATCTGTTACTACAATCCGTATTACTTTATTCACTGAACTGTTGCCTTCTTAGTAATTCCAATCTAATCCAAATCTGCACTGTTCTGTAGCTTCCTTTTACTTCTGTATGGAAACCCTCTTTGATAATTTTTAGTATAGTAAAACTTGTGAGAAAGACTAACATGACAACAAATATTTATCTTCCATAAGTAGAAAAATTTAAAATTTAACTCTTACCTGGTGATAGATAGGGCTGAGACCACTGCAGAACCTTAGGTTACTGTGTAGAATAAAAATGATGATAGTGACCACAAAACCAGTCAGGGCGTAAATTGATATGGTGTTAAAACCTGAAAAAAACAATTTTTTTATCTGGTAAACAGTAAACCAATGTAAACAGTTTTGCCAACATGTGTTTTTGAAAATTCCCGTGGGCCTGTAAGACTGTGGTTTTGGTATAGGCCTAAGTGTTAAATTTATCAATTATTCTTTTCAAGTTCAATTTACAGTGTCAGCATTTCCACAGCAATATTTCCTTAATTAAGGCTTCACGTTGTGTCCAGTCACCTTTGTCTATAACTCATTGAAAGATAATAATATTTCCATATTAGAAATTATTTTATTAGTGTTAGCGTTAGCAATCATCAAGGCTGGCTCCTTGAGCCTGTGATTCCCGGTAAACTGTGTCCTCTAGTTAAATTTAAGGGTTCAATGCTCGTTTCCAACATTAATGATAATGTCGTAACACCCAATCAATCGGAATCGACCAAATCATTTCAAGTCGTAGCTAACTGCTACAAATGCCCCTAAATTCATCATTGTGGTGAACTCAAAGTTACGGTATAAATTACGAGGTTAAGTCCAGTGATACAATAGAGTGTGCAATTGGACTTAAAAGTGCAATGAAAAGACTGCTCTACTGAGTTACCGTGTTCAGTAGAGTCCTAAACAACCTCTCTTTGGAGATTTCCCTATACTAAAACCTATAAAATTATACTAACAGAATTACATGACGACATACCTTGTCGCATCACTGAGAGCAGCATGAAGCTGAACTGCAGCAGCACTATAGACAACACCACGTACTTGATAGCAGTTGCGTGTATGCGCGTGCTGATCTTAGAAGGGCCGTAGGCAAAGTACAGGTTGTACCTGTCTACGCAGTGCTTCAAGCACATGTACAGCAGACCTGGAAATGATAGATTTTTAAACTTCGATCAATTTAATTCTCAATAGACATGTGACTCAATATGTTAAGTCAAAGATAAGTTGATGTGGAGAAATCCTATATGAATAACAAATTCGACTGAAATGCCCCCAACGTCATGTGAATTGAGAGGAAGATAATAATTCAAAACTGAAACTTGAATTAGATCAACTGATATTTAGTTATTACCGAGTTAATAACAGAAGTTTCCTATGAATAACCTCTAAAATTGAGGTAAAACAAGCTCCCATCACAATGGAGTAAGCTATTTAAAATCTAATGCAATCTCCTTATAAGAATACAGAGCTAGTGTTTGAAGAAGGATAGGTTCTTCCCCAATACTATTTAAGCCAACTTAGGTCTAGAAGTGCTAGTTCTAGACAGAATTTCAGGACTGTTGAATTTCCCCACCATTATTAATGACTACTACAATGATACTGAGAGTCCCATTGAGTTGGGGATTGGATAGTACAGTACAGTAGTGGGGTAAATAAAGAACATAGCGCTAGTGTTAGGTTTTAACTACCCCACTGTGACAGGAGCTTGTTTAAACTTTAATTTTCAGATAACTTTTGTATAAAAGTGTTTCTTAATTATTGTCAATGTTAGAGAGTGGAAGACATAGAGACTTCACACATAATAACAAAATAATAAAGATAACTTACATAAATAAATAAACATTTTCATCAAAATGGCAAATAATTTTGGGTAAAGGTCATTTTACTACTTCATACAGAATCACAATATTTAAATCATTTATCATGTACCTTATTATTTTGTAAACAACATGAATAATTACCAAACGGAGTAATCAGTGGACATGACAGGCTGAAGACAGTTGTCATAGCAAAGATGAGCAACATCCACGCGTACTGCAGTCCAAACGGGAACTCCCACATGATAGTGTTCCTCAGGGATACGGACTCTGCTTTGGATCTGAACAAAAATAAGCTTTCAGGACTCGTCCATTATTAGCAGGGAATTTATTTGTGAAGGGTCAAGAACCAATCACACAGCACACTTTTAACTTTGAAGAAAAGCTTGTCCATTGTAGGGGTTACTAAACATTTATATATTAATTAATGCAAAGCCAATTTTGTTGGACTGGTTTCTATACAATATTAAAACTAGTTTTATGTTGAGTTAGTTTTAAACTTTAAACTATTAATAAATAAAACTAAAAATAAAAATATCAAAATATAGAGTTTAGTTTAAAAAATAAGAATAAAAGGCTTAGCTGAAATAAAAACAGTCCACACTAGCATAAGACACACAAAGTTTTATAGAAAGTAAATAAAAATATGTCCACACGTCTAATAACACTTATGAAACATATATTTACAATTATACTATTAGGCCTAACTCACAAGACGGTAGAATCATATAAAAAAGATGGTAAGTGATGATCGATTTCGACTGGACACTATAATCAATAATCATCAGACCCAATAGGCGAACGTTCGCCTATTTAATCTTCCTTGCTTAAAATGCTCTCCAACTCAGTCCTTGCAATATTTCATTATGCATGTGATTAAAACCTTGCATGTTGAGAAAATGTAAGCCCGCAATCTCCACAAAAATTAATTTAGTAGTCTAACGCTAACATACAGTAGTATGTTTATTTATGAAATATCAAATTCAAATTACATTTTAACTCTTTAAAAACATAATGTAGACTTCTTCTCAATTCCACAAGACAATACAGTACAAACACTTACCTTGCTAGGCACAGCCGCAGCGTGTAAACAAACAGCTCGGGAAACCTAATCAGCTCAAGACTCGTTCCGATGAACGCTGATGTGATGACGTAATTGACGAAGAAAGCACCTTTGTCGGGCATGAACAAACATTCCCACCGATATGTCTCGTTGTGTGAGTCAAGCGCAAACAGCACAAAAGCTTGAGCACTGTAAAAAAAATTATATTTGTTAGGAAAGTTGATGTTGACGTTGGTTATATTCGTAGTGTGAAAAATTTACATCATTTGTGCTTTCCAGTTGTTTTTCATTAACTAAACACACAAACTAGCTGGTTTTCCCCCACTCAGTTCACAATGTCAACCACTATGTACTATCAGACCTCTTGCTTTGATATCATTTTCCATGAAGGCAGACCTTGGCCCTTCTTCTTCAGGAATGTCTTGAGTCAAGACATCTAGGGCTTTATACTGTTCCAATACCAACAGCATTTGGCTTAGGATTACATGAGGAGTGTCTACTTCTTCCTTCTGATTCCCTTGAACCTTTGCCAATAGTCAATGCTTGAACAGTCAAAATGTCGAGTTGATGTGTTGTGAATTTTTTCTGTCCAATCAAATGCTTGAGCCTCTTTTCTCAAGTTAGTTGTTACATGAATTTCAAGGAATAACTTTAACGGTACAATAAAGAGTGTCTTTCTCCTAAAAAAAATAAGTTAAATGGTTAATGTTACCTGGCTTTTGTAAATTTAGTGATCCAGAGGCTACTCACCATCACAAAAATAGTTTAGGCGAATTACTGAACCAATAATCTGATCTAAAGATGTTCACCTCAATAACAACAATCAACAATTAATTAAAACCCTACTGTCCTAACCTTGTCAGTCCTAGCGCAGGCAATATGAGCACCATGAAGAGTAGGAAGATGAAGGTCTTGCGCATGATGGAGTGATTGCGTTGTGACCGAGTCCAGTGATTCAGCCACTCATCACTGTGAGACACAATCACCGGCAGAAGCGCTGCAACGGTCCACAGTAGCAGGGTGGGGAGGAACTCTGACACTACCGGACCCTAGTGATAACAGAACACACAACTAACACAACGATCGACCAATAAAATGTAGGTGCTAAAAATAGCCTAGGATGGAAAAACCTGTTCCGGTAACATTTTTTTTATTCTGAGCATAAAATATGTCACTATCAGACCCTTATATCAATAATATACAAAATTGCAGGGTACTTTCCTGTTAAAGGGGACATTCATTATTATCGATGATTTTCAATCGATATATCAATATTAACGAATTGAAACTTATCAGCTGACAACTACAATAAATAAATATTGTTTAGTATAAAGAAAAAATTTAAATGAAACTGTTCCAAACCAACCTTACAAAACTAACCAAACTTGCTGTAACATTTAAAAATTCCGTTTAATATCCCCCACATGCCCTTTCTGTAATCAAACGGAATTTTTAAAATGGTACAGCACGTTTGGTTGGTTATGTTAGGTTAGCTTAGAACAGTTTTAATCCATAATAGACTAGATTTTAGCCTGAACAAGATCAGTTGTCAATTTGTAATGGATCGTAAAGGGAAACAAAAATATCGATATATCGATTAAAAATCACCGATAATAATGAATATTCCCTTTAACAGGAAAGTACCAATTACAGCAGTACCTGGAATTTTGTGAATTTATCACATGTTAGTCAACAAAGATCACAAAAACATATACGCCTATAAATGAAAGATAAAGTCAATTGATTTTTGATAGTTTGATGCTGGAACCAGCTGTCCTTAACATTTTTGAAGATTAGGTTAGGAATTAAGATCAAACCTACACAACGTATATTACTCGATTTTACACCCATACTTCACTCATACAGTATTCAAATTTAAATTTGCAGCGTTATGTTCCTATCCTTCTTACAACTTAACTACATACAGAATATGGTAGTTCAAATCTATCTCACCATTTTCTCCACCTGGTTGAAGACCAAAGTGTCCATAACACTAACAATGATAGGGGGAGTTGTGAGGAAGAAGAAAACCACAGAAAGGAACCCATTGAGCAACCAAGCTTTTATCTGGAAGTTCTTCCGAGAAACAGACAGATTCTCCCTGCAAGAAAAATAAGTGATTAGAAAAAGTCCAAGCAGAAAACTGGAAATCAAATAAATATTTTGCGTAGCTACAACTAGGAGCAAATGAAAAACAATTAACTGTCAGCCAAGGATATTTCACTGTGTTAGAAATGACTTTGTGTTGTTGAACCGAATAAATGCTGTAGTCCTGCTGATCCAAACTAATAGGAAGCCGAAAATATTTGAAAATAGTAATTTGTGTATTAAGAACGGAAAGTATGTCATTGCCGCTCGAGAACTGTAGATAACCGCAAAAGCTTTAGCTGAGCAATAAACCTCAATAAACCTTTGAACAACATGATTAACTTACGGTCGATTGTCAATGTCCCTTCGTATTTTTTGCAATGTGTGTCCGTTCCGTGTATCGTGTTTTGTATATGTCTTAATTATTGAACTCTGTTATTAACGACCTTCGAATGAAGTGATTATTTGACACCTTGAGGTCTGAAGATGGTTCACTAATGAACCGAAACTAGTTGCCAAAATCAGCAACAACGGATTACTATATGCAGGTATTGTAAACCATTTTAAGTATAATTAACTTATTCAAACAAGACAACTAACGACCTCGAGTCAATGTTAAGGTACTCACAGATCGACCTTTTAGTTGCAATATAAAATGTCATCCAGGTTATGTTTGCTTTTTTGGGTTATGTTATTTGCTTACCAGATGTTAGTAATTTATAGAAAACCCAACAGTGAAATCAGCTGATTTAGCGAGCAAGAATGAATAAAGCGCAAATGAGCTATTTTGCATACTGTTTACAGGTGTGGCAATGTGATAATTTCTATGCAGTGGTAGGACAAGGAGATTTTTCAACATAACTGAAGAAACTGCAAGATAACTGATAAGAAACGGGGTAACAGGTATGATAAAAATACCACATTACTTGGTTCTTTTACTCTCCACAAAAAGGTCTAGTGACAATAAACAATATTAAGACCATTAAAAATAAATGCAAGGATTTTTAATGATAAATCAGGGTTGGTACTGATTTTGGAAAATGAAATTCCCTGACTTTTCCAGGTTTTCCAGACTGATATTATACTTTTTCCAGGTATTCCGTAAGACGATATCGAAAAGTCAGAATCAAGAATTATTAGAAAAAATGTAGGCCTAAATAGTGTAGATTTAATTGAAACCATCCAAAATATAGATACTAACTAAACTATTTAGCTTAAGCTTAACTACTAATAATATATTTCATGATATTGTTTACTTACGTGAATTGTAGTAGTAGGGTTTGAGATCAACTAGGATTAATCCAGATTTGAATTTACAATTATTAGTCTTTATTTGTAGAACAGAGTTTTTATAAATTTAATGTTGTTGTAATGTCTTGTCTATTTTGTTCAGACTTAACAATTGTAGTTTGAAAGTTTAACTGTAGGCGATTCATTAATAAGTTGTTATGTTTCATGTGCCCCTTTTCCATATTTATAGGCTTACTGTAGTTTATCGATAAATATAACACTAAAACTCTTTCAACATACACAAATTAAAATTAAACACTCTTTTTGCACACAATAGGCTACTGTAGTTTGTTAGTAAATATTTAGCACTAAAATTCTTTTAACACAAAATAAAATTAAACATTTTAAAATATTTAAGGATTTTGATAAATGATAGCCTACTTCCTGATATCAAAGAAAATAAATTGTTATTTAATTAACCAGTCATTTTGAAACCATATACAAGCACCTTGTCTTCATATCCAGTAATTTATCCAGCCAATGATTTCATTTCCTCGTCTAAAGCTTGAACTTTTAGATTTGCTTCAAGCAGCAACTTTTTTTTCTCTTCCTTCAACTCTTTAATTTTTTCAGCAGCTCTTTTCTTGGCTCGCTTTTGTGCTTCCAATTCTAAGTCTTCTTTTTTCTTCTTTTCAAGAGCTTCATGGTATTTTGATCTAGAAAATCGTGCAAAATGAATCATTTGTTTGGTAATAGTCACATTTTTTATCCCTCCTGCTCGCTGTATTCCCTCCCAAACAAATCGTTGAGATACAAGACTCTCTTGAGACAAGTTGTCTACTAAACACTCTTTATTTATTGAGAATCCCCTCTCAACTGCTGCATTTCCATGGGATAAAATAAATACCTTTGGCAAAAAATTTAAAAGGTTATCAAAAGATTCTACACAAAATTCAATCAGTTCTTTCCAAAAAGTGTCCAAGCGCTCATTTCTACTATACTCTTTAATTTTTTGTACAACCATTTGTTTACTACACAATAACTTAAAGTCCTTTTCTATTTTATCGGCTTTCAAACCAGACAACCACTTGTTTCTGACAAAGATTTCTAGGCATTTGGATAACCTTTTAGTTGCTATAACAGCATCTGATGCAAGCACAGCTGGGTCACAGAATGTTAAATATTTTGTCAACGTATAAGCCAAGGGCGATTTATTCATAAGATGGGAACATATTTTCTGAAGACATTTTAAACATTCAGTTCTAAAAAATAGAATTTCTTTTTGGCTGGGGGTTTCCTTCCTTATGGCTTCTCTGGTATCAAACCCAAGATCAATATGTTTGAAACTAATCAAGTTATCAGCCTTGTAAATATCAACTTTACTAGGATCCTTCCCTTCAATAAACTCCGGTTTGATAAACCTTGACATTAGATTGGACAGGATACAAGACAAATCAGTATAAATAAAAGGAGCCAAAGGCTTATTTGCCTGATACTGCCTTAAAAACGGCTCTAATTCTGAAGCCATCAGTTTAAAAAACGCTAATTTTGCCCTTAGCATATTATCCTCCAAGCAATTCTTCATAACTAAATAGCTAGCAGAAGAAGGTTCTTTCTTGTGTTCTGTGGCTTTTGATACGTAAACTTTTAGAGAAGTTATCAATTCTTCTGCCCTTTCAGCTACTTCTATATTTTCCAACCATCTTATAGGACAGAATTTCTTTGGAAATTTTGTGCAGCCTGTGAAAGAAATGAAGTCGGCTCTTCTCGATGGTACATTTTTGAAAACATTATAAATGGCCCTTAAAAATTCAATTATTTTCCAAGAAGTAGTTTTCATGCCTGTTTTAAATGCATTATGAAGTACATGAAGGCCACAAGTACCAAATTCTAACATTTCAGGATTTTCTACACCCTCGCCTTTTAAATGATCCTTTAGATCCTTCAAAAACTTTAAGTTAACATTCGGTCCATCCATAGAAATGTGCAATAGTTTTTTTAAGTCCAACTCTGACAACTTTTTGATAAAGGCGTTTAACAAGTCTTCAGATCGAGTGTGGCCTAGAAATGCAGATCCAAAATAACAGCTGGAAACTTCTTTTTTTTCTTTGCTCCAAAACTTTATGATGAAATCCATTTGATTTTGCTGACTTATTTTGTTAAAACTCTCATCAAAACAAACGGCAAAACAATCGTTTACATCAATATCTTTTAAAACTTGCTGTTGAAAATAAGGCCCTAGTCCATATGAAATGGTATAAGCCATTTTGTTTCTACCTAATTTTACACCTTTGGCAATATCACTGTCAGGAAAAATAGTGGGAAAAAGATCAGCACATTTGCCAGCAGCATTCATTGAGAGGTGTACATCAACCGTTAATAGGCACCAGAGAATTTCCGCTTTAGTTACATTATCTTTTATGATAAAACTACTTAAGCCACGGTTCTTTTTATCTTCATGGCCTACATAATTTAAGGTCTGCTTGTCAGGATCAGATATTTGTTGTATTGTGTCTGGCTTAAAATTTGGTAATGAAGGATCAATACTAATACTAGTACAAGTAGAAGTAGTAGAAGTACTTGGTTGAGGCGGAGTGATGGGGCAAGCAGGGTTTGAAGACAATGAAGGTTTATCTTTGTCACTATTTTTTTGTTGGAAAAATACACCAATACCGTACGATGATTTCTTGCTCTGGTCAGCCAGTATGTGTTTCTTGCTTTTCATGTGACTCACCACGGCTTGTTTCCCCATATTACTCAATGACACACTACGTTTACAATATTTGCAAAAAAAAGAAAAATTGTCTTTTTCGCATGGACTTAACCAGGAACTCAACTCCTCATCATTTAACCACTGACTGTTAAAACTTGTTTTTTTGGACTTTGACATCGACATTTTTTAATTAATCTGAAACAAAAATTAAGAAATGTATACAACTTAAACTGTGTAAGTTCTAATTCAAATGGGCCTGAAACTTGTTACTTATATAATCTAATACTTGTATAATCTGATATTCCGGCAAACTTGAGAACGGCTAGGCGAGCTTCAAAATCAAACCTATAACCAAATATATGCTTATCTCTGGTGAATAAAAGATTGTAATGGTTGGTTAGGTGGAAATTGAATTGAGTTTCCAGGTGCAAGTTGGGGTTTCTATCAATAAATCAGCCCTAAATCAAATGTACGGTACCGGTAACTATTTAAGTTAGACCTGATATAACCAACAATTTATAAATAATTAACAAGATTGAAGTAAGTTACCGGATAAATTATACTTAAAGACATGTAGGCCTACAACCAACCAGGTAGGCTATTAAAAATTTACTAAAACATGGTAGGCCTATAGCCAATTTGATAACTTAACCATGCACTATTGGGGTGATTGCCTATTTCACCCTAAAGATTCCGGTTGGAAATCACTGAATCACTAAAAACTTTGGTGATTTACTAAGGCTAGGCCTATTTCATAAATCACATATTTTGTATACAGTAGTGCAAAAATTTAATTTTTAATTTGGCTAAAATACGTATTATTTTGACCATTTCATGTAGAGTGCTTATGGTTGCATCATGGAGGTTAACGTTACCTACCTAAAACATTAGGCCTACCGTAACCATTTCAATTTACATTTGTCACCAAAGTCCAATTAAACAAAAGTTGAAGAGAAGGTAGGCCTACCCTTCAACAACAAAGTAAATAATGGGCTATAAGGCCAAATTATGTAATAAATAATATTTTATAATTTAAAAAATTTAATACAAATAAACCAAATTCTCAAATGTGGCTTCAGCCAATAGGTACTGTGTCGGTAAGTTAGGCCTGCAAAGAGTGATTGTCAAAGACGAATATTTATTGGTTCTATATAAATGATAATTTACAATAAGTAAGGCACAATTTCACACTTGTAATAGGTGTACTTAATAAATATCAATTTAATAAAACATTAAAGTAATCACTAGTCAAAAGTTTCTTACCTTATTAAAGATTTTTCTAGGTCTAGACTATGATGATGCAATATATGCGGCGTATGATGCAATACCAACGTGGTGAACGTAAAGAATTAAAGCTCCCACTTGTAACGATATCAACTCTACTGACGAATTTCAATGCAAAATAACTCAATGTCTCACTCATAAAACCAATAAGAAGAGAATTAAACATCTGAAATCTGGACATGTAAGAGTACCAACTAACTTAACCTCACACTTTAAGTTCTACTTGGCCTTGACTTGACTTTACTGGCAGATGGCAGATAGACGATACGGTGCTTCTGCTTCTGATACTACTGTCTTCTGAGGAGACAAAAAGTAGTACCAAACTAAACTATTAAATCTTTCAACTAACAGGATAAATATTTTTTTATAAACTCCAACAAGTGAATTTTTTTAGTTTATTAAAGGTTGAATCAGTATTGGTATGAATTCAATGAGGAATTGTATTCAGTATCATATTGAAATTGAAACGATGAATGTAGGCCTATCCTTCCGCGCATCGCGGTACTGGCAGTGTTTCCATACGTGGGATTATTATCCCGAAAACAGGATTTTTAGAATATGAGCGGGATTTAAAGGGGATGTGGGATAAAACAGGAGTTTTGGCTATGACGTCCGTTTTTATTTACTATGCTTTATTTTAGTGAAAAACTAACCCTAATCGAAAAAATTACCTTAAAAAATATAATAGCAATGTTAAAACAATTATTTAAAAACGATATGTCTAATTAAACACTCAGAATTTAACATCAAAAATCTTAAGGGATAAACCGGGATTTTTCATCATTCAAAAGAGGGATTAAATGGGATTTCTTAACCCAGTGACCGGGATTATATTCTTTTGGTCGGGTCGTGTAGAAACACTGGGAGCTCGGTGCATTCAATTAAAGCCAGTAATCAGAGGGTGATGATAGAATGTCTGTCGATGTTCGATGCTTTTTATATCGATGGTAGGTTCCCGATGTTTTTGTTACATCAATGTTTTCGTCGAACTTTGATGTTTTTGACCAAGTATTGAGACATAGATGCAAAATGTAGCATATCTGTAAAAAATGTAGTCTTTCAAGAGAAATTCCAGATTTTTTCCAAAATTCCCTGACTTTTCCCTGACTTTTCCAGACCAACAAAATTCCCTGACTTTTCCAGGTTTTCCAGGTTTTCCCTGACCGTACCAACCCTGTAAATTTTAATAATCTTTCGATAGTTATTTCTATGTCACATTATATTGTTGACCCAATTCACAATTTAAACATTTTGTTACCTAATGACGAATAAATTTCTGATTCTGATGCTTATACTGTCCAAACCACACTCTACAATTAAAAACCAAAGCCCTCCCGTACCAGCATATATCCCTAGGTGACGGCGCAAACTGCACTTTCCACCTGTGATGTTTCAGTCTCCGACTAACAGAGGACTCGGGTAGGTTGTTGAGGCAGGCGTAGCGACGTTGGTGGTCCGAGTAGATCTTCTTGGCCGCTGCTATAGACACTAGCGTAACAAACACAATGCCCAGCGGACGCTTCAGAGCTGTTGTCCGTTCCAGATCCACCTGCGCGAAAAAAGAGTTAGTGAAATAAATTGGTTACAATTACTTCAGTTTTTATGTAGCTACTATCTTTGATTACCTTTGATTTTTTGTTAAGCTTTTTGAGTTTCATTTTGTAGATCTAATGTTTAAAACATATCAGCGCTGTTGTTACTTACACAAAAACATTAAATAGTAGTAACAGGTGACAGTAGCAGAGATTGAATCAAGACATAATTTTTTTCCATTCCGAGAAGGCTACCCAGTCCCAAGAGTCCAATACGTTTTCGTTTTTTATTTCTAGATAGTTCGACCCAGGGTTTTATTAGAGGTGTTGGAAAAGATTTATGTAGGCCTATCAGAACGAAAGGCTACCAGAACCTCTACCGTCCCCCTTATTCCCTTTCCTCCTTTGAGGAATCTGATATAGAACAACAAAAAGCATTAGAACAATATTCAACACCTATTTTGTTTAGAAATATCTCTTAGAAAACATTAGAATCTAAAATCTAAACAAATGTTCCCTAAATAGAGAGGTTCAACTGTGCTTCCCCTCAAATCAATCCGAAGCCCATCATTTGTTACCTTTATTGTTTATAATTCTTTGAAAACATTTAATGTTTCCTAGATAGAGAGGTTCTACTGTGATTCCCCTTAAATCAAGCCCAAGTTAGACCTACCATGTTTTTGGGCTATACCTGAGCTATTTATGTGATTGTGATAAAAATGCACACAAAAGGTAATTAGTAGTTTTTCAACATAGACATTTACAACAAAAGTCTCACTACATTCCAATTTTAGACTAGCCAAACCCCTAGTAAACATTAGGCTACCTGAAATTTGTTGCACAATGAAAATATGCCTAGGCCTACTTATTTTTGTTTTGGGTTTTGACTCAATATTGTCTACCAATTCTGTTAAGGTAAATCAGGAATATATGAGGATAATTTAACTATTGTTTGTTCAAGGGGATTAAGGAATAGGACTGAACCTACCTGAGCCTGTAGTCTACTCTCTTCGTCCGTGTAGTAGTCTATAGCGTCCACCGTAGGACACCCGTACATGTCACAACATGAACATAAGTTTCCACACAGGTACGGCCTCATCTGCAGCCTAATGCCCGTGTCCTTCAAGTAGTTATCACAGTAGATTCTAGCTTGATATGCCGTCTCTCTAAAACAGCAGGATGGTATTGTTTAAGTTATTGTCTTATTTATTTTTTAGTTATACTGGTAGCTTTGATTATGCGTAACACAACCATACATATTTTAGTTTATTTTTACTTTTAAGAATAAGGATTTTCTAAGGGTTTACTGTTTAATTCCCAAAATTTACACTTACCTTGCTTTATCTAATCGACTAACTTTGGTGATATTGTAGGCTAACTGAATCCCTTGAACTTCAAACTCTGGGTAGGCTTCTCTGTAAAGTAAAAAAAAAAAAACATGATACTTTCATCAAACATAAGTAGACAAAATTTATTAGTTTAAAATATTTCAATAAAAAAAGACTTGGTTTAAATTGGCCTGTGTGTTAAGTTTATAACTTTATTCTTATGATATAATAAAGTTTAGCGGTCTACCAAAATTTCACTATGTCATTAACGTCAATAAGTTCAAAGAGGGTTAATTCAGGCGCCATTTATTAATATTAATACAAACCATAATTCATGGAAATGATATAGGTTCATCCGTACTTGAATCTTCCGATCCTAAACTACGGTGCCCAAATTTTAAAATCCTTAGTTTTGATCATAACATGTCTTTTGATTAACCATTTATTAGTTAGTTTGTGTTCTGGCATTTACAACTACTAACATATTGTAAACGTTTCACATATTCAAATCTAAATTTATGTTACATAACAACAGCATAGCAAAGTTATTATGAACATACATGAGAATTCAAACAATATTGTACTATTTTTGCAATTTGCAAGGTCAAAATTAAAGGCTCAAAATATGTACATATGCCAATCGTTCATTGTGATCTTAACTCTGTACAATCTTTACAAAAAAAAGTAAAGCAGTTTTCTGCTAAGAAACGGTTAGAAATTAAATTTTTTCTGGGAAGCCGAGTGGTTTTATCGCTCCCCTTTAAATCTGAAGCTTGCCGATTCATAAGTAAGATCGGTTTTGAACCTACATTGAACGATTTATTATTGATGCTACTTAACAAAAATTTGACGTTATGTAACAAAAACAGAGTTTGGTCCGTTCCCTAAAAAAGTTTCAAAAATGCCAATGACATGGAACAAAACACAAAATTAAAACTAAAGCATATTTGATACTCCCCCACTACATAGTGGATATTTAATGCTTTAATCTCACCTGAAGTGTCTGTGAAGATCGTCAGCGTCACAGGAGCGTCGCGGGATGTCTGAAATCATCAAAGTACGAGATACTGTGTCTCTGTCTTCCACCTTCAGGTTTACAGAGAATCTGCAAACAACGAACCATACTAAACAACAGTTTCCAACAAAATAACATATTTTCCAATATGGAATGTATTGTATTAGAAATCAGTCTTTTACAAGCACAAACTTCAAATTTACAAACAGGGTTATTGTTCGGTCAAATCTACGTTGTGGATCCAATTTGCCTTGCTCGGAAGAGGTAGGTTTTGAAATAGTTCAAAGGTGGTTAGAACTATGTGGAAGTATTACATTTTTTAAGTAATAATTAGGCCTATATAAAACTTATTTTGGAAAATTATTGTGATGAAAGTAATTCATTTTTAGAAATTCCAACCGAAATTAACATACCATAAATCCAAGTATGAACACTACTAATAATTCATCAGGGTACTAATTATTTCTGGTCAAGTGGTTAGAGCACAGAACTTCTGTCCAGGAAGCCTGGGAAAAAGACCTGCCAAACAGTAACAATTTTAACTGTGCGATATGAACCTGTTGGTTTCCAAACGACATTAAGCTGTAGGACCCAACCCGAAATATCTAGAAAACGTAAATACAATAATAGGTTTCTCTCAGATGAAGTTAATAATCTAGGATTGAGGAACTCACTCACTCACTTAAACAAAAACCTCTTTAGTCTTTATACCAATCACCAATGGATTTTATTTCAGTTATAAAGCCACGTATGTCTAGCCTGAAGTAATGTGAAAAACTATTCCAAACTAGAGCCTGGCGTCCTAGGAAAAATATATATATTTAAGAGATGAGCAATTGGATGAGATATCACTCTACACTAAACGAGGTCTCTGCGTATCAGATGTAACTAAATAGAAGTCAGGTTGACTTACGTTAAATCAGCTATTTTCCTACATTTTTCAATTCAGTTCAATTTATAATTCAATAAGTAGTTATAGGCTACTAGCGTTGACACTAAGTTACCAGTTTTATGATCACTTCAATGGTAGACATAAAGTTTATTGCTTTTATCATTGTAATAGAAATACATGATTTTACCTTCGCATTATGTAGATACCCAACGGGAGATATAGCAGGGACAGCGTGACATGCACCCATAGCCAGTTAGAGCTGAAATAACATTGCTATATGTAGGAGGAGTATTTTTTTAAACTAAAGGTAATTAATGTTTTCTTTTAATAACAACATGAAATACGTACTGTAATAACAATTTGTGCTTTGCTTTGTGTAAAGATTGATTAAACTCAATGTGGATTTTTTATCCTAGTCAATCAGTTGAGGATAATTTTATGTTAAGATTGTTAAGAAGATAATGTCGTTACAGCCATGAAATATATTTTTAGTACAAATAATCCATAACTTTAAAATGCATTGTCTTAATAACTACAGACAGTATTATCAGTTTGAGTTGATTAAAAACATTACCTTATACAAATGGAAACACTACAAACAAATGTGATAACGGCTTATCATTGTTATCAAATTGGCGTTGTGATTTTACCAGCTCTTACCAGCTCGCTGTACAATATGTCAAACACCTTGTTCACTAAACATCTATAGTTATTGAAATAAAGTTTAGTAATAAGTTAATGGCAAGGTGGACATAAATAATATTAAGTCTCAACATTTTTTATTTAGCCCCTGAACTAGATTTGAACAAACAACGGTGATTAATTTACCCACTATTTTTTTACAATCCTGTAGTTTCGGTAAAACCCTGAGCAGATCCCAAGGGATGTTGGTGCAGCAATATAATCAAAATTTTTGCTTTCTAATGATGGACTAAGGACAAAAAGGACACTCAAAGTAACTGTAAATAAATCCTTTTTAAATTTATTTTTTATTTGAAGGCTTAGTCAATAAATATAAATGAGTTCATTTACCCAGGCTCCAGATTGCTAACAGTAGTGTGTCCGAAAGACCGCTCTTCCGCTTGTAAATAGCCTTGAAAGTTGATAGGCAGAACTACAGACAGGGAAATAACACATATGATCGCCACCAGGACGATTATGTGCCGTTGGAAAGACAAGTATTGGACGGCATCATACCCACTCTTGGCAAGGATGTTTTCATCCCTGAGAAACACGCATTATCATCACAAAACTAAATTAATATAAATAAATCATTCAATACTAAATCGTTGAAAAAGTAGCGGAAACAAGACTAAACTTTGATGAGAAAGAAAGAATCATTACGTTTCGTAGACCAAATTGAATTATGACAATCTGGAATTTCTAGATAAACACATTTCTTTGACCAGAGCTTTAGGATCAATTTGCATGTAACTAATTTTTCAGTAAGCTTTAACATCATTTTGATAACTAAAGTGCTTGATTTGCAGTGGAACGGCGTACAATTCCGGCACCTCATTGTTCACAAATCGAGCACTGACTAAAGTAATTTGAAAAATACTTTCACAATAGTTTGAATCTAGTAGTTACATAATTGACAAAATAGTCCAACATTTAGGCCTATCAAAATATTTTAAGCACCACATACTGTACTTTCATAACATACAAATAGCAGCATTTTAAAGGTAATTTTCTCTTCATGGATTCAATTCAGCAACTTACTTGATCTTAAATATAGCAATTATCCAGGAACAAAAGCCCCGGTCAATGTGTACTGTTGAGTCAAGAGATGTGACAGAGTTCACCTCCGTGGCTCCGACTACGTCATCCAGCGTACCGTAGAACAGCTGGGTCCACCTGAGAACCAATCAGAACATGAGTAAACTCTACAGGAAGCTGAAAATATCAAGAGCCTGATTGTATTATTTTGATCTACTCTTTACCTCTGGGGCTATTATACAAAAACAGGTCTATTGTCACCACCGATTGTAGAACATACAGGCTACGGTACGGTAGTTTTGATAACCAATGGACAAAAAAGACGATAGTTATACGTACTTGGTTTAAACAGTAAAAATATATTTTTCTGTTTGAATCAGCTTTATGAAAGTATAATATTTTTATAATTTAAGGAACTTAAAAAAACCCCTGCCAAAGCCCCGCCGTTCAGAACTTTAAGCCTAAAGCATTAGCTATAAACACAAACTTCGGAAGGACAATAGTCAATGACTAAACAATGTTCCCACGACTTCACAATATTGTCCATTACTTGATAATATTATCATAGATAAAACATACTCCCTTAGTAGATTTCACATCCTTATGGAACAGCTGAGGACAATTTTATTGTTAGTTCTGTATGGTTTATGTAGAAGTCGTGTTTTGTTTACAATTTGTTTCCCGTTATTACAGTCATTTAAAACCTCCTTTAACCAAATAATACGATCTAATCATAAACAGTAACTTGTCCCCTAGTTATATAACCAAACAGTAAAGCACAAATCAATAAATTGACCCTAAAATAGTAGAAACAAAATTTCGTCGACACTAGCGCCCAGTGTCACCGTACATGAACTAGACACAAAAAACGTGCTTTTTAAAATTTACAATGGGATGAGAAGTCTACTTGTGTTGGTTAGTCTATGATGTTATCAAGACAATATGTCTATGACCTGACAATATGTCAATGACTTGCAAATATGTCTATGACTCGACAATATGTCAATGACTCAAAGTACCTAACCATGTCTTGTCAATATGCCCACGGTTTTTGTAAGATGGGTAGATGAACAGAATCCTAATTTTATCTAACAATATCGGTACATAATGAGTTTAAATCATAAATAATGTAATCTTTAACAGAGAAAATAGGTATCATATTTTCTAGACAATCTTTAGAGAAGCTATGACTATATTAAAATAAAAAAATCATACCTGCCACTAGGGTTGTTTTCAAGATAGTGGAGTACCCTCGTAATAGGGACAGTAAGGTGAGTAAGAGGGAGGGAGGAACGAGGTCTGGAGTTACTCAGGTTAGGGTCCAGGAGAGGTCGGATCTCTGGACCAGAGGGTGGCGGAGGACTGACAAGCAAACAGAGCATTTAGTAGCCTCAGGGTCAATGACTAAATAACCCCGCCACAGCAAACCTGCAGACTAAGCGAATTTCAACTTGTCTGATTACATTTTTACTAAAATATTTCCATAAATAAGACATATTTATTCCCAATTTAAATAATGATTGATTTAATGAGTGAGCGCTTAGGTTTGCTGCTACGGGGAAGGTAAAATGGGTTTTTTGACCATACGTCAATAGTATAGGATGAAATAAATTTGTAAAATTTTATCAATATATATCCATAAACAAGTAAACTACAACAGATTTCATTTTCTCCATAAGAATAACATGGGAAATTTTAATTACACTTTTTTTTAATTTTCTCCGTGACCGTTAGGCATACAACAGCGCTTCAATATACTAAAATTATTTATTTTTATAAGCTCTACAAAACGGTTTAGAAAGAAATTGAATTTTTTTTGTTTTTAGGGTCAAAAATGGGAAAACCCCATTTTTACCTTATAAAACCCCCCATAAACCCCCGTTCACATGGTCCGATTATGCTGGTTTGCGAACTCGTTTAAAAAAACGTAGGTTTACACGTTTGTACCAAATTTAACGGATGGTGTTTTTGGCCTCTAGGGACCTCAAAACAAAAAATTAAATCGGTCCCGGGTCCAAGTCTTACCATGAGTACTACGGTAATAGATTGTTCCCTATATGGGAAATTCGCTAAAAAGTCACTTAAGTTTTTGAAAAGTCATTAAAAACAAAAAAGTATTAGAAATGGTCTACAATGTCAAAGAGTACCAAAGAGTTGAAAATTCATTCCAGAGTTAAAATGAGGAGTCTTTTACTAAAACCAAATTAGATACAAATTAGATAAGTGCCAATTAGGAACTTTGTTCGAACCTCTTGAATTTGTAATTGTTATTTGATAAACGGGGGGTTTCTGATAATCCAACATACTTGCTTCCTTGTTTTCCCGATACCCCCCCATATAATTTAACGGTGGCCAATACATGGGTAGATCACATATTTTGAAAAGTAGCATGGCCTGAGTGTGAATTTAATGTAGGTACATATCTTTTGTGGACACCCTGTAATTTAAATTTAGCTACCTTTCTCAGATATTTTACTGTTTTTGTTGAGTAATGTTATGTTAGGTTGGATTGGAATGGGTTTTGTATTGTTTATTTTCATACGGGAAAAATGGTTCTTCAAAAAAGATCTACTTAAATTAGGGTATCAAAGTTATTTGATAACTAACTGAAAACTATCCATAGTCAAAATGTTTTCAACTTAACGGTAATATATTGGGGGATATTTAATCCATGGCAAGACAAAGATCTGTATACTGGGATCTTGCCAAAACTCTTTACCAAGGTCAAGTTTACCAATACATATTGACACACACACATTTGTGAACGGATTGCGTCGTTGACAAATATAAGGACTATCGCCAATGCTGTGGAACTCAAAAATGTTTGTGAACCAAAAAACTAAATCTTTATTCTTTTGGGCACATTGTGTGATTAATGGTTATTTAATAAAAAAAAGTTTAGGAACAGTTGAAACACTAAAAAGTACCAAAATAAAAAAAATATACCATCAAAAAGTGTTTATGATAGATTTTAAACCAAAGATTGATATGCATAGGCTACTCTGTTTTACTGTTCCAACAGAAGTAATACAAGCATCTATGTTTTATTACGACTACGACTACTACGAGACATAATCCAACAAGGTTATCAACGAGGGTTAGGTTCAATCGTACAATGATATCTAAAAGCTTACGTAGAAGATAAGCAAGCATGTGAATGACTGTAAAGTTTTAAGAGTTCAAAATCCTTTATTGTTTTTCAGATAAACCCTATTTTTATCTTACATAATGCCAGCGAGTATCAAAGAAATGTGACTAACTTGTGAACGTGCTATGAATCTGCTAGACTAGGGTCATTATCTAACTGTTAAAAATACTCAGAAGTAAACTGACTCAGCTATCAGTCAGATATCATTTCCAAGGCCAAACACAAAATAAAGAAGAAAGCCACAAAGTTTTGCAATATTTATCTACGATTCACTCTCCTACTTTATCTAACTAGGCCAAAAGAAAGTTTTGTAAAATTTGGACAAAAATTAGTAAACTCACAACTAATAAAAGTGGTTTATTTTTCAAACATGCTTTTACACATCATGTATAGGCCTATTTTTTTAAATCGAAAAATTTGGTTCTTCAACGTTTAACATTATAGACTGATATTAGACCTTCTAATATTATGAAGTTGGTGTAATACAAATTTGTATGTATTAATTTTAACATTTTAAGTAGAATATGTAACAATAGAAAAAACTACCCAATCAAATTACCTCAACCACTAACAATTTGAAATGTTCCAAAGAAAATTTTTCACAAACGGATTAATTAACTGTATAATGATTTAATTATTTCTGTACATCTACATAATTAAATCTACAATCACATAAAATTGACTTTTACATAATATTTCCATATCATTTTCTTTTTATTAAACATAAAATTTTTTTTTTTATATTAAGTGTGTATTTAGATATTATTTATTTAGTTATTTTAATTACTCAAGTTTTAAACAAACGCTTTTTTATGCATACTGTTTAAATGATAATGAAAAATAACCAGCCTTAGGCCTACATGTTTAACAAAAATATGACTAGAACCAGGACAACCATTATAAACTTTACCCAAGGCACCTTCAAGCTCCATTACCTTATTTACCAACAATTCAACTTACACTGTACAACCATGCACTTAACTTACAAGAAAACATTGAGAGAATACCTTTCTTCGTTTTTTTGGACTAATGCGAGCCTCCCATAATTCCACGCTCGTTTTCTCAAGCATGCGAACAGGGTAACCAGCATCTACCGAACCAGACCAATGTTAGTATGTTAGAACAAACACCACAACACCACTTAAGCACTCAAAAATAAATAATTGCTTATGATTATATCTCACAAAAAATTGTACGCCCCATTGCTTTAAAAATATTTAGGTTTGTTTTGTGTTTAAATAAGGTTATTACACTCAAATTTTATGAAAATTTAATTAAAATCATCATTGCCTAAAAAAAAAAAACAAAAAAAAAATACTCTAAACACACAAATGGACTAACAGTTATGTATAGAAGTAATTTTGGTTGCGGTAACCATTAAAATAACACAAACATAGGCAACTTTAAGTGTGTAAAGCCATCAAGAATAAACTTTATACAGGTAAAAAAAAAAAAACACAATACGTGAGAGTGGTTTTATCACCAATGCATATTCGCCATATAATCTTTTCCCAATAAATAAAAGTTACCTTTGAAGGATTAAAGTCCAAATGATATATATAGCAATCACCAAAAAATGGGTTTATTACGATAAATAACATTTGTTAACGTTCACAAGAACACAGTTCATTGAATTTTGAACCATCTCAGACCATAGAAACTAACTGTAAATAAACTATTGCATACGGAAACGGAATATTTCCATTTTTATTTGTTGGACATCGACCTAAACTACACTATTTTGTGAAACATAATCAAATAGTACAAAACTCAAAGAAAACATGAAATTAAATTGAGACCTAACAATTAATAATCACTAATTGCTTAGGTAGATTTGATATGGAAACCAGCAAATGGTATGAAATTTTTCATTTTGTTTGCAAAACGTGTACCATAGTGCAGTAGGAGCAGTCACAGTTTGAAGAACCCGAGCTTTTCTAGTGAAGCCTATTTCACTGATATTTAGAATACAAAGTGACACATAACCTTATCACTGGAGGCTTATCAATCAAGTAACTCCCACAAGACAAGATAATTTAGATGCTATCATGACAACAAGGGAGTGTCAATATATATAGAATTTCTCTGCTTTGAATGGAGGTTTATTTTAAACTTATGATTCAATTTAAAAAGTTTAACAATAATCTCAAAAAATCTTTGGTGAGATATTACTACTCTTGAAACCACATTTATATTTAACATCACAGGTTTATTTAGTATTTCAGTGGCGATGAAAAAATGAAAGGATGGGATGCACTGTCTTTTACGAGTTTGCAATAATGACTTATCTGTAATAACTCTTAGTCCACATTAGGGATTTATATTGAAATATTTAAGCATAATATATATTGCTAAAACTTCGTAACAAAGAAGATGTCCTAACAAACCAAGCTACACCCCAGTCAATTTTAACTAAGATTCAATTAAACTAGTTCAATTTTAACTAAATTTTAAACTAGTTTGAATTAACGAGAGAATAAAATGACAAAAAATAGTACATTCATCAAATTTTTGTTTTTAATTTGATTTCTACACTTTTACTGGCAAACAATGTAGTTAATTAAGAACAGTCTGTTGCCAATCATTTAGTTCAAAACTATGAGTTGGTAATATTATTTAATTACCAAAAGTCCATATTTAATTTATTAATTGCTGAATAGATAAACATGAACTTGCTCTCGCTAGAGTTGAACGATAAAATTACTACTTCAACAACGCAAACACAACAGACAATAATAACACTTGAAAGATAAAGCTGTTTGCAAATGACATGAGTGTAATTGACAGCTAGAACTAAAATAAAGAAGTGCTGAATAGAGTTATTAAACCTGTCAATTCAATTAAATACATAAATAATTCCCTGTGTGTCTTCAATACAATGGAGCGCCTGGGAATCAATCAATACATATTATCTTCGTAACCCAGTTGCCCAACCAGCGTGTGAACACTTTCCTGCCGAACCGGCTAACTGGCCAGTTGAGAGTTTGGTTGAAATAATAAAAAAAGGTATCAGCAAGCACATACTTTCTCCAATCAGCTTGTCAACAACATAAATAATGGGTAAACGGTAGGAGTAACGATGATATTTTATGGGTAAAGCCACAAAAGTTGCATAAATTTTGAACCGTAACTTTTATGGAGTTGTTCAATTTGTTTGGAGTTAAAAAGGACCACAACATACTCAATTTTTAATCAATACGATTATTCTTGCCGTTTTTGTGATAATCCGATTTGTTGTTATATGGTTTTCCCGTTGTTATATGATATGGGTTTTAAAGGGAAAACTATCATTGCAATCAACATTTTCAAAAAGTGAAAAAAACCTGGAGATACCAGGAGTAGGTCTCCAATAGGCCTACCAAATTTGATCAAAATCAGATCACAGGTGTAGATTGTACCCATCCACACATACACATAGACATCACTTCGAAATCCACTTTTTTGGTTCAGGGTGACCCACAACGGATATTTCCACCAAATACTCATACTGTAAAATTTTTACAAAAAATATTTTTAATAGAGGCATAGCCTACAATGTAAAGGGCGATGAAAGTAAAAAGTGCAATCAGAGCTTAAAAGTTGATTTTTTGTAAGAATGCGATAAAAAAAGTAAAAAATGTTTAAGCCTATATAAATAAACCAATTTCAAACCTTTTATTTGAATACCATAAGGTCTTTTGAATAATTTGTATTTAAATTAATTGTAAACAAGAATATGCAGCAGCTTTCAAGTTTTTGTTGACTTAAACTTTACATTCAAAAGTTATATATTTTATCTCTTGAAATTAAATTCAAGTTTTGTTATAGTAGTTGTTAAAACGTTTTTAAACACATAATGTTGAAACTAGTATTCTATTTGTAGTGTTCTGTAAAAATAAATTGCCACACTAAAGCACCATAATTTGCTTAGCTTGTGTAAGAATACATTTGCCATCACACTAAATTACCTATGTCGAACTAAAAATTATAAAATGAAAAAAAACATTGGTTCTTCCAAATTATATTCCCCCCATTTGATATGTCAAACAACAATACATTTTGTATTTGATAAGTGGCAAAATACAGAACAACGATTATGCTGATAAATCTGTTTAAGCATGGATTAAATGTGGTTATTGTAACGTTCAACACAAGACTCAAACACACAGCTTAGCAAACAATGTCAGCAAGTAATTGAGCAATCTAATAACTGAGTCATCAAGTCTATTATAGACTCGGGTTAAATCATATGGTAATTAAATCACGACATTATCAGATGTGTCAGAAGCATCTTAAACAGATGATGTTCCATCATCGACATATTGACATATTAATCATGTTCAAAATATCATAACATTTATCTTGGGATCTCATTTATATATAAATTATGAATATTGTATAATCTTGCAATGAAAACATGCCTGGGCCTGCAAATTGCATGTAAATATACTCATAATGACACAATGAGCCTATTGACAAATTTTTCTTGATTCCCCTACCTTTGCTTAATGTATATTGCACATAAATAATGGTTGCAATAACTTTTTGTTTATAGTTATGTTTTTATGTTTATTTACAAAAATGGAGAAACCGTTGGGATAAATACATTTAAAAAAATATATAAGCACTGCAGTTTAAGACAGTTTTCAAACACCCAAAACACTAAAGCGGGGTAATTCTGACCCCCCAGGGGTAACATTGTCCCCAGGGTATTAGGTATTTTTTTAATAAAATAAATGTGGGGGGTCAATGTCACCCCAAGACACAGCGTAATATTGACCCCTTTTGTTATTTTTTAATGATTAACCTATGACCATAAAAAAACAAATTAATTCTTGGAAGGTATTCACACAGTCCCTATGTATCATTATAAACATCAAACAATCCATATAAAAAAAAAATTAATCAATAAAAACATCAACAAAGGTTGTCAATTTATCTTTGGTTGACATATGTACGCTCACTCTCCGTGTGAAGTGTTCCAAGAATCAAGGCAGCCACGAGCACTTCAATAAGGAAGAAAATGTAGAGGATTCTGATTAATTACCCTCATCTCAGAAAAAGAAAGAATACAAACAGTGGATCAGAGTTTACCAAAGGAATCTCTTGAACATGTGACTAAGGAAGATTCGTTTGGTTTTGGGAAACACAGTAACAAAAATCCAAAACAAATTGGTTAAAAAGTATTTAATTTTGTAAGGGGCAATGTTCTATATTAAGTCTAGCAATTACAGACACAATCATCTTTTTAGCAGTTTATTAGCTCTGTGAAAGTTATTTACTGTGAGTATACTCTATGTATAGGTACCGGTACCGATAATTAACATTAACAACTGTTCTTAATCACTGTTCTTAACTAAGGAACTTGACCGTTTTCTTAAGGAGCCGTACAATGATATTTGAAGGAATTTGCTAAAACTATGCACAGCACGACCAATCAAGGTTCACTGATCGCCTGGATTAATGACGATCTACAAACCTATTTGTCTGCAGACAGTTTGAATGCCAACGAATGCACTACTCTTTAGTTGGTAAATTGAAGCAGCAGCTTATTATTTCAGACGAAGCCCGGAGCATTCGGAATTTGGCAGCTGTTTGGTATTTGGTCTGTTTACATTATAATGGGTTCTTAAAATTAATTTGTTACTTTATTCTTAACCATTCAATTATAGTAATAAAGAGGTACTTACAATCCATCCAAGAAAGTTAAGCAGTAGGTTTTCTGGTATTCCTTCATACGCTGGAGTAATAATTCGTCCAGTTGTGCGGTTGTAATATATACACTTTTCTTTTGTTACAACAGAATTGTTCGCTGACAGGTACTGCTCTTCATTATAGTTGACCAAGCCAAATACAGACATGATGAGGTCTGTAAATAAAATGAAAACAAAAATCCAAGCACACTACTAAAATTAGCCTATCAGTTATACTTAACTGGCTGTCGATAAATTAAGGTCTCAACGAGCTTCCATCGAAACAGAGCCAACTAGTGCAAATCTAACACTATCCTCGTCCTTCACTTCTTTCACAAGCTACTATTTTAATTTTGAAGTGACCTAAGTGTTGCCAGTCAACGTTCCTGGTCGTGGAAAGCAATGGGATATTGTTTTTTTTCAATGATAGACCTACCGGTACCAGAACAAAAGTATTTATTTTTATGTTGTTTAAGTTAGGATATGTTGTGGATTTAGGATATTATTGAATGTAAGTTAAGTTAAACATCTTGTAGGCTAGCCTATATTTACATCCAAAGCCATCATCAATAAAGCTATTCCAAAGCGTACCGGTACCTATTTAGTGTAATTCTTGGATCAAGGTGTTTGATCATGTCACTACTGATCAAACGAACTGTGTGTTTGCTAACCTAAACATCGATAAAATATCCCCCTGGGAGATCCTTCCGAAAAATCAAAACTAGGCCTACATTAGTAGAAAAAAATCATTAAGTTACATAGGCTGTCAGTTTCAAAACCTATGAAATGAAAGTTAAGATTATCTATATATTAGGCCTAATATAGGCAAGCTAAGCAAATTTTTTTAAAGAAACATCTTTAAAACATTTTTTCTTAGCTCGTGTGCATTGCAGGGAAAATATATGCTTACTGTTGGAAAGATGTTTGCCTGTAGATGTGCAGAATGCCTTTATAAATTAAAATAGGCTCAAAAATAAGCACAAAATTCAATTTAAAAAATTAACATGGGCCTTACGGGTTGCCAAGCTGGTGACGAAATATGAACAGAAAATCAAAACAAATTAAAGGAATTCCAATCACATGCTTTCTTTACAGCGTGGGGTGAAAATAGAGAAGTCCGTACATTCATAGACAAAAGAATTTAATATAGACCGCCAGCTGTGCTGCGGTTACCACAGGTTCTGGCACACACCGCTAGGAGTGCCATGTAGTTACGGCCTACACACGTAACTACACGGCGCTCCCAGCGGTGTGCGTCAGAACCTATGGTAACCACTTCACGGGCCTGACAGTCTATATTTAGGCCTAACTCTTTTTGTCTGTGGTACATTACATATTTTGTTCGGATTTTTTACCACTGGACGACCTCTAGTGTTTATAAAAACATGACAACATAATTTTCATGTAGGCCAGGTAAGATTGAAAACTGTAGGTACATAGGCCTAGATTGGCTAGAATAACTTTTTACTCAAACTAAAATAATTAACTTATTTTATTGCATCTATGTTTATTTAAGTCAAGACAAAGACAATGTCTGCAATAGTGTTCTAACAGTAGAGGCTACATTTCTCATAAATTAACAGTGAAGTTTCTTACAAAACAACGATTACATTTTAAACATAGCCTAGCCTATTGAGATAAAGGCATTGATGCTTAATACTATTAAATGATTACTTTTTGTAATCCAGATCCAAAACAAATCAAAAAACTTAAAGTAACCTACTAGTTCTTAGTTCTATAACTTCTCTGCATTGCAAGAGAATGAATGAACAACTTGCATTATGTGTAGCCTACACAAAACTAAATGCAGATCCTACGATAATCCTTAAATAATTAATTTCATGGATCTACTTACTTACGTTATGATGAGATAAGTCATCAAGGGAATACAGACTCAAATAATATAAGTCTGGTATACAAACATTTCCAAATTTGGGTGTAGAATGTTAGTAACTTAGTAAAAATATAGTTTAATCACAATATTGTAGTACTAAAATACATGGTTTCTAGTCAGTTCCTGTCGACGTTTGTCGTCTGTCACCAATACTACTATTGACAAGCTCGATATCATCAAGATATATCTATAAACATCACCTGGATTGTTGCCTTTTTTTTAAGTGTTCTATATTTTTCATCAGGTTGACAGACAACCTATATGCACAGGCTATTGGATTTCAGATAGTTCTCTTCGATCACATACATATTTGTGTTACAACAGATGCAGCAACGGATTTACAATATAGGAGTTTAATCCTATTAATATTCCTAGGCCCCGTCCTAACAGGAACGGCGTGACCGAAAATAGTGACAGATTCAGATACATGGTAAGTAATGGGAGTATCCTAGCCTCCTAGCTAAGCAGCAAAAGCGACGTCGCGCTTCAAGATAAAAGAATGTTTGTTCTGTACTGTATTTGGTAGCGCTACACCAACACCGCACCGGTGACAAGTTGGAGTGGCATCCACTCAAGGCCGCCTTTAACTCCAGGCCGTGGCCTTCGAAATGGCAACGTCGCAAGTGGTGTTGCCAGTGACACAGTGTTCTGTGACACAGAAACCACATCTATCTGCCTTCAAAACAATCACCCAACATGAACTCGACAAGCTTTTCAAAATCCTTCCTCCAAAATCTTCGTGCGGACTGGATAAAATCCCAAACAAAATCCTAAAGTACTGCAAGAATGAACTGATCCCACCCTTGACAAATATCATCAATACTTCCATAATACAAGCCACAGTTCCACAAGCCATGAAACAAGCTCTGGTCTACCCCAAATTCAAGAAAGGAGATACCACCCTAACCGAAAACTATAGACCAATTTCAATATTACCGGCCCTATCCAAATATCTGGAAAAAATAATCAACTCCCAAATAATAACTTTCCTGGAAAACAACCACCTATTAAGCGACAACCAGCACGGCTTCAGAGAAAAGAAATCCATAAATACCGCTTTGGCTCAACTCTGCAACACCATAACCAATATCTGGGAGGATAAAAAAACAGCAAACGGCATATTTCTAGATCTCCAAAAAGCGTTTGACAGCCTAGACCATAACCTACTTCTCCAAAAAATATCAGCCCTAAACATCAACAACAAAGCTCTAGACTGGATAAAAAGCTACCTTCACAACAGACAACAACTCATTGAAATTGAACACCAAAGTGGCAACTTCATTACCAAGTCCAGATCAAAACTGCAAACCATCACTCAAGGCATACCCCAAGGCTCGGTACTGGGACCCCTGCTCTTTCTGATCTACATAGACACCTTCCCCACCCTCCTACCAGCAGACAATACATGTATAATGTTTGCCGACGACACGACCATCATAGTCCCGGGCACACCAACACCCAACCTAACAGAAAAAACAATAGACACAGCAAAAAAATCTGCAATAGCCTAAATCTCCGAATCAACGAATCTAAAACTGTCTGCCTGAAATTCACACCAACAAACAATCCTTCAACCCAAGAAGACACAACAAATGCCAACCCCACAACCAAATTCCTCGGCATCATTCTTGACCAGCAACTAAACTGGCACCCCCACTTGGAAGGGCTCCAGCGAAGACTCTCATCAGCTATCTATGCCCTTAGAAGCCTCAGGGAAATCACTAACGAAGAAACCACCAAGATGGCTTACCATGGAATCTTCGCTTCACACCTGAAATTTGGCCTAATTGCATGGGGAAGTGCCAGCGAAAGCCTATTAAAAGAAATTCAAATCATTCAAAAGAAAGCAGCCAGAATCATAGACCAATCCCACTACCTTGAACACTGCAAGCCCCTTTTCATAAAACACCAAATCCTAACCCTAACCTCCCAATACATATTTGACACCATCAATTTCATAAAACAAAATCCGCCTGAAACCAGACAAACATGCCACAACCACAACACCAGATCAAAATCAAACTATAACACCCAACAAAACAGACTAAATAAAACCAACAAAAACCCTACTGCAATGGGAGCAAAACTCTACAACCTACTTCCACAACATCTCAAAACAATAAATAACACAAAAAAATTCACTGCTGCACTAAAAAACTACCTCCTTCAAAGACCATACTACACCATCAAGGAGTTCTATGAAGACCACAACTACTACATAGGGCTACTATAAGAAGAAGTGAGAAAGTAGTAAATGACGATTCTCCAGTCTCTACGACTGCGATGAAGAGGACGTATGTAAGATGTATGTAAGATGTAAGATGTTGTAACAGCTGATTTTTTTGGAAGCAACTAATGGTATCTGTGTATTTACGAAAGATTGATTACTGGACTATGACAATATTGACTCCGCTTAAAAATGTACAGATATAGATTTTAATTCATATTGTTTCAATTTTCAATTCTGCATGTTTTATTTTCAATATTTTAATAAATTTATGTTCATAAATTAAAAATTAAATCAATAAAGTGCGAATTAATGAGCTGATGTCACCTGTCTACCATGTTATCTTATGGGACATCTGTCACTGAACAACACCACTTGCGATGTTGCCAATTCTACCAGGCCGCGGCCTGTAGTTAAAGGCGGCCGTGCATCCACTACACCGGCACACCCACTACCACCAACATATTATACGACTAGGAAAATACTAGTCGCAGGAAGGAAAATACTACTACTACGACTAGGAATAGGAGTAATATGCGATTCTGCATATTACTCCAGGCCGCGGCCTGGTATAATTGGCAAAGTCGCAAGTAATGTTGTTTAGCGCCAGACGTCTAGACGTCCTATAATATAACAAGGCAGACAGGTGACACCAACTCATTAACTGGTATATATTAGACATTTAAATGTAAATTTATGAATATAAATTTATCAAAAGATTGGAAATAAAAAATATAGAATTGAAAACACAAACAAATATAAATTGAAAATCTATTTCTGTGTTCTGTACATTAGAAATGGAGTCAATATTATCATAGCCCCAGTAACCAAGGTTTCGTATACTACTTTGTTTAAAGTATTTTAAAGTTATCTAAGACCTATCTGATAACCTTATACCATGCCTTATTTCATAGCCATTTGATGTACGGAATAGTGCTTTAGGGACACTCCCCTGCATGCCATGAAATACTTCTGTTACAAAAAAAAAACTGTGAGGGTGATAACATCTAAAGGCCCTAGAGAACATTGCCGACCCATCTTCAAAGAATTGGGAATCCTCACAGTGGTGAGCCAGTATGTACTCAATAGTCTGGTCTTGCTAAAGGAGAACCTTAGTGATTTTGTGACCCGTGGTGATTCGCTGCAGCTTGAGCCATACCTTTGGAGATACCCCCGCTCGGCTATTAAAATCTACAACTCCCTTCCAAACCACCTAAGGAACCTCGACTGTACAGCGTTTAAGACCGAGCTGAAGAACTTGCTCACAAATAGGCCCCTGTATAGTCTTGACGAGTTGTCAAATGATCCTTTAATGCCAGGTCGAGAAACAGACATGCTTACCACAGCCGAAGTTTTAAGTTTTTGGAATTTTGTTAAGCAAGTTTTGTTAATAATAATTTTGTAAATATTAGTATAACGACGCAATCTATCCGATATACTTCGGTCAAAGATTAAGACAACAAGTATACACGTAAGTCTTATTTTATTTTCTTACCCCAAATGCAGTACATAATGGAAACCTTTAGGTGCCCTTTACTCTTTTGGCGTCCTTTTTTATTGAAATTGATTAGAAAGTAATGAAAATCAATGGTCTGAACCTGGTCAATCAATTAAGCTACACGTATCAAAAGTTCAACCTTTCTCTGAAACAGCTTTTTATTGTTCAGAAAAAGATCAATCGAAAGAAGAGAAGAAGTTTATGAAAGTATTCGTTCGTTGCAGGTTGCTGCAGAAGCATCAACCTATTTCGATTATTTATTTTGTTTATGTGGAAATATTTTGTTTATTTAAATTAAATCCTGCATTTTTAATCATGGAGTTTATCGTAGCAAGTGTTGAAAATATGAAATTTAATATTGAAATAGCGTTAGAAGAACAACATGGATGCTTACCATTACCATTTTCTGGAATGGATAGTATGTAACTTAGGCTAAACCTATACGCATACTTTTAAGGTCTCGTTTTAACTTAAGCTAGCTTACATTACATTTAATGGTTAGCTTTAACTGCATTTATATTATGAATTTCCAAATTCTTTCAGTGAATAACTTAGGCCTAGGGTATTTCTATCTAATTTTATTTTAACAAGCTTACAACAGAAGCCTTAAACCTAATATAAAATAAGTAGCCTAAGTTATTGCCTTGCGTATAGCCTAGTAACATTGGCGTTTTATATAGTGATGGGAGCAACTGATTGAAAACAACCAATTCAATCGATTAGTCGGTTGTTCTCCCGGATATGCTTGAAACTAGTCACTTCATACTCCCGGTCCTACGGCGACTAAGTTAGATCCAGTCAACCAATCGTTGGAATAACTGGAAACAGTCAAACGTCGGTGATTGTAACTAATATAGTCGTAAGAACCACTGTTACTAGTTGTTGTACCACAAGTTACTGTTGTTGAGGTTGAGACTGACTTGTAAATGAAAACTGTTATAGATAAACTCGTACTGTACCTACACAAATTGTGAACAGTGTTAAGGTAGGCCTATAATTAAAATAATGTAATTTGGTAACTAGGCTACTCCGTATAAGTTAGGTGCCTCCAAACAAATTTTTAATTTTGATAAGCTATCTTACCTACTTTGTAGTTTTTTCCCTCCTGAATCCAAATTACAATTTTTTATCTCCGCTGATGAATAGGTTCTCAAGATATCGCCGTAATAGGCCTAATATACAACATTACAATAAACAAGGTAGGATGGATGACATTTACAAGTGGAATTAACTATGGGTTCATGCAAGCATTTTTGAAATACTGTAGGCCTAGTAATTTAAAGTGTTTTTCTCAGGATTTCAATTTTACAAAAACAGTCTGCATAAACTAACAACTCGATACATTAACTTATAACCTAAACTTTACCTTCCTAATCTAACCTAACATCAAAACACTTAATGCAGTCACCAATCCGTATAAAGCACGACCTACCACCCTGACATGCCTAAATAAGAACTAGGCCTAGGCCTACATGTAATTAGTCCACCAGTCCATCTATACATCCATAATGTGACGAAATGCCCATTATAGAAAACAATTTCATAGAAAACAAAGGAATATTGTTTTACTGAGTTTAGTTTGAGATAGTAGGACCACTGAATAATTTATAACTTGTCCTGTATAAACTAAATGTTATTAAGTGCCTAATAATAAGTAGTCCTACAAAATGTAAACACAAAAAACAAACAATAAATCAACTACAAAGTCTCAACAGTTTCCAGTAATATATGATCTTCCTTGCATGATTTTCATAATATTTGCATGATTATGATTTTCCTTGCAATGACTGAATCCATTGCGCCGAATGAACATCACCAGTTGTAGTGGAATTCACTCGGTTTTTCATTCAAATGAAAAAACCGACTGGTTTTAAAAACAACCGATTGACTAGTCGATTGTTTTTTCCAGTAGGTTGTCCCATCACTAGTTTTATGTGGGTATTAACTAAGTAGGCCTACCTATGTTAAAATTAACATACTAAGTAACTCATCTAAAATTAAAAGTAATAGGCTACTAAGTAACAAAAATTGTAAATTCAAAATTCCCATGTTATTTTTATGCAGAATATTGTAAAATGTTGTAGTTTGCATGTTCGGGTAGACTTCCATATCTATTGGCACAAACAACTGAATGAAAATATTGATTATTCTATTGTTTCATTCGATACCTTACCTAACTAACCAAACGATATATTGAATTATCGATATATCGATCGATATTTTCATTTGGTTGTTTGTGCCAACAGATAGAAATCTACCCGCTTGTTCACGGATATATAACTTATTTTGATCAAACTTGGCATTCATTTATTTCAATACTAAGCTAGGCTATTAATATTTTACTAAAAAAACACACTTTATTAGTTTCCTTGTAGCAGCAAACCTAGGTAAGTTACTTGTTAAACCTAATGTTATCTTAATAGGTTTAATTGAAAATCAATTCAGACAAATGGAAATTTGTTTATTCGGCAGGTTTGCTGTGGTGGGGGTATTCCTGAGGATTAATACTTTAAGTGATCAAGATCATCCATCTACAAACTTTTATAAAACATATTTCCTTTTCTTTTTAAAAATTTTGAAAATTGTTTACGTACGGTATACCTAACTTATTGCATTCTTCTAAAATGTTGCAAATGTTGAGCTGTTGGATTGGAGCTTCCCAGTTATTACTTATTAATACCAGTAAGGAATCCCCTTCATCTCACCTAGAGACAAGGTGGGATTCAGAGTTTTAGGGTGGGGAACCTTTACATAGGCCTAACTTAATTATTTAAAGGAAAAAGGGTAATTAGCCTGGGCAAGGGGTAATTTATATGAATACGGGATTGGCCCTGATTATTTCTGAAAATTGAAATTTTCTGTAAGTCTTTAGTCAATACCCACTTAACTTAAATTCTAATGGGTCTTTATGAGATATTTAGGATTTTCCAAACAAAACACAATCAAAGGCTAAACTTTGATCTTCCACTCGCATCATATTTAAAACAATGTTGAAACAAAAACTATTGTAGGCCTATTTTAAATTTATCAGTCAGATTGTGGAAAATTTCTGTGAACAATCGGCCAAGTCACTCAATAATAAACAAGATCATGCTAGTCTTCATGACTTGCAAGACTCAAGATCAAGCATTGCAATAACAAAATTTAAACAGCACACCATAAAGAACGTGATATCTTAAATCTAATTATCCATTTTTGTAAATAATAAAATTATTTACTACGACTACTATATTTTCCAAAATCAATAACTTAGAGGAAATTCAACTTAATCAGTGAACAAATAAACTTTTTTGTTGATGCCTATCATCATAAATAGGCTCTAAAACTTTCTTAGAATCATACACATATTCAACAACTACGAATCTTATTGCAGACAGTCATAAGTAGGTAGAACTTGGATATTTAACTCCTCCAGTCAAATTGTTTGTCATAGGTCTAACCCCTTTTCCCATTAATCAATCTTAGCATATATTACGAGTGGATTACTATAGATTGTGTTAATTTAATAATTAGGTAACATGAACCCACCTGTTAATTCCAGAATCAATTGCTGGTGTTTGTGAATTCTTCCCGAAAGGATCATGTGCGAAAGGAACATCATGTCCACTCAGACATGTCAAGGGAGACAGAACTATCGTCTGCAAACATTGGCTCCGAGGGCTTTGCAAAAAAGGAGATCTTTGCGAGTTCCTTCACGAGTACGACATGACAAAAATGCCAGAGTGCTACTTTTATTCCAGATTTAGTAAGTATGTAATATGAAATGGAAAACCTACAATGGCTATGCCAAATGAGACCATATTTATTTTCTCATTTTATTTGGTAATTTTCTTTCTTTTGGTATTTTTATGTATTTTGTAGTTTGTTAACCATCCATGCTGGAATCTGCTAGTACACTGGGTTGGGACAAGTTATCTCGATTTTGAGGGGATTATGACTAAGAATGTAATATTCAGAAAACATGTTCTAGTATTTGGTCAAGTGTATGGTTCTAAAAAGGATCCAAACAAGAGGGAGTTCACTGAAAATTCTACCACACAGAAAAAATAGCTTAATTGTTTTCAGTTCAATGTAGCAATGTAGCAGTGATTTTCTTTAATAATTTTCATATAGGCTTAAATGTTTCACAGCAATCAATTCTAAGTTCAACATCAAGCAGGGTCTATTATTCCATATTCACCGCAAGAGACTTAAGATCGACAACTGTCTCTGATGTGCCTGAGGAATATTAATTTGATAAAATGTTTAAATACCTGCTATTAGGCAATCGATTCAATTGCAGTTGCAACTAGTTTCGGATCCTATTTGGGTCCATCATCAGGAGGTATAAGGACGTTTCCTTTCTTCATATGAAGAGTGTCACATTTAACACATAAATAAATAAATAATAAATATTTATGTAGGACACAAACACGGAAAAACATTTATGGTTTTAAATTCATCAAAACTAATTTGCTCTTGAAAGGTTATCCAGCTATTAGTGTTGTATCTTATAGACGCCTGCCACAACAAGGAGTGTCCGTTTCTTCACATAGACCCGGAGAGTAAGATAAAAGACTGCCCTTGGTACGACAGAGGGTTCTGCCGGCATGGACCTAACTGCCGTCATCGCCATGTACGCAGAGTCTTGTGTATCAACTACTTAGCCGGGTTCTGTTCTGACGGACCAGAGTGCAAATTCATGCAGTAAGTCAGGCTCATTAATTTTTAGAGTTCAGCATGTGAAGACTTGCGTTCAATAATTCATGACGTTTTATTAGGCTGGTTTTGGAAGTGAAAATCTTGCTAGTTAGGCCTACCAAGACAGTGATTTCATGAAGGCTTTTTTTCACATGCAATTTTTTTCTTGGAAGGACCGGCTGTCAGTCTCATTGGATAGAGTTTAAAATTTATTCCGCTAAGTTTGGAATAAATCAATTAGAGAAGCCCAATTCGATCTCAACTACACATCTTTGCTTTTATGAAAACTAAAATATTCTTTCCATCATGTTTAAAAACTAGCTACTGGAGTTACTATGAAAAGCTTAATTTTTACCCATACTATTGATGTTGAGTTTTGTATCAGAGCTTAACCTGAAGCCTTCAACATTTCAAGCCCCAAACAACATATTCAACATAGCCTAGTTCAACATTTCTGGTAGTAAACATTGATTAGTTTCAGAAGCAACAGAAATAATAATGACAATGTTTACATTTACTTTATTTATATTTATTCTGTTTATACTGTTTATTTATTCAAACCAGTAGAATAATTTAGACTAGAGGCCATCCAGTGGTCAAAAACTCGGACCAAAAATAAAAAATATCTAATATACCGAATTCCCTATTTTCACCCCACGCTGTAAACTGAATGTGAACTGAAAATGTGATTGAAATTTCTTATATTTGTTTGGATTTTATGTTTATATTTTGTTGTTATTTCGTCACCAGCATGGCAAACCGTAAAGCCTATGTTAATTTTTTTTATATTTTAAATTAATTTTTAATGCTTATCTTTGAGCCTATTTTAATTTATAAAGGGATTCTGCACTCCTACAGGAAAATATCTTTCTAACAGTATGCGTAGATTATCCCTGCGATGCACACAAGCTAAGAAAAAAGGTTTTAAAGAAACATGCTTGCCTATTAATATATAGATAAATGAGATATTATGATTAATTTTGATATAATCACTTTGGAACACAGGCAGAATCTTTTCTAGTGTGTAGAGGTATCAAACTGATGTGTAGTACGCATTTGAATGAGCTATGCTTGAATTCATCAATGCTATGTTTGGTTCAAGCTACAGCATTCCTTCTATATGTGTTCAAAATGTGCGACTCGCTGACACAAGGTTTTTGCAGTCCGAGGTTCGAGCTGCCGGCAGCCGATGTTAATCAGAAGGAAGGCAAGAAAGTGGTGATTGTTTGTCACTTCTGCGGTGAGTCTGGACACAAAGCCCTCTACTGCCACAAGATGCCTGCGGATATGAAGGAGGCGGAAGCGAAACAATTGGTAAGCTTAGTTTACATCCATGAGATGTACTTAAAGATTCCTACTACGTAGATTGTTAAAGAAAGGTATCCAGCCGACAGAGCAAACTTGGAATTTAGGAAAATTTGTATGATTGGGTAGAAATGAGTGAACTCTACCTTAATTTTCTATAGGACTGGGAAATTTGCCGATTGTTTATTCTAATGTATCATAACCATTGTGAGAATTGCTGTTCATACTAGGAGATTCCATTTTTATCTTGTAAAAAGTAAAGATTTGGATATGGAATTTTATAATTCAATACGCTATCTGCAATTTTATCTGCAGTATATTTGATTGTTACTAATGTCTGTCATAACGTTGGTAAATTAAGTAAAAATTCGGTGTTAGAATAAGCAATAATTCATGTTGGTATAAATCTTTTCTTCTTGAATTGGAGTTAATTTCTAGGTTCTTTATATGTTTTCAATAAACATTTGGAGTTTTTTAAAGTAGGCCTAAGTTTTAACATCTAAATTGTTGTCTTTTGGGAAACCTGGAGTTGTTATTGAATTTTATTTTCATTGTTTGCTGGGCAAAGCAAAGGAGAGTGCAAGCTGCCAAATATGACTTATTGTAATTTTTTTCATCATCTGTAATATTTTTCCACTCTGTGATCATACCCCTGGTGCTTTTATAGGCAAAGCTCGATTCATTTCAATTCACCTTTTTAATACACTTTTCCATTTCAGGTCTTAAATGAACAAAGAAGGGAAAAAATACTAAACTTGTTTACATTTAGGTCAAGTACACTTTTGATGAAACAGGTTTATTATCAAAGGCGTAGTTGTGGAACAAATTAATTTTTCTTTACAAATACAATTTTTTTCAAATGTCCTAATCAAAGTTTTATGTTTAAAGGGAGTCAAGGTGCCACAGTTTATTACCAAGACGGACGAAAGTGGTAAAGAAATCATTATTGGTACCAAACCTGCACTCAAACCACTGGAGGAAGTCACCTGTTTCAAGGTAAAGTTCTCTTTAGTTTTTGCTTTTACTGTATTATTTGTATTTGTCTTTGTTTCTTGCTTAGAATAGCCTATCTGTAATTTACAGTGGAATACCTCTTTCATTTCTCATCAACGCAAAGTTTTTATAAACCTACTGAATTAGCTTTTAGTTCATTTTGCTTTAATTGCAAGGCATGGATGGATCCCACCTGTAGAAAAGGGGGAGGGACCTTGCTGTTTTCAAATATAACTTCATAGGCGGCTAAGAGTATTGATCCTTCAGCGAAAATTTTGTTTGATCATAATTATAAACGTGCATTTTAGGGCAAAATTATGAGGCTTAATATAAAGTTCAAACCTAGCCATGAATGCGTTTTAGTTTTGATTTTTTTCACATATATTCCCGAAGGAACGACAACAGCACCTATAGCCATCTCCTAGATCCGCTCATGCTGTACAGTTTTTTCCATTTGCGGGATTATTATCCCGAAAACAGGATTTTTAGACCTTGAGCGGGATTAAAACGGGATGCGAGATAAAACGGGATTTTCAGCTGTGACGATTATTTTTATTTTTTATACTTAATCTTAGAGAAAAACTAACTCAAATTGATTAAATACTGTAGCTAAATATAATAGTGATGTTTAAACAACTTTATAAACATGATACGTAAAGTATAATACTAGGTACGGTATTGTACAAAAAAAATAATGTGGGATAAAACAGGATTTTTCAAAATTTAAAAGCGGGATAAAACGGGATTTCTCGACCCAGTAAGCGGGATTACTTTTTTGGTCATGTGGAAACACTGATTTTGCTGTAAGGTATTTATTATATTCATTGGGTAAAGCAAAATGTATACAGAAAGATTATAATATTTTGTTTTAGGAATTAAAATGTTTTTAATATTTTGAATTAATATTTAATACAACTAGAATTAGGCCTACATAATTAAAAAAAATTCTATCAATGCCGTTTTGATTTCAGTGTGGATGCAAGGGCCACTATGCCAACAAATGTCCCAAGGGTCACCTGGCGTTTCTCGCTCTCAGTCAAAACCAAAATCAACCTAATCCTCAATACATCAAAAGATTATTATCATAAGTTTGCTTTTATAATTATTTATAATTTAATTTTAAGGTCAAATGAAGTGTATTTCTATCATAACTTTTTACTTCTTACCCTTTCCTGAATGTTGATAACATAAAACCAAAGTTTAGCTTTGACTATGAGATGCATAGTACAAGAATGTATATTCATCAGAGAAAAATATGATGGTTTTTACTGATTTACTATATATTATATGAAATACAAAAGAAAAGAGTGTTGTTGAATAATATAAACAAATTGTTGTTTTATTTTATTGTAACAACGATAATCACATGGACAGCTGTGCTAATAAGAGGTGCTCGGGTTGCTTGGTGTATTAGCAAACCCCTCCAGATATACCTTCACAGTAGTAACTGTATCAGTGTTATTTAAAAGCAAACAAACATAAATAAATTTTGTTGCTTACAAATGAACCTCAAATGCCAGCCAATGGATCGATGAGCCAATCAGGTATGTCCTCTTTTGTGTCCCATGTAGCCAATTGGTTGATTGGTCAATTAGGTTTATAGTTCTTCAACTCCCTCCAGTTTACAAATGAAAGCCAATTATCATCCAATAGGTTGATTGGTTCATTGGGTATGTAGTTCAATCAGCCAATGGATTGATGGGCCAATCAGGTATGTAGTTCTTCAATTCCCTCCAGGTTTCCAAACCTCAAATATCAGCCAATGGATTGATGGGCCGATCAGGTATGTAGTTCTTCAATTCCCTCCAGGTTTCCAAACCTCAAATATCAGCCAATGGATTGATGGGCCGATCAGGTATGTAGTTCTTCAATTCCCTTCAGGTTTCCAAACCTCAAATATCAGCCAATGGATTGATGGGCCGATCAGGTATGTAGTTCTTCAATTCCCTCCAGGTTTCCAAACCTCAAATATCAGCCAATGGATTGATGGGCCGATCAGGTATGTTGTTCTTCAATTCCCTCCAGGTTTCCAAACCTCAAATATCAGCCAATATGGACCGATGGGCCGATCAGGTATGTAGTTCTTCAATTCCCTCCAGTTTTCCAAACCTCAAATATCAGCCAATGGATCGATGGGCCGATCAGGTATGTAGTTCTTCAATTCTCTTCGTAGTGCTTCATTAGGTATTTTGAATGTCTGTAAATTAGCCTTAAGTGGCGCAAGATATCCTAAATGATAAACAAGAGTTAGGAACATTTTTGTTGCATACTTATCCGGATCAACAATATGATATTTAAGGCATAAATTTAGCAGGAAAATTTCTGTCCTATGGAAGTAAGGTTTGTGAATATCTACATGGGTGTTTTTTACTTCCTTTTCTAGTATTAAATTTTGCAACCACTCCGTCAGTCCGTAAACACTGCATATTTTTCTATAATTAAGCAAATACTCTGATCTACATAAATAGTCAGTAGCGTGAGTGTTGGTTTCCAAGAAGTGAATGATAGCCCAAGTATTATATATTGTGGTTTTTCCTCTAGAAAAGAGCAAATAACCACTGTAATACTTGTTTATTTTATTTGTCATCTCTGTTAGTTTCTCCTCATCTGTTATATGATTTTTTAACAAATCGTCAAGCTCTTGTTGGGTTATACCGAAGAATCTTCCGAATTTTTCACTCCCGAGGAAGGGATGGTGAGAAATGATCGGATCACAGACTCCCCTAAAAACTCTTATGACTCCCACCAAAACTGCTCTAACTTCATTATTAGACTGTAACAAATTATTTTCAGTTTCTCGTAAAAGTTTAGTGATCTCGAATATATCGTTGTTTTCTACAAATATTAGACTTTCGATTACAGCATCACTTTCATCCATCAAAACAAAAACGGTTCTTCCAAAATGTTTCCGCATTAACTCGCTTAACCATTTAAAACTGTGCGGTATTTGATCTTTTTTCACATCATCTGTAATTAGATTTTCAAAAAAACTGATTTCACTATTGTTCGACCACAGAGTTTTATTATTCAAGAGGTATTCGTGTTGTGAGAACGTTTCGCTTATCACTTTTGTATATTTTCCCACAAAATCCTCCATATTCCCTATATGCAACAGGGGTCCATAGTCTATATAAATAACAGGGTAGACCCCTAAGTTAGTCTTACAAAACTCTTCATCTTGAATGATATTTAAATTGTTATTCTTGAACAGTTTATGATTAGAACGACTCGCTAATGGAAGTGGATTTCCTTTCTCGTCTACTTCAATTTCCAAAAACTTCCTTATCATGTCCAAGTTTGTTGATTTCCCAAATTTTCTGGGAGCTGTGATTGATATCAGGGGTTCTCCGTTTATTATTTCTTTCAGAAGTAGAGACTTGTCAATAAACATGTTTGATTTTAAAACTGATTGAAAAAGTGATAAGTCAGCTTGTGCCTGCAAAAAATTGTAACAATATTAAATACAGTCAGAAGCGATAAATATTGTTGATAGGGTAGTTATAAGAATTTAACAACAGCTTCCCAAAATACATTATGGAAGGATGAAACATTGGTAAGGTAAATTGTCTGCTGAAGATAGAACTTGTCAAATTATAGGTAAGCTGCATTACTATGTTTCAGAGTTGTATTTTATGTAAAAGTCAGGCAGGTGGCATGCAATTTTAAATTAATGAATTCAATTAACTTATTAAGTATAACAATTAGAAAAATTTACTAAGTACCTATAAAATTAGTAAAAGTATAAAAATTAGAAAAATACAGTTTCACCAAGAATGACAAAATCTGTTGAACAAGATCCACTCCAAATCTATAAGAGTTTTTTGCTTGATTTTTACTTTAATTTCACCAAATATAATATATCTTAGGTGGCTGTGAATTAATTACCTTTTCTTTTATGCAAAGAAACACTCCGAAAATAACACATACGACAAATAACATCTGATTTTTATTCGTTCCTCGGAAACTGAAGTAATCACTGTACCTAACATAAAAATCACATTTCAAGACACAAATTTACATTAAATGAGTATTCAACTTCAATAGACAATGTTTCAAAATCTGATAATGTGTTATTAAGAGTCCAATATTTAAGCCCATCTCTGCATGATGTAAGAGCTGATAATAGTATTATGTTATAGTTGTACTGTTCCACAGTCAAATATTGAAATATTTATCTAGAGTAGTAAACTACACAGCGAGTTGGGGTATAGCAAAAATTAACTATTACCTACAGTTAAGACTTAGGTAAAGCCACTACAGTACCTATTACTTATTGCCTTTTAAATGCAGTCATTAACCTGCCAGCCAATTGGCTTTGTGTAAACTCAGCTTAAGGAAATCCATTGCATAGTTAATCTATTGATAATTAATATCAAAAGGCTAAAAAAACAACCTTGCCTCCAAACAGTAGTTTTTATGATTTATGAAAGAGAACACCCAAGTACAATTATTTCACGCAACACTAATTTTTTTCGCTTTTATTATGAGTTTCATGGATACTTATGTGTCAGTAAAGTAAAACTGTTATCCAATTGTACATTTTAATGACAAAACCTTCATGTACATTTTGGAGTTGGTTGTTTAATGAACATTCAGAAAGGTAAGTGTTCCTCCATGAACCATTTTGCAATTTTCCGTTTAATTTCATCGGTACTGCTGATATTTATCTTCTCCCCTATGCATTTCGACTTCAAAACGTTGAGGAAATTACCCATAAAATATGTTGGTTTACTCTCTGATCCAGCGAGATTGACAGTGGATTTAGTATAGTTAGCTACCCTCGTATTTTCTACTTCAACAATTTTTTGTACATCATACAACGTATCTGAACATCCATCTAAAATTGTTTTTAATTCATCCCGTGCAGATTTGTTAGGAATTTTAAACCAACGTAGTTTTTCATCAACTGGCGTTAAGTATCCGAAGTAGTATAGAAGAGTTAGGAAAAGAACTGACGTTATTGTTGTCTTTTCAGTTTTCCCATGGTTCATTACCATCCTTAGTGTTAGAATATTATCTTTGTGAAAAATAGGCTGGGAAAGCTCTACGTGAGTATGAAGAACTTTTTTCCCAGAAAGTAAAATCTGCAGCCACTCGACGAGTCCTTTAACTCGACTTAGTTTCTGCAATCCATTTAGATACTCAGGCCTCATCATCCTGCTTACGTTTAACGACTCTGTCAACAGATACTGTATAACTGACTCAGTTCTGTATATTTTCACTTTTTTATTTTCAGCATTGTATATGTAGCCTCCAAAGAAAAGGTCAGTAAAATTGTTTAACTTAATCTTTTCTTTTGAATTATTGCCTTTTAGAAGATGTTCTAATTCTTTCTCAGCTATTCCATAAAACTCGCTAAGCCGGTCCCTCAGGTTTACAAAACAAGACACATTTTCTCCTCTATACAATCTTAGTTCACCAGTGAGTACAGTTCCGAAACTGTTGTTAAATTTGAGTAAATGTTGCTCTGATTCTCCTAACAGTTTAGTAATTTTTGTCATGTCTTTATTTCCCTTGAACAAAAAGCTTTTCACAAGAGCATCGTAATCGTCAATTAAAACCAAAGTCTTTTCATTAAAATGTCTGTAAAGCAGCTCACACAACCATGTTAAACCAATCACTATTTTGTCTTCTCTCACATTCTTATTAATGAAACTTTGAAATAGAACCATTTCACTTTCATCACGCCACAAAGTGATATTTTTCAAAATATATCTATGCTTTGAAAATAAATTACTAATTATCTGTAAATAATTTTTCAAAAAATGTTCATAGTTTTCTATCGATGAAAGTGCAGAGTAGTCAATACTTATTGTTGGATACTTGCCAAAATAATCTTCAAAAAATTGTTTATCATTTAAGATTTTTAATGTGTTGTCCTCAAACAGTTTATAATTGGAATTCAAATACTTCTCAAGACGCTTGCCATTTTTGTTAACTTCAACTTCAAAAAAATGTTTTATCATGGCTAAATTTGTTGACTTTCCAAATCCTTTTGGAGCAATTATTATTTTTGTGGGATTCCCTTCAACGATTTCTTTCATTAGCAAAGTTTTATCAACATAACATTTACTTCTAATGCTCCTGAGAAAAAGTGATTCTTTTTCAGTGAATACCTACAAAATATTGTCTATATAACAATCAATAGAACCTTTTGACTTAAAATTACCTGTATACTGGCATTGATTAAGATTAAAATAAGATAATATACTAAGATAATAAGATTAAAATAAATGTCCTTTTCTACAATACATGCATAAAATAATCTTCTCTTAAAAGTTGGTCATACTTATATCTAGGAACACTATCAAATTATTATGAAGAATTATACCTATGAATAATTATGATTATCATCAATAATCAACGGTTGTACTAATAATGTGGTAAATACTGTATACTTTCAATCATGACAGCAGCATCATTTTGGACTCAGTTGTGATTTATAATAAGCTTGTTTCTTGCTCTCTATAGACCAGCGTTTGGACTATTTTCCTCTCCCAACCAAAAAGTAATGACCCAGATTTAAAAAAAATATATCGATAAAAAAGTATTTTGTACCTTTTTAGTGCAAATGAGAAATATCAGGGACAGAATGACATTTCCGAAAGCATAAACACTCATTTTGTAAAGATTATTAAGCATTACACAAATCTGTTTAAATTACATTTATGTTAACATTAACAATCAACTTCCCACTTTTAGATATGAGATTTTAATCTGAGTGTCATAGATTCATCAAACACTACCATACTATATTTGGCTGTTTATGGAGTAAAGGAACTCACTGTTGAACAGAATGGAAAAAACCGCTCCTTTTTACTTTCCCCCCTATACTTATTTGATAAAAATAGTTATTGTTGTCTTAGCCACCTAATCCATCCATTTGGGGCCCCTCTGAACCCAAAGAAGTGGTTTTTGAAGCTATATCTGCAGTGTATATTGTGTGTGTGTGTTGGGGGGATGTGTTCAGATCAATTAGACCACACCTGTGGTACGATTTTGAAATTTTGTACCATATGTGGGTACAAATCTATATGGTATCTCCAGTAATTTTTAAATTTTGATTTTTAATGGTGTTTTGCCCATAAAATATGGGGAAAATTGATTTTTCAGAAAAAGGACCAAACGATTTTGATAAAAAAAATGTGTATATTATGATCCTTTTATATAAATAAAAACAGTACAACCCGCATTTTGCCGTAAAAATGACTGTTAAAATAATAATTATTATTTTTAATTAATAATCCTTAAGGATTAAAAATAGAGGGCTTATCTGATTATAATTCAAATTTAGTGTATTATAGTCAATGGTCATAGTCCTTTCTTAAAAAAAGGCAATCCCCAATTTCTGTAAAAATTAACGTTTAAAAGTATGCAACTTTTGCGATTTCCTCATAAAATATCACAGTGTTATACTCCCACTCTGCTTACCATGATAAGGATTGTTCATAAACTACTAATCGAAGAAAGAATAATATGTCAGATTGCCGATACCATTTTATTTACTTTCTTGTTCAAACCAGTTTAATCATAATAGAATATGCTAAAGTTTAGTTTGCTGCTATGGGAAAGGTAAAAGACGTAAAAGTATGTAAGTAAATTTTAACAAATGTTAATAGCCTGGGATGAAATAAATAAATTTGCAAAATTTTATCATCATGACATGTTGATATACTATATGCATAAACAAGCAAACCACAACAGTTTTCTTTTCCTCTATTAGAATAACATAGGAATCTCATATGTAAAGTTTTTTTTTTATTTTTCCGTGATTTTACAGTAACATCAATATACAAAATTATTTACTTTTTAAGCTATACACGATGGTTGTATTGAAAATAAGGGTATTTCCATGTTTTAAGGGTAAAAAACCCATAATACCCCGTTTCCATGACCAGATCTCGATCTCGCTAGTCCGCGAACTCATTAAAGATTCCCGCCATACACCTTAAAGCCAGATTATTTAATCAAAATCGGTCCAATATATTAGTTGAGTTTTAGCGTTCAGGGACACACGTCTATGTAAATGTATACATACATATGTAAAAATATTAACGAATAGTATTTTTAGGCTCTCTGGTGATAGGCTTATAATTTAAATAATAAAGTAAATCGGTCACGGTCCCAGGTCTTACCGTGCCACCTACTGTAATTATATTATAGCTAGGTACTTCCATATAGGGAATTTTGCTAAAAGTTAGTGACTTGTAACTTGTTCTTATACGAACAACACTGTAGCGGCTATTACACGTTTGTACAGTGTATGGATGTAGCAGTTACTACCATTGAATAAGTGCCGTGGTACTTCCGTGTGTACATTTTTAGAGCAATTACTACCTAAACTCAAATGATAGAGAATGGCCAGAATGGTTGCTCTTTTTGTATGTGATGTTACTATGGTGATATATGGCACTCTCTACGCACTGGCATAGATTAAAATTCCAGGAGAATATTCCTGGAGCTATTTAATATAGTATATATATATAGATATTAACTTATATTGTTAATATCTGGTGTGTTGTTTCACTGCTAAAATTTATTTACTCAAATAGTCTTTAATTGATATAAAATTAAGTAAAATAAATTGTAAATTCTGGTATTCATCAGGAATGAAATGCTGGAGTAAAAATTGATTGAGAGACATTTTCCATTGCAGTTAATGGCCTAAATTGAATTGGCCCTTATATAATCGTAGATTAAATAAACTCCCTTATAATTCATCTCAATTATGATTATTACCAATTATGATAGTATGAGTCCTGTTTAGCTATAATCAATGGTTGTTATCAATTCAATTTTTGGTCTGGTTTGCATGCAATTGGAGATAAGTAACAATGAAAAAGAAGAAGAGCTTTTTTTTGTGTGTTTTGTTTTGTTTTTGTTTGTGTTGTTAGGTTAGGTCGTACGTACTTATGTATGTCAGTTGACTGAGTAGTAAACTCATAAACAAATCATAATCATTATTATTTGTGAAAACATGTATTAATTTTTCACTATTTTTTATTAATTTATCAACATAAAATCATGAGGTAAGCTCAAAATAAGACATCCTCTCACTACTCATATTAAATCATGTAAAATAAAATCTACCATCCCTCATAAGACCCAGTGGTATTTATTCCGTATAGGTGCCTCCAAACGAATTTTTAATTTTGATATCTTACTTTATAGATTTTTACCTCCTGAATCCAAATATGCCATTATTTTTCACCGCTGATGAATATTTCTCAAGATATCGCCGTAAAAACATACAACATTCAATAAGTTAAACAAGGTAGGATGGATAACATTTCAAGTGATTCTGTAGTCAATAATGTTTTCTATAATAGGAATTTCGGCTGCACTTTACTTGACGTCCTACACTCATTCGATTGTTTTTTTTCGATTCGATTGTTTCATTCGATATATCGTTTGGTTAGTTAGGTTAGGTTAACCTTACCTAACTATCCAAACGATATATCGAATGAAGCAATCGATTAATCGATATATTGATCGATATTTTCATTCGAATGAGTGTAGGACGTCAAGTAAAGTGCAGCCGGAATTTCGTCACATTATGGAGATATAGATGGACTAATTACATGTAGTTCTTATTTAGGCATGTCAGGGTGGTAGGTCGTGCTGTATGTGAATTGGTGACTGCATTAAGTGTTTTGAAGTTAGGTTAGATTAGGAAGGTAAAGTTTAGGTTATAATGTATCTAGTTGTTAGTTCATGTTGCCTGCAGACTGTTTTTGTAAAATTAAAATCCTGAGAAAAACACTTTAAATTACTTTTTCAAAAATGCTTGCATTTTTGAAATAGTAATTTGAAGTGTTTTTTTCTGGATTTTAATTTTACAAAAACAGTCTGCAGGCGACATAAACTAACAACTTGATACATTATAACCTAAACTTTAACTTACCTAATCTAACCTACCTTCAAAGGACTTAATGCAGTCACTAATTCACATAAATCACGACCTTTCACCCTGACATGCCTTTTCTGACATCAAAAGGAGTTTGCTTACATTCTAGAGGTTTGGTTAGGTTAGGTTATGTTAACCCATAGTTCATTCCACTTGTAAATGTCATCCATCCTACCTTGTTTATTGTAATGTTGTATATTATTACGGCGATATCTTGAGAAATATTCATCAGCGGTGAAAAATAATGGCATATTTGGATTCAGGAGGTAAAAAACTATAAAGTAAGATATCAAAATTAAAAATTTGTTTGGAGGCACCTATACGGAATAATTACCGACCCAGTGTGAGCTCCTTCCTATGGCTTGTTAACCCTCCGAGTGTCACGTGTTTTGGCCTTAATGTCAGCCTATTTTTTGCTCATTTGCAAGGTTTTATTAAAACTGATCTGAGAAGCTTAAAAACAATGTTAATTATACTGTTCTATATACCATTTTGTTTGGAAAATCTTGGGCTTCAATATTATATATAAAACATAAGGAAGATTTAAAAAAAAAAAATTTTTTTGGGTAAAAAAATGTATAATTTCGAAAATTTTCAAAAAAAAATAAGTTTGCGCTCAATGAAATTGTATAAATTATAGGCCTATAAATATTTGAAAATAGCCACTTTGTTCTAAATTTTATGAGGATTACAAATCTATAATAATATAAGGAAGTAGATTTGCAAATAAAAAAGTTATGGGCAAAAAACAGATTTCAGTACATAGCGTTTAGCTAAGAATGCATAGCCCAACCATAGCTAGGAATCTGGCTGATAATTTACATCAATATCACTACCTACTTCTTCAAGGTCATCAACCAGCACTTCAAAACCACTTAAATCTTCTTATAATGCACCACGTATATCACTACTTTTGATTTTTAACACTAAAACAATGATAAACGTAATAAAACACATAATAAATAAATAAATAAATAAATAAAAAGGCCTTTATTTACAAGCGAGTTTCATATACATGATTTTCAAACTTACTCAAGTCAAACTAAAACTAAACTAACCTAATATATACATAAATTTAATATACAAAAAAAACTACAAAGAAAAAAACATTTACAATTTGCATTTGTTTTTCTGCATTGCGGCCCTGAATGAGCCATACGATTTGGAGCTCTTTATGTCCTGAGGGAGGCCATTATACAACTGCGGGCCAAAATAAGAAAATGACTTTCTTCCAACCTCAAGCCTCACTTTAGGAAAGTGAAGCCTGCGGTCGGAACGAGTACCACGCAGGCAGATCTCCCCCCTGTACTTAAGCCTCTCGCTGAGGTACCGAGGCTCTCCCAGCGTGAGCACTTTGTGGACCAGGCAGCAGGTCAGCCTCCTGCATATTTCATCCATTGGGATGAGCTTTGCAGCATCTCGGAAGGAGGACACGTGGTCAAAGCGGTTAAGGCCAAAAATGAACCTTATTGCAGAATTTTGAATTCTTTGAACTCTTGCCATATCCTCCTTAGAGATGCTGTTTCCATATGCAGGAAAGCAATATGTAAAGGCTGGGAGGACCAAGGACCGCATGAGTTGCATTTTGGCATATTCTGGCAGTAGAGTTTTAAATCTGCTAAGACCTCTCAGTCTACCCACTGCGCGTTGAACTGCAGATGTGACATGGTCAGAAAAAGAGAGGTCTTTGTCAAGTACAACACCAAGTGTGTTGACAGTGTCGCAAACAGACAATCTCATGCCATCAAGGGTGACTTCTATAGCAGATTTACTCAATTCCTGCATCATAATGTTTGGTCCAGTATGCATGACTACACACTTGTCAACATTCAATCCAAGGCCATTCATGACAGACTATTGAAAAATGCTGTGCAAATCAGCATTGATGAGCCGGATTGCTTCTGATGTCTTGTCTGGCTTGTATGACAAGTGTAGTTGGCAGTCATCAGCATACAAGTGTGCTGTACAATATTCTACACTTCTGGACAAGTCAGACGTGTACAAATTGAACAGCACAGGTCCTAAACAACTACCTTGAGGAACACCACGCAATTTGCAAAGCGGATCTGATGTCTCGGATCTGATGTCTCACTCCCAATTTTGGTAACCTGCAGTCGGGACTCCAAATAGGACCGAAACCAACAAACAACTTTTTCACTACAGCCATAGCACTTCATTTTGGCCAATAACAATTCATGATCAATAGAGTCAAATGCTTGGGAATAATCTAGAATAGCTAATGTGCTGTATAGGCCTTTATCTTTGGCATCGAATAGATCCGCAAACATATTAGTCAGTGCAGTACAAGTACTGTGGTTTTTTCTAAACCCTGACTGTAGCTTAGGTAATATATCAAAGTCATCTAGAAATGAAGCAATTTGTTTAGTTACTATCTTTTCCATTATTTTTGACATTGCAGGTAACACGGAGATAGGTCTTAAATGCTGGACGGTTTTTGGCGCAGCAACCTTAGGCAATGGTTTCACATGGGCAATCTTCCAACTTGTAGGGAAAACACCTGAGGCCAGACTCATGTTTATCAAATGTGTTATTGCTCCAATTGCATATGGGCTAACAGATCTTATCATTTGTATCGATATACTATCAACACCTACAGCTTTTGATTTTATTGAGTTCATTGCCTCTTTAACATCATTTTCTGAAATCATTTTAAATTCAAACTTATCGTTATCTCCATGTTTTTTATATTGATGAAGTTTATTTAGCAATTCAATGTCTATATCATTACAAGATCCCATATTGACAAAATATTCATTTATCTTATTAATGTCTAAATCTGGGGGGAGCCTACTATTTCTCTTACTACTTACAATCTCACAATTTTTTAAACAATTCCAGAACTCTGCAGGGTTTTCACATGAGGCAAGCTTGTTAGAAAAGAATAATTTCTTAGCCTCTTGGATCATGAAATTCAAACTATTTCTTATGGTTTTATACTCATACCAGTCTGAAGAATCTCTGGTCCTCCAATATTTGTTACGGTGTTTATTTTTAACAATTGACAATTCTTTAATTGTTTCATTTATCCAGGGAGCTTTTTTCCGTGTTACCTTCTTACAAACAATAGGAGCAACCTCATCAAACACTTTCTTTATATGATCAGTAATAAATTGCTCTATCTCATCAGGAGACTCTAGCTTGTACACACAATTCCAGTCCACATCAGTCATCGGTCCGAGGGTAACCTAGCTGTTTACAAATACACGCACGTCAGCTCAGTCAGCTGTCTGCTACAATATTTTCGGAACTAAAATGAATAGTGCTTAGAGACAGACCTCTGGAGAAAGCTTAGAATATTACGGACAGAACGATACCTAACTCAATCCAGTACAGTCCGATTCAGTTAGTCATAGAGCCTTCGTCGTAAACAGTGTTCGCGAGTCGCTGCAGCGACGCACGACACTATACAAAGTGCGTTACGCGTCGCTGCAGCGACGCATGACACTCGGAGGGTTAAACATAGGCTATCTGATGAAAACTATTTTAATTTCAAATCTATACTTAAAAAAATAAGATGTGGGGTGGTACGCTAAAAATAAGTCGCCCTATGTTAAATTTAGGGTACAGTTTCTTAACTGGGCTCTATGCTAATATTGATTGAAACTATCGAATTGAAAATATTGATTAATAATCGATATTTGTAAATATATCTATTATAAAATAAGACTATTAAACATCTATTATAAAATCAATCTATCTATCAATCAATCTATTATATCTATTATAAAATAAGATCTATATAAAATAAGAAAATTAACATGTACAATTCACTATTGTATTGACACTATTGTAATTCTTGACGAATTAACAATAAAGAATATTGTATTGTATTGTATTGTATTGTATTGTACTATCATAACCTAACCTAACCAACCAAACTTGCTGATGGTGAAAAAATCGCATGAAGGTTTACAAATCAAATCGATAGTTTCAATGGGGGATGATAGGAATAAGTAAATGGAAGATGTAGGTACAATAAGAACCATAGCTCTCAGTAAGTTAATTATTTTTATTTTGTGTTGTGTTACAGCACCAGTTCCCAATTTTAAGTTACTTCATAGAATGTTCAAGTAAGAGTAAACTTAGCTAAGAACATCCTTGCATAGGTGCATTTGTGTTCAGATATAATTTAAGCTATGTCCTTTCTCATATTGTGGTGGATTTGTTACAGACTAAGTGTAGACGGGTTGCTTGTGTATTTCCCTTACGACTACATATACCCAGAACAGTATGCCTACATGCAGGAACTCAAAAGGGCTTTGGATGCCAAAGTAAGTACCTAGCCTACTTCCACTTAATATTTTGGTTAAATTACACATCTAGGGGCGGCCTCATTATAACTGCCAATGGTAAAGGTGAAGGTAAGTACGTATATATTCATTAGATCGTGATTGAGAAGATTTTTAAATTTTAGGGCCTTAGATCAAATGGTAGGTAGGCTATTTCAAAAATAAAACTAGCCATGGAGGGAGATTGTTATAGTTAATGTAATGTGGTTGAGGGCCAAAGCGCCAAAAGGCAAGTGCTCCCTTCTCTGTGAAATTGGCATGGTACCTGAATTACATTGTTAGCCGCTAGCTGGGCTAACAGATAGGCTAGTTATGTGCTTAAATCGGACACCAGTCATATAACCAACTAATTACACAATAAAAATTTGGTTAGTCTAACTTAACCCTCTGAGTGTCCATAGTTTAGGCCTTAATGTCCGCCTATTTTTGGCGCATTTGCAAGGTTTTATTAAAACGGATCTGAGAAGCTTAAAACAATGTTAATTCTACTGTTCTATATACCATTTTGTTTGGAAAATCATGGACTTCAATATTATATATAAAACATAAGGAACATTTGTTATTTTTAGGTAAAAAAAAAATTATTTTGGAAAAATTTCAAAAAAAAAAAAGTTCGCGCTCAATGAAATTGTATAAATTATAGGCCTATAAATATTTGAAAATAGCCACTTTGTTCTAAATTTTATGAGGATTACAAATATATAATCATATAGTGAGGTAAGTTATCAAATAAAAGTTATGAGTGAAAAACAGATTTCAGTAGGAGCGTTTAGCTAAGAATGCATAGCCTAACCATAGCTAGGAATCTGGCTGATAATTAACATCAATATCACTACCTACTTCTTCAGGATCATCAACCAGCCCTTCAAAATCACTTAAATCTTCTTATAATGCACCACGTATATCACTACTTTTGATTTTTAACACTAAAACAATGATAAACGTAATAAAACACATCGGTCATCGGTCCGAGGTTAACCAAGCTGTCTACAAATATGCTCGTCAGCTGTCTGCTACAATATTTTCGGAACTAAAATGAAAAGCGCTTAGCAACAGACCTCCGGAGAAAGCTTAGAATCTAACTAAAAGAACGATACCTAACTCGATCCAGTTCAATCCGATTCAGTCAGTCATAGAGCCTTCGCCGTAAACGATGTTCGTATGTCGAAAAATCGACAAGTGACACTACACAAAGTGTGTCGTGAGTCGATTTTTCGACAAGTGACGCTCGGAAGGTTAATGAATTATCTTTTTTTTAAATAATTTATTTTCTTGATTATTTTTGTATAGTAACGCTACAACTAATAATAATTTGTAACAAAAACTGTTCTAACTAGCTAATAATATTCTCTTAGGTTTATAAAACTAAAGCTTTGGGTATTTTTTTGTAGTTGGAATGGTGGAGGGCCATTTTTATCGTCCTAGCTACCTATAACTTTTGTGAATGTAAATCTATGTACAGTACGGTAGTCTATTTAAAAAATAGGTATCCCCTAGAAGATTAGCGTAGATATTGCATTTAAAAGTAAACTATACTAAAACCACTTTAGAACTATTGAATCATTAACACTCCCGTTTATACAGGGTGAATTTTAAATGAGTTCCCCCCCCTACTTTTTTCTACATTTCTTAAGATATCATCTCCGGACCACGTCAGATCATTGTTGAGTAGTAAGTACTTCATTTTGACTGGGTATACATTTTTGGCCGCCATCTTGGATCCGCCATATTGGATACAAAGTTTTTTTTTTTCAAATATAAAGGTAGGGTTGTGACCCATTATTTCAAACTAGAATTTTACGCTGATTACAATGCCGCAATTAGTTTTTAAAAATCTTGATCCGTTCTAAAGTTATGAGGACTTTTTATAACTTTATTTTTAGCGCATTTTAACATTGTGCATTTACAAACTAAGACCATAATCTCAAAATAGTGCTAGATAAAGATAAGTATACACCACCATTCATTGCCGACATATTTTCACTTGGTTATGACGGATGAAGTTTTTTCAGCCGCCATCTTGGATCCGCCATTTTGAAATGTGATAAATTAATTTAAATATGAAGGTGGTGTTGTGACCCATCATTTTGAGCTACCTTTTTATGCTGAACTCAATGCCGCAATCCGTTTTTCATTTACATCTTTGGTTTTTCAAATATTGAAATTTTAAATAAGACTATTTTAATATTTCATCAAGACAGCTTGATAACCAAAAACGGATTGCAGCATTGAGTCCAGTATAAAAAAGTAGTTCAAAATGATGGGTCACAACACCACCTTCATATTTAAATTAATTGATCACATTTCAAAATGGCGGATCCAAGATGGCGGCTGAAAAAACTACATCCGTCATAACCAAGTGAAAATATGTCGGCAATGAATGGTGGTGTATACTTATCTTTATCTAGCACTATTTTGAGATTATGGTCTTAGTTTGTAAATGCACAATGTTAAAATGCGCTAAAAATAAAGTTATAAAAAGTCCTCATAACTTTAGAACGGATCAAGATCTTTAAAAAATAATTGCGGCATTGTAATCAGCGTAAAATTCTGGTTTGAAATAATGGGTCAGAACACTACCTTTACATTTGAAAAAAAACTTTGTATCCAATATGGCGGATCCAAGATGGCGGCCAAAAATGTATACCCAGTCAAAATGAAGTACTTACTACTCAACAATGATCTGACGTGGTCCGGAGATGATATCTTAAGAAATGCAGAAAAAAGTAGGGGGGGAACTCATTTAAAATTCACCCTGTATAATAAACATGTTATAGTTGTTACATATTGACTTAAAAAATTGTAAATTTAATATTGTATACCAACAATAAAGTGCACCAACTACCATTTAATTTCAATAAAATGGTTTATATTACCTGTCCGTCAGTGATCCTATTGTTGTCGTCTTATGCGACCGGTTTCAGGATTAAAATCTCATCATCAGGCTGTTAAAAATGTCATGTCACTCAAATTGAGGTCATCGGTAAACACAAAAACTAAAACCGGTCGCATAAGACGACAACAATCATGGGTAATGAGGCCCTGACGGACAGGTAATAGGCTATAAACCATTTTATTCAATAAGTGATCCTGGGCCACTAAGCATAATAAATTATTGCCATTAGCTGTATGGGCTATTAATTAACAGCTGTGTCTAAGGAACATGTCGGCCTTAGTCACTAACAAGACTACAAGATCGCGCTACTCATCCTACACTCATCCTTCACTCATATTTGGGTTAAAATACGCACATAGTGGCGTCCCCATCTTAACTAATTGATAATTGATAATTGATAATTGATAAATTTCAATGGTTATCAAGCTGGTAAAAAATTCATTTATAACCTTCACCATACCATAGGCCCTACAACACTTTTTTTTATTATTGTCTGCGCCGTTAGCATTTATAGGGGAGATGAATCGAGTGATAGCATACTCAAAACCTTTTTGGAATAGCGGTCCAAATACCCATATGCTTTGTTGGCAAGTTAGGAATAAACTGAACCTGTCCCTCCCGCACCGAAATCCGAGATGCTACTCACGAGGCTAGCAACACACTTTTTGATTTATTTCGGTAAATATTTACTGAAACTCTTATCGCCCAAAATTAAATAAATGCCAGCAACGACATTTTAATTTTTTCCCTTTTAAAACTAGCAGAGCTAACTAACAAATGATTTGGTAATAAAAAAGTCAATATCAAAACATTCTATTGATTTTCAGGGCCATTGTCTGCTGGAAATGCCTTCAGGAACTGGGAAAACGATTTCTTTGCTGTCCTTGATTGTCGCTTACATGGTCGCAAATCCATATGATGTGACCAAACTCATATACTGCTCTCGGACTGTTCCGGAAATTGAGAAAGTAGTTGAAGAGTTGCGCAAACTGTTCGGCTACTATGAACAAAATGGTGACAAGTTAAATATGGTCGGCTTGGTGCTTAGCTCCAGGAAGAACATGTGTATTCATCCTCAAGTAAGTTAAATAATTTTAGTAGCCTACTCTTTATTGTTTGCCATAAAATAATTGTTATTATTGTGAAGGATTTGGTAGCCTAGTATAGGTTCTACAACAACTACCATATATTTTAGGTTTTTCAATGTTAAAGATGTACAACAGTGCAACTGATCATTCTGTGACTTAGGTAAAGTTCCTGGGAATTGATTTTAAAAACATTAAGAATATTCTCAAACAAGAGTAAATACCCATCATAATTATTTCCTTTATTAGTGGCAAAATTAATCGTAGATAATATAAAAATATATATATATATATATATATATAGGTACCTATATATATACACCTATATAGAGGCCTACCTTTATTGAAGATTTTCTAATTGTAAATGGTTGTTTACTCAAGGGGTTAGGCTGCTTTTTACTAGGTCTGGGGAACAAGCTAGCTTAGTTTTAAAGCATGTGGCTTTGTTCCCCAATGTTTATGGGTTCAAATCCCACCAATCACCAATGGTTTTAGCTATGTAATGATGCTGCAATCCTCTAGGTCTAGCGTGAAGTTATGTATCATACGATTCCGTGCTTAGGGCCTAGCATCCTAGGATGTGAAGGACATAAAAAGTGTGTACCGGTAAGCTAAATCCTGAAGGCCTGTGTAAAGTAAAGCCTTAAATGATATATATACAACTATCATAGATAAAAAGTATTAAATATAGACTGTCAGCCGTGCTGTGGTTACCATAGTTACCATAGCTTCCAGCGCACACCGCTGGGAGCACCGAGTAGTTACGTTGCGCCGTAACTACATGGCGCTCCCAGTGGTGTGCGCCAGAACCTATGGTAACCGCAGCACAGCTGACGTCTATATTTAATTCTTTTTGCCTATGCTACTATCTTGATTGATTGACAGGTCAGTAAGGAGAGAGAAGGCAAGGTAGTGGACGGGCGATGTCACAGTCTCACCGCGTCCTATGTGAGACAGCAGCACGAGGCAGACTCTAGTGTGCCAGTGTGCCAGTTCTACGAGGGCTTCGATAGGTCCGGTCGTGAAGTGCCGCTTGCCCCGGGCGTCTACAGCCTGGATGATCTCAAGGAATACGGCCGGGACATGAACTACTGCCCTTACTTTGTGTCCCGATTCGCTGTGAGTGTTAGTTTGGATTGTATATTTTTAAGCTGTGTTGGTTGTGACTTGTCATTCTCAAGAGTTTAGAATGAAGAGGCGGTATCAAACTTGGTTTTGAAGACAGGCAATTAAGAATAGTGTTGTTGGTTTTTTCAAGATTTTCTTTTTGTGGCCACGGACTGCACAATTCTAAATATTACTTATTAGTTCAAGACAATCTATCCAACAACTGCTGGTCAAAGGTGGAGACAAGAAGTATGAAGTAAACTAAATCTGTACATATCCGCGATCTCCCTAACACTGAAGCCACACAAGCTTGAGTGTATCCTCTTTGTCTTACTTTCTATCAAGTATTACAAGACGAGGCATACAATATTTAATTGCAATGACATTCTTTGAATATCAATGCATAATTATTGGTGTCCTATAAAAACAAAGAATAATACAAAGTTTTGTCATGTGATGTGAATAAATATTTCCTTTAAAGTTACCTCTGTGTATTAAAGTACCTATGTGTATAAATTTTTAAATTAAATTATATTTTTTAATCTATTTTATTGATTAAAATACTCTTTCAAGGAGTAAATTAGGCCTACACTTTTCTCTCTTCGAGTCTTGTAACGTCCCTATTTTTTATTTTTCTAAACTAACATTTTAAAACCTTGGTTTAGCATTTATAAAAAAAGGCTAGCCCCTTAAACATGTTAACATGTATTTAGATTCTAGTCTAAAGTGAAGAGTAGGCTATCTATTACTTTGCTCTTTTTTCATCTTTTTTTCTATGGATTTTCTGTTCTTGACAGATTATGAGCGCCAGCATTGTGGTGTACAGCTACCACTACTTGTTAGACCCAAAGATTGCAGATGTCGTATCTAAGGAACTAACTAGATCTGCTGTAGTGGTGTTTGACGAAGCACATAACATAGGTAAGTGTCTTTCATTAATTTCTGATGCTTGTCATTCAGAACTGTTTTGTAATATTATAACACAAATATCATTGGAAATGCATTTTCATATAAAAGACCATCAATGATTTACACAAATGGCAATAATTTATTATTTGCTATTTAATTCTGGTGTAATGTATGTAGAAGGCATTTAGTTATTCTTCTTGACATTTTAGTTTGTAAATTAACTTCTTGACTTCTGTTAATACTTAAGTAATTTGTAAAAACTCAAGTATTTGCCGAACTGTAACAACTCAGAAGTTTAAATAGACTCATTAGATAACAGTATTTTCTTCTTTGACACTCTTGTGTTTATAACTGCCCATTATTTCAAGCTCAGTTTTGGGAGTTTACAAATATTATTTATTATGTACAGTGTAAAAATCCATACTGTAAGCTCCGTCATAACTAACAATGTGTTATCTTTGCAGACAACGTATGCATTGACTCAATGAGTGTCAAGATCAATAGACGAGTGATGGAGAAGGCCAGTTCGAACATTCAAGTGCTGGAGAAGACAATTACTGAGTAAGCATTTGGGAAATAACACCTTTTCACAACAAGACTGAAATGGTACCTCTTAATAATCTGTGCTCTGCAGAATTTCTATTTTACCGATTTGTTAATAGGCCTAGTAGTGTTTAGAGTGGCAAATCGGGATTCAGTTGCCTAAACAAAATCAATAGGCCTATGTTCACATAAATACTGAATACATTCCATATACAAAGTATTTAGATCAGATAGATTTTAACTGAAAAATTAATTGCTACAATGATAAAAAAATAACGGCAGTTTAGATTCTTTTACAGACAGTTAGTTGTAGATTTACTTGAAAATTTACTTTTTGTAGTTATTATTTTTAATGTGAGTATTGATTTGTTGCAGAATGAAAGTAGTCGATGAACAGAAGCTGAAAGACGAGTACGCCAGGTTAGTGGAGGGGTTGAGAGACGCAAGTGTAGCAAGAGAAACTGACGTTGTCCTAGCTAACCCTGTACTTCCCGACCAAATACTCAAAGGTAAACATGTAAAGGTTTTCATTGCAGTTGAATGATTTTATGTTGTATTCTTTATTCATATAATTTGTCATGTATCATAAACTTTAATTGAATTTGAGGTTAAAAAATTTTAATTGATGACCAGAAGAGTTGTTCATGGTGAGGGAGGGAAAGAATAAAACCATATGGATATAAAATCCCACTATTTATTTTTTTTTCATCCTTCACATCCTTGGACGCTAAGCCCTAGCTCTAAACTTACATTACTACAGACTAGACCAGAGGGTCGCTGCATTATCACTTAGATAAAATCCATTGGTGAAAAGCATGGGGGAGCGAGCTGGCGTAGTGGTTAGAGTGCGGGATTTCAGTCCCTGGGGTCCCGGGTTCGATTCCCGCCAAGTCACCAATGGATTTTATCTACGTGATAATGCCGCAACCCCTAGGTCTAGCCTGAAGTAATGTGAAAAACAATCCCAGGCTCGTGCCTAGCGTCCTAGGACAAAAAAAAAGATTGGTGAAAAGCAGGATTTGAACCCTGAACCTCAAGGACCAAAGTCTGGCGCTCTACCACTAGACCAGCTCGCTCCCTTCCCTCCATCTGTTGTAGTAAAGCTATTAACCACAAAAGTAAATTTGCCACCAACCTCCAAGTGTTAGTCCCATTTTCCAATCTCTGTGGTTTATGGAGCTAACCCTTATTAAAATCCGTCACTAGTCCATGTGCATGGACTGGTGTAGGAAGTGCAGAGTAGGTTGTACTCATTTGCGCAACAGGATCAGCTGAATTTGTTTATCGTTTTCAGATGAGACCATGAAGAAAAATAATTGTAGTGAAGGAACATTTTTACTTTCTGATCAGAGTTTGTTATTACAGCACTGAAGGTTGTGAGAACCTATTTTATGAAAGGACATTGCAATCCTGAGTATTCAGTTGAATACTTTTGTTACAGAGGTAGTCCCGGGCAATATCCGCACTGCTGAACACTTTGTGGCCTTCCTCAAGCGCTTCACAGAATACCTCAAGACGAGACTGAGAGTGCAACATGTTGTGCAAGAGTCGCCAGCGGGGTTCCTCAAGGTTCGGCAGTTAGATAGTTGCTTTTGTGTCTGTTATAATATAACTGACATCTAATAAAAATGATATATCAATCTAACTAATAAAAATAAGGTTTATCAACTTTTCATGTATCTAAAATATTTTATGAGTTCTTTAGGATACCACCGATTCTCTTGTGGGGCTCCTCAAGACCTTGAGACTATACTATTAAAATTAGTTTTTTGTCTATTATCATGTATCTGACGTCTAATACAATTATTTAAATATTTTATTATCTAAGTTATTTTGATTCCCGCAGAATTCTTGTTTTGTTTTGTCTTTTATTTATGAATCATTGAAAATTTAATCCATCCAAAAAAATTTGGTGTTCAGATTAGCTTATGTTAGTGAAACTACATTAACCAGTCAAACCTATAATAAAAACCCTTGCAAACGACTACAACAATTTGACCAGCTGATTAACAGCTGTTCTCGATTTAATTCTATTGTAGATTAAATAGCTGTTTATCCTCACTTATCTCTACAGTATCCTTTCATTCTTTTAACTGTTATTCTAGGATGTTGCTGCACGAGTGTGCATTGAACGGAAACCGCTGCGTTTTTGTGCTGAACGGTTGTCATCCCTGCTTCGCACTCTGCAGATCGCTGATCAGACTGATTTCTCACCTCTCTCCACTGTTGCCAACCTTGCTACTCTAGTCGCCACGTACACTCGGGGTTTCACGATTATCGTGGAACCATTTGATGATAAAACACCCACTGTGTCTAATCCCATCATGCATTTCAGGTGTGTTTTCCGTTTCACTAATCAGAAATCGTAATGAATATTATAGTATATCAACTTGATGTTTCGTAATTATTCAATATCCTATGTTGGCAATAAGGAAATATCTATCATATATTAATAATTAATTAGTGTTAAAAAAGTCATCAACAACATTACACATTTTTTTATCAATCAATTATACAGTAGAACTTCAATAGTTCTAAACTTTGTTCTAAGAACTAAGTCATTCTGTACTTCAGAGGTCAATTAAAATTTGATTTTTCTCATGGAACCTTGCATGTCTTGTTACAGTTGCCTAGACTCAAGTATTGCCATCAAGCCTGTGTTTGATAGGTTCCAGTCAGTTGTGATTACCTCTGGCACCCTCTCGCCACTGGAGATGTACCCCAAGATCCTAGACTTCCACCCTGTCATCATGAGTTCCTTCACTATGACTCTGGCCCGGCCCTGCATACTGCCCATGGTAAAAATACCCCCAAAATATGTGTTTATGTGCTGATAGTCTTGTCCGAGGATTTGTGAGAAAATAAAATACTTGTAGTGTGGTCTTTTGTCCATCGCTGAATTGGATGCAAGTACAGAACTCTACATCAGTGAATTTCAGCTGCCCGGAGTCAACTGAGTAATTATAATCAAGTGAGTTTTTTCACTAATTTTATTTAAATCTGTAAAATAACTTGGTTTATAGAGAAAATTCATGTGAGTGGTTTGTTGACAGATAGTGTCAAAAGGCAACGACCAAGTGGCAATTTCCAGCAGGTTCGAGACGAGGGAGGATGTCTCTGTCGTCCGCAACTACGGTCAGCTGTTAGTGGAGATTAGTACCATTGTACCTGACGGTGTCGTTTGCTTCTTTACTTCCTACTTGTACTTGGAGAGTGTTGTCGCCAGTTGGTATGACCAAGGAGTCATAGACCAGGTTAGTAAAATACTCACTTACTAATAAATACTTACTTTTGTATATATTTTATAGTTCTTGTATATAAGAAAAATGTAATTTCAAACATTTAAAAGTTAGTTAGTCACTTAAACTTAAAATTTCTGTACTTGATAAAAAATATGCACTTAAACGCTTTGATTTCATGTTTCAGCTCCAACGACGAAAACTTTTGTTCATAGAAACTCAGGATTCAGCTGAGACCAGTTTAGCTCTTCTGAACTACATTAAGGTACTATTTATTTCAAGTTTCACAGTAGAATGCAGTGTAGAATAAAGACTGTTTAAAAGGTTTAAATGAATGTAAAAAAAATTGATAATGCCTACTTATGTCACACACATATGTTTTAATGCAACATGAGAAACCATCTTACTAAGTTACCTCTAAATTTCTGGATCAACTGTTTAATACATTATCAATTACATTATCAATACATTATCAATTAAGTAACAGTTGCTCAAATACCTCAGGGAATGCAGTCAAGAGTCTTGAAAGTCTTAAAATAATCTTGGGTTCATATCCACTCCAAGTAGAAAATAAAACCAAGGTTAACAAATACACTGTTGCCACTACCGTAGTACATTTTCAAAGAAGAATTCATCTGGAGAGATGTTTTGGTTAAATGGATAAAACTACTAAAACTAGTAGGTAATATGTTATAGTAAGTTACCAACCTATTGTTTTTATCAATCGTCAAGCATTGACACATACTGACCGAGACATTACTTCATATAGGAGTGGGGTCTTAACATTCAAGTTATGTCTTGCACAACTTTACAGGCCTGTGAGAGTGGCAGAGGTGCCGTGTTGCTGTCGGTCGCTCGAGGCAAGGTGTCGGAAGGTGTGGACTTTGACCACCATCTCGGCCGAGCTGTACTCATGTTGGGTATCCCATATGTATACACACAGTCGAGGATACTACGGGCGCGTCTGGAGTACCTCAGGGATCAGTTCCAGGTAAGATAGTTTTTCTAGTTTTGTTCAGCAAACCCTTCATAACACAACGATAAAAACTTAGTATTTACTTTCATGGCTTTAAGCTAAATTAATAATTTACAACTTTTTACAATTAAAACATACAACGCTTATATTGTTACTCACAAGACGGTAAATATACAAAAAAGATGGTAAGTGGTGATCGATTTCGATTGGACACTACAATCATCATCAGACCCAATAGGCGAATGACTTGGGCAACTTCATTCGTTGCCTGCTTGAAACAGAACCCTTGGTCTCTTTCTTCGTTTCATGCTTTATTTTCATTTGTCAGCCCAAAAACTGTCATGGGTACCGGTACTTTATGTTAAAATTGTATTTTCATCTTTCTCTTAAGAGTCGGCAGGAGTTCAATAGTTTTGCATTGTTGTTGACTGACAGATGCCAGGCTAAACGATGGTTGTACTAGCGACGATCAGCAAAAACATGCGTTAATGTAGAAGCATATTAATCATGCACCGTAAGCTTGATTATCGAGCAGAAAATTGTAAGTGATTCTTAAATATATTTTCCGTGTGAATTGCTTTTTGGATTTTAAAAACTTTTGTTTTAGAGGTTGAAAAAAATCACTGTTTAAGTCAATATACTTATGTAGTTTGACAAAACAATAACAATTAAAATTAAAAAGTGGGTAGCAAATCACATACACGGTTTCAATAGCTTTAAAATGAGATATCTTTCAACTTTTTATCTTAATTAACAATGCTGTAATATGCTTCCACCATAACATTGCCGTTACAGGCAGAAAATCCAAGATGGTTGGCGGTCCTGCCGACTCTCAAGTCAATGTTTCAAATGTACATATGTGAGAATATATCGTAGCCCATTACAATAAGTTTTAATTTTTGTGTGGAGCAAAAAAAATTGTTGACTCTGATGACTGAATTTACTCTGATTTCTATTTGGATACGTGACAGCATGTATACAAGGATATAAATGGTTAAAAAAGTAGGGATGGACGGGTCCCGAAATTTCGGGAATTTTTCGGGAAAAAAATATTCCCGATTATCGGGACGGGATTACCTTTGATTCGGGAATTTTTCGGGACGGGATTTGGTCCGATCGTCGGCGATTTTGCCGCTTCGCGAGTGCCGATGACGCCGCTATTGCGAGCGATAGGTCCGCGAACGCAGGAGACGAAGTCATTTCGACGGTTGCGCCGTGGCCGCGGAGTCATAACGACGATCATGCCGTGATGGCGAGTCATACCGACGATCGTGCCGTGACCGCGGAGTCATGCCGACGATCGCGCCGTGAGCGCGAGTCATACCGACGATCACGACGTGACCGTGGAGTCCTGCAGACGATCGCGCCGTGACCGCGATTATTGGACCGACGATCGCACCGTGACCGCGAGTCATACCGACGATCACGACGTGACCGTGGAGTCATACCGACAATCGCGCCGTGACCGCGAGTCATACCGACGATCACGACGTGACCGTGGAGTCCTGCAGACGATCGCGCCGTGACCGCGAGTCATGCCAACGATCACGACGTGACCGTGGAGTCCTGCAGACGATCGCGCCGTGACCGCGATTATTGGACCGACGATCGCACCGTGACCGCGAGTCATACCGACGATCACGACGTGACCGTGGAGTCATACCGACAATCGCGCCGTGACCGCGGAGTCATGCCGACGATCGTGCTGTGATCGCGAGTCATACCGACGATCATGCCGTGATCGCGAGTCAAACCGACGATCACCCCGTGACCGCGGAGTCATACCGACGATCTTGCCGTGATTGCGAGTCATACCGACGATCATGCCGTGATCGCGAGTCATACCGACGATCACCCCGTGACCGCGGAGTCATACCGACGATCGCGCCGTGATTGCGAGTCATACCGACGATCATGCCGTGATCGCGAGTCATACCGACGATCACCCCGTGACCGCGGAGTCATACCGACGATCGCGCCGTGACCGCGGAGTCATGCCGACAATCGTGCTGTGATCGCGAGTCATACCGACGATCACGACGTGACCGTAGAGTCCTGCAGACGATCGCGCCGTTACCGCGATTATTGGACCGACGATCGCACCGTGACCGCAAATCATACCGACGATCACGACGTGACCGTGGAGTCATACCGACAATCGCGCCGTGACCGCGGAGTCATGCCGACGATCGTGCTGTGATCGCGAGTCATACCGACGATCACCCCGTGACCGCGGAGTCATACCGACGATCTTGCCGTGATTGCGAGTCATACCGACGATCATGCCGTGACCGCGAGTCATACCAACGATCACCCCGTGACCGCAAAACATACCGACGATCACCCCGTGACCGCGGAGTCATACCGACAATCGTGCTGTGATCGCGAGTCATACAGACGATCATGCCGTGACCGCGAGTCATACCGACGATCACCCCGTTACCTCGAGTCATTCCGACGATCACCCTGTGACCGCAAGTCATACCGACGATCACCCCGTGACCGCGGAGTCATACCGACAATCGTGCTGTGACCGCGAGTCATTCCGACGGTCACCCTGTGACCGCGGTCATTTTGACGACCGCACCGTGACCGCCGGTCATTTTGACGATCGCACCGTGACCGCCAGTCATTTCGACCGCGAGTCACAAGTTTCTATAGGTACCTGTAAATTGTTACCCATTTTTTGGTTTTTTATAAATCAGTGCCACAAACGGTAAAAATTGATTTTGTATTTTTTTTTTTGGTTTTTTAACTACAATACTCAAGACATTCTTTTTATGCACAGAAAAATATCCCGTCCCGTCCCGAAAATCGGGAAGGAAATAAAAATCCCGTCCCGTCCCGTCCCGAACTAAAAATTCAATCCCGTCCATCCCTATAAAAAAGTATTCATATTCACACATCTTTATTCGTAAATCATGTACAGTGAATAGATTCAGAATACTTAAAATAAAAATACTAGGCCAATTTCTATTTATGGGAGGTGGCAAATTCATCAAAAGAATATAATGCTAGATTTATTAAATGCTCCTTCCAAATTTTCTTGAATTTAGATAGGTTTGTTTCTTTTTTTAATTTTTAGGATCATTTTTTTGTGTAAAGTAATTATTTTTGCCTGCTTTAATATGTTAGAAAAAATGTCTGAAGCAAACAAAGAATTGATCAGATGACAAACAATTTCGCTGATGTAGGTTTTCGCAGCCTTTATTATTGTTACAGGAATTTTGTCATCCCCACTGGAGTGTTTATTTTATAAGATTGAATGATTTTTTCCACCTCCCTTTCAGTGATCAGTTTAAGTTCAAATTTTGGCTTTACAAACAAGTCATCGATAAAATCAGCTTTCACATCAGCCGTCACATTCTGATTGTTACTGTTAGCATATGTTTTATTTACATTTTATTTCTAACATGTGTTCAAATTATTATTTTGTTTACTTATTGAATTGTTATGTTTACTTACAGATTGTGATTTAATAAAAACTTACCTTCTATTTTCTTATACAAAATGTGAACTTTTATTACTAAAATTAGTGGAATCAACAATGGCGACGAGTAAAATGGTAAGTAGAAAAGAATTTGACTTATGTCTAAAGAAAAGGAAATTACTAGAACTACGCTTGATCAAACTCAAGGATGATTTACCAACATCTGAACATTCTCAAGATACATGCACTTACTACACAGATAAACTTTTAGCAATATGGGCTGAAATTGAGGTTACACAGTCAAATATTGAACTTCACACAAATTCAGTAGAAAGTGAATTAGAAATTCGATGGCAGTTAGAAGAAATGTATAGAGAGATACGGACATTCCTTGAAGCAGAAAAGAAAAAGTACGATACACATACAGCAATTTCTGCTTCTGCAACATGTCAAAATGTATCTAATATTCCTTTCCAGCCGTATACACCAGAGGAAAGTTTTCAAAACTTCACTCGACGCTTTGAAAACTACACAAAATTACGGGGAAACTTAAGTCCAAGAGTCAAAGTGGATTTATTTTTACAGGCAATCACCCCACAAATACATGAACAGCTATACGATCTTTGCATACCAGATGACCCACACAACAAGCCATATGAGGAATTTATTCACATGTTAATGGCTCAACTAGAACCAAAATCCAGTATTTGGGCACGTCAGCACAAATTTACGACACGTACCCAATTGTGTAATGAATCTGTACAAGCTTACGCTAATGCTCTTAGAAAGCTCAGTGTAGAATGTCAGTTTACTTGTACAAGTTGTAATGAATCTGTATCTGAAATTCTACTTCGAATGCAGTTTGTCAGGGGATTAAAAGACTCTGATATACGTCTTCAACTTCTTCAAGATAAACTATTGCAGCCGTTTAAAGAAGTAGTCGAAAAGGCTGCTACATTGGAACTAGCGAAAAGTGAAAGCAGAATAGTAAAGACAAATGAAAATCAAGAGGAAGTACACCAAGTATCAAGCAAGAACAAACAGCCAGATAGGAAACCTTGTAAATCTAAAAATATACAACTCTCTGAGTATCAAACTCGTTTGGAGAAACTGAGAAACAAATGCTATAGATGTGGTGATGATTCACATAGAGCACATCAATGCAAGTTCAAAAATGCAGAATGTAACTCTTGTAAACGTTTTGGTCACTTAGCAAGAGTATGTCTAAGAAAAACAAACAAAGAAGTAAAACAATCAGATGAAACCGCAGAAAATACAAGCGATGATGACACTCATGAAATTTACCAACTTCATTCAAAATCAAATGACAAGTTTATGCTCGAGGTAAAAGTGGAAGGACGACTCATGACAATGGAGTTAGATACAGGAGCGGCTCTCAGCATTGTATCATATGATACATTTAAGCTTTTAAACTCTCCAAAAAGGATTTTCAAGACAAATGTTCAACTCAAGACATACACTGGGGAAATAATCAATCCAAGAGGAGTTGTTTTTGTAAATGTTCAGTATAAAGATCAAAGTTTTGTTGGAAAACTGTACATTGTTAACAAGTGTGTAGACTCTA